TGCTTGCTGGAGTAACACCTTGTCCTCTCTCCCCCAGCACGCGGGAGAAGGCCGTGCGTGAGCTCCTAAACCGGCACTGCGCTCTCACCGAGACACCGGAGTCTTGGGCCAAGGAGACTTTTCTGACTCAGAGGCTCTGCGTCCCCCCGGAGTGGATTCACGAGGCAAAAGCAGTTCGAGCGAGGGTGGAGGGCGACAAGCACAAAGAAGCCCTCTTCTTGTTCAAGGCTGGACACTGGAACCAGTGTCACAAGCTGGTTGTCAGGCACTTAGCCTCAGGTGAGTCTGCTCTCCTGATGATTTTTTTTTTTTTTTTTTTTATTCTGTTTTTGAACAGCGCCCACAAACACAGTAGGAACAGAAATCCTTGGGTGTTCAGTAACAGGAAGGGGTAGGGCTGTGTTTCTAGCGACTGGGTTAGTAGAGCGGCTCTCGCTTGATACCTGGTGGGATGGTTCTTCACTGCAGACACGTGAGAAGGGCAGGGCTTAACCTTCTGCACGTCCACCTTCCTGGGCCAGAGGTGTCTCGGGGAGCAAGGGCAGCGGCAGCATTCCTGGAGCCCCGACCCCATGGGCGTCCCTGCTCCAGGAGATGGGCTGCCCTTGGACTTGCCCTCTGTAGGTCGGCGATGAGGTAAGGGTTTCAGGCCACGGCTGCTGGTGTCAGGGAATTGCAAAACTGCCTGCAAGTACAGTCCATCAGTTGCTTTTCTTTAACGATCAGTGACTTGTAAGAAACCCTTTTTGCTCCGTTACTAACATACCTGTTCTCTCTAGATGCTATTATTAATGAAAACTACAAGTACCTAAAAGGATTCCTGGAAGATCTTGCTCCTCCAGAGCGTAGCGCGCTCATCCAGGACTGGGAGATGGCAGGGCTGGTCTACCTGGATTACATCCGTGTTATTGAGATGCTGGATAGGATTCAGCAGGTAACAAACTAAAACAGTTGCAGGGATTTTTTTCCTAGAGAGTCTCACTTTTAGAATAATTTCTACTCATTATTCAGTGCTAATGTTAGTGTTTCCCTTTGGCAGACACTAGTAAACAGAAATTGGTACATGTCTGAAAACGCAGAGAGATTTGGTAGATACTGTCAAAAAGTCAGATGTGGGCTCTGCCCTGCTAACGTGCTCTCTGGAGCATGGCAGTGAGGTAAGTAAAAGAGAAGAAACAAAATTAGCAGTTAGTTGGCTCGTTAGTGGGAGTCTGCATGCCAGTCCCCTCTAGTTCAGTTCCAGACTTCCTATTTCCACCACTTCAGGCGTTAACTTTAAACAGGTTTTAGTGTAGCTTGCCTTCTGTTGGATAGATTGGGCTTAGAGTGCGCCCGGGCAGTCTGCGAGCGATTCCGCCGACCGGTTTCGGGTGACTCGGAGGCTGACTCTCTTGTTCTGCCTCCAGCTGGATTGTTCCACCTACGAGCTGGAGCGGTTACACACCAAAGTGACGTCGCTGTGCAACAGGATAGAGCAGATCCAGTGCCACGGGGCGAAGGACCGCCTGGCTCAGTCAGGTACGGTGACACCAACATCCAGCAGCCGAAAGCCGCTTTCACAACCCAGCCCAGCTCGTGCTGCCCGTGTGTCTGTCCCTGGTGAGGCAGCTGTGTGCTGCTCCGGTAGTTCCCGTACCTGGTTGTCACTTGAGGCAGCTTTTGTTGCCTGGTTGATCCGGTGTCTGATCCCTTAATAAGCAGTAAAGTTAGTTAGCTCTACGGTGCCCAGAAGAGCGTGAGCATAGTTGCAGGAAACAGTCTGGGCTGAGGAAAAAGGTCCCATTTTTATTTTATTCCCTGTATGGAGAGAGGCGATTCCCAGCTGAGGCTGGGAAAGGCCAGGTCACGCTTCCACCGGCCCAGCCACATCCCTTTGCTCCAAAACTTCCTGCTGAATCACTGTGGAAGCTCCCCGCCCAGGAGCCTGCAGAAACACTCCTCTCCTTCCTCCTCTTTCCAGACATGGCCAAGCGCATCACTAACCTGCTACGGGTGGTCCTCAGCCTGCAGCACGCCCCGGAGCCCGTCTCCGACTCCGCGCCTGACCTGCAGCGCGTCCCCCTCCGCCTGCTCGCTCCCCACATCGGGCGGCTGCCCATGCCCGAGGACTACGCCTTGGAGGAGCTCCGCAGCCTCACCCAGTCTTACCTCCGGGAGCTGACGGTAGTGACTCAGTGAGGACAAGAGCCCTTCCCCACCCGTGGACAGTTTTTACCATTCCTAAACCCTTACCCTTGTTCTGAGGGCGAGCAACCTCTCCGGCTGCACGGGTGTTTCCACAGAGGTTTAAAAACAGCTTTAGTATGTGGGCTAAGGCAGGAATTTTTCTCACCCGGGGGAGCATTGAGACTGGTTGGACCTCGCCGGCTGCACCATCAACCACCCACCACCTTCCTCGAATCAGTAAATCATGTCTTGCCCAACCTGCCTGCAGTTGAGGTGGTACCTGTGGAGGGGGGGCAGGGTGTGGGCTTCCTTTCCCAGCAGATCCCTTTTCCCTCCTCGCGGTGCGGCGCAGAGGATGGTGAAGCAAGGGTTGGGACAGTTTTCCGTGGGCAGATTCCCACTTCCGTGGGGCCGCGCTTGGCAAACCGATGAGCCTGACCGCGGGTGAGCTTTAACTGGGGCTTTCCATGAAAAGCGTGCTCTGTGGGTGGGAGAGGGAGAAGGAACTTCAGGAGGGTCTTTTCCTGCCTTCTCTTGGTAAGTTGGAGACCTGCGAGCGTGGTGTTTCTCTGGCTTCTCCATCCACCATCTCCAAAAGCAAAGCAAGCTCTTTCCCTGCCTGGGGAGGAAGGGGGGTGACACATCCCTGTGCCCGAGGACGCGTGGCTCCTGCGTCCCAACCACGGCAGCTTGGCCGAAGAGCTCCAGGACCCCGGGTTTTTGGCGGGGGGGAGAGACACACACGAACAGTGCTGAAAGCAAAACAAAAAAACCTCCCCAAAGCGTTCAGCCACCCGAGGAGCAGAGCCCTGGGCTGCACTGCTGCCTGCCTGGGGAGCTGGGGGCTGTGCACCCCCCGGCCCCTCCGCTGGGGTGACACTGAGCAGAGCCCCCCCCCCCCCCCCCCCTTCCAGCCTGAGAACATCCCACAGGCACACCCCGACCCTGCCCACGTGCTCTGGTCTGTACAGTCTTTGTTGTTGCTGTGTTTAGAAACTGACTATTTTTGGAAGAAGGAGGAAAAAAAAAAAAAAAAAAAAAAAGAAAAAACAAACCCACAACAAAAACCAAAACTGTCTCTTGGTCTGCTCTGGGTTCAGGGTTATTGCAGCGGCGCCTCCTGCCCACAGCTCGCGGCGGCTTCCAGCCTGCCTGGTGCTGCTTCACGTCGGCTCACTGAAGGTCTTTATGCATGAGGGTTATGTAAAGGTTTTTATTAAAAAAAAAAGAAAAAAAAAATATAAATAAATGATCTAGATTATTTTCCTGTCTTTTTGGAAACAATAAATAAAATGTTTATAGTATTCCTGTGCTTTCCTTCGCTTTTTAAGAACGATTGCGGTTTGAGGCATGTGTCCCTGGGCCTGTCCCGTCTGCATGCCGTGGGCTCGGCGTGGACCTGGTCCCGAAGGACGGGGACAAGGGGCTGGATCTCCTCTTCATGCTGGCCTTTACTGGTCAGACTGGCCTGAGACCCCTGGGAAAGGTTAGGGTGAGGAAGGCTCGTGGAGGCTGGGGAGCACTGCGAGGGGGCTGGGTGCACCCCGAAGGGCTGCGGCAGCGACGCGGCCCCTCTCACCTCAGGCAGGTTCTGTCAGGGTCGAGGGGGAAAGGGTGGAATGACGAGACCACCCCCGGCCTCGGGGAGGAGGGGATGGGAATTGGGGGGCCAGGTTGGGCATGGGAAGCTGGAAAAGTTGTCGTCTCCTCAGCCCCCTGGGGCCACCGTCCCCCCATCGCCCCCCCGTAAATGTGACACCGGCCGTGCGACGTGCTCGGGGAGCCGGGTCACGCCGGCTCCCGCTCCTTCCATTACCGTAATTGCTGCTGCCCCGGGCGGAGCAGCGGCGCGGCCGGGACACGGGGCTGGGGATGAATAATTCACCGCCTGGAAACAAAACCTCCAGCCTTAAAAACGATCGGCGGCGGCTGCTGCTGGGGCTGGGCGTGGGAGGGGTGCCAGGGCGGTGTCGGGGAGCGCGAGGCGGCGGCTGGAGCTGGGGGACGCTCACAGCTCCCCTGCGACACGGACCTCTGCCACTTGCTGCTTCGTCTTCTGGGTCACGTCCCTTAACCTCCCGGGATTTTGTTCTCACCAGATGGGAATAATCTTCCTCTTCCCTTTCCTTCCTCTTTTTCTGTGCGCGGCCATCCCTCCACCCTCGGCTCTTCCCCCCCCGCCCGCTGCCGTGGCTTCGGTGGGCTTCAGTGCCCCGGCGTCTCCCTCGCAGCCTCGGGGTTTCCTTTTTCCAGCTCGCTCTGGGCCAGGGTTGTGGGGAGCCACCCCCTCTCCCCGCAGCCCCCCGAGGCACCTCGAGACGGTGGTTTCCAGCTCAAGAAGCTGCCGGCAGCTCCAGGAGGGCAGAAGCTCCGGACACAACGCAGCCAGGAGCGACCTCGTCCCTGCCTGCTCCATCCCACCCCGTGGTCCTTGTCACCCCGGTCCTTGTCACCTTGTCCCGGCCCGGAGACGGCAGAGAAGGAGCTGCTGCCCACCGGCCTGGCTGGGAGGGTCTTGGGGATGGATGGTTCAGGGGGCCGATGGGCAAAGCCCCCCCTGGGCTTCAGCAGCCGACGTGGCACTGCCGGGAGCTGCTCAGCACCCAGACCCGTCCCAAAGGGGCTCAGCAGCACCCACACCCCATCCCGGCCCCCCGCCAGGTCGCAGCCGGCAGACCCTCGGCACCCGTTCTCCCCGAGACCATCAGTCCCTTGGGACACACACACACACAGACACCTGTACCCCCCCCCCCCCCAGCGCCCTGTCCCAGCCCTGACGTCACCCCAGCGCTCGCAGGCAGCGTGGGCCCCCCCCCGCCCCGTGTCCCCCGAGACCTGAGCGCGGCGGGATGGAGCCCGGAGCTCGCCCGCTGCTCGCCCTCTGCCTCGCCAGCTGCCTCCTGGCTCCGGGTAAGCGGCGGAGGGGGCGGCGAAGGGTGCTGACCCCCCCCCCCCCCGCCCTCCACCCAGCCCTGGGTGCGGGGAGAGGGAACCCCACCCCACCCCCCCCAAGCCCCCTGCGAGCAGCAGCGTCCCCCTGCACGTCTGGGATCCCGGCGTGGGGGGACCGGGGTCGGGGGGCTTAGGCTGGCAGCGGGGAGGGATGGGTGTCCCTGCGTGCTCCCCCCACCCCGCTCAGCTGCCCGTGGCTGGGTTCTGGGGGTCGCTGGGTGGGTGCCGGGGGGGGGGGTGGGTCTGGCTGCACCCCCAGCGCTCGTGGCCGTGCCCCCCCCCCCCCCTCCCCAGCCCCTCTGTGGGTCCCTGCAGGCTGCCGGGGGGCTCAGGGCAGGGTCGCCTACAAGCTGCTCCACGACCTCTTTGCCAACTACTCCAGCGCCCTGCGCCCCGTGGAGGACACAGACCGGGCGCTCAACGTCACCCTCCAGGTCACCCTCTCCCAGATCATCGACATGGTGGGTGGCACCGGCACCGGCACCGGCACCGGATCAGCCAAAACGAGCCCGTCCCCGTCACCCTCCCGGCCACCGCGCAGCCGGGCTCTGCTCTCCCCCAACCTGCCCCCCCCCCGGCACGTCTCGCTCAACCCAGCGCTGATGCTCATCCCTCAAAACCAGCCCAGCTGCCCCCGAATTATCTCACACCACTTGCAGACATCTCAGACCCGCCCCCTCCCCGGCCCCTCCAAAACCAGCACACACACACCCCCCCCTCCCCAAAATGAGCTCGGACCACTCGAAACCAGCTCAGACCTCACCAAAAACCAGCGCGGTCCCCGCGAAGGCAGCTCAGCCCCTGGGGACCCTTGCAGAGGCCGCGGGGCTGAGGGATGAGGTGGGGGGGGGGGACGGGGGGGGGTGTCTGTCCCCCGCACCCACCCGCTCCCCTCGGCAGGACGAGAGGAACCAGGTGCTCACCTCCTACCTGTGGGTCCGCCAGGCCTGGCTGGACGCCCACCTCACCTGGGACAAGGACGCTTACGGCGGCATCGACAGCATCCGCGTCCCCAGCAGCTACGTCTGGCGGCCGGACATCATCCTCTACAATAAGTGGGTTGTGCTGGGGCTCCCCCCCTCCCCGACCTCACACCCCCCCCACACACACGCTGCTCCTGGAGACAGGGGGAGAGGCGGGGGGGGGGCCTCAGGCTGGGGCTGCCAACATTGGGGCTGCACATGGGGGGGGGGTCCTGGGGTGGGTGATGCAGGGAGATGGTCACCCTGACTGGGTGAAAATGGGGGGGGGTAAAGGGGGGGGGGGGTCTGGCACCAGCCTGGAGCGCCTGCCGCTGGGACATGCCACCCTGGGGGTGGCCAGGGGGGCACCGAGCCCCCTGTTTGTGGGGCAGGATGACACAGGGAGGGGACATGGTGCTGGGGAAAGCACTCCCCCCACCACCACCACCACCAAGGATGTGGGACTCGTGGCCATCCCAGCCCTATGGCCCTCCCTCCCCCAGCGCCGACGACCGCTTCGGCGGCTCGATGGAGACCAACGTGGTGCTGCGCTCCGACGGGCGCATCATGTGGGACTCGCCCGCCATCACCAAGAGCTCCTGCAAGGTGGACGTCTCCTACTTCCCCTTCGACGGGCAGCGGTGCCGCCTCACCTTTGGCTCCTGGACCCACAACGGGAACCAGATCGACCTCCACAACCGCCTGGACACCGGCGACCTGACGGACTTCGTGGAGAACGTGGAGTGGGAGGTGCTGGGCATGCCGGCCACCAGGAACGTCATCACCTACGGCTGCTGCTCCGAGCCCTACCCCGACGTCACCTACACCCTGCTCCTCCGCCGCCGCGCCTCCTTCTACATCTTCAACCTGCTCCTGCCCTGCATCATGGTCTCCTTCCTGGCACCCCTCGGCTTCTACCTGCCGGCTGACTCGGGGGAGAAGGTCTCGCTGGGGGTGACGGTGCTGCTTGCCCTCACCGTCTTCCAGCTGCTGGTGGCAGAGAGCATGCCGCCCTCGGAGAGCGTCCCGCTCATCGGTGAGCCCCAGATCCCTCCCGTGGGGTGCTGGGCAGCACCCGCGCCAGGGTGACCGTGGGGTGGGTGTGTGTGTGTGTAGGGGTGGAGTTGTGGGTCCCCACCCCCTCCCCATCCGTTGCCCACGCAGGGAAATACTACATCGCCACCATGACCATGATCACGGCCTCCACCGCGTTGACCATCTTCATCATGAACATCCACCACTGCGGTCCGGGGGCCCGACCCGTGCCCCCCTGGGCCAGGCGGTTCATCCTGCACCACATGGCCCGGCTCTGCTGCGTCTACGAGGTGGGCGAGAGCTGCAAGAGCCCCCGGCGGGCCCCGAGCGGGCGGGAGGGCAGGGGGGAGGCTGCGGGGCAGGGGGAGACCCCCGGGGAGGGGGAGGCAGGGGTTTGCCCCCGGGACCGTTGCCTGTGCCACCATGACGGCTTGCTGAGGAACGTCGGCTACATCGCCGGCTGCTTCCGACGCCACCGAGCCGCCCAGCGCCGGACCAGCGAGTGGAAGAAGGTGGCCAAGGTGATGGACCGCTTCTTCATGTGGGTCTTCTTCCTCATGGTCTTCCTCATGAGCGTGCTGGTCCTGGGCAAAGCTGCCTGAAGGCCCCACGGCCCCACCGCCCCCATGCACCCCCTTCCCACCACCACCCCCCCCTCCCCAACCAGGGACGGTGGTGGCTGTGGGTGCTCTGACCCCCCTCCCCCCCTCCTCCAATGGAGCTGTAGGGTGGGGGTTCCCCCAGCACTGAGGAAGAGGAGCCCAACAGCGGGGACCCCCACCCCGGCTGCAGGCTTGAGGGGTCCCGACCCCGCTGCGCCAGGGCGTGCGCCCACATCCTCCCCTTGCACCCCACGCCCGAGAAACCCAACAAAATGGAAATAAACCCTGGAGCGTGTGTCGTCCTTCTCCTGCCTGGGGGCTGCAGGCTGGGGAGGGGGGGGTGTCCCTGGGGTCTCGCAGGCAGCAAAAAGGTGGGGATCCCTCAGGGACCCTTCACTCCGTGGGGCCATCCAGAGCCCCGCAGTGGAGGGAGGGCTGGGCAGAGCCTGGACGTGGTGGATGTATAGTGCTATAGCTCTAAAACTATGTATAGACACACATACGTGGTGCTGGACACACACACCCCCACCATTCACCAGCCGTAGGGGCTCGTGGCCTTCAGGAGGGGGGTTCCCCCCCCCTCAGGGATCCCATCAGCCGATGGGGAGGGGGGAGAGCAGCCAAAGGCTGAGGGGCACCCACGGGTGGGGGGGTGAGAGCCGGGGAGGTGCTGGGGGAGCCGGGACGGGGTGCGGGGGACACGGAGGGTCCCTGGGCTCAGGCGCAGGCGCTGGTGAGAGGAATTGCCTTAGTGGGGGGGGGGGAAAGGGGGGGGGGGGGCATCGCCCCTGGCTGGGGGCAGGAATCCGGCTGGGGGGACCCCAGCGAGGGGAAGGGACATGGTGTCAGAACCCAGCGCAGCCCCAGTTTCCCCCCCCATGCCCTCCAGCAGCGGGGTGGGGTTGGCAGGAGGCTGGGTGGGGGCACAGGTGACCCCCCCACCCCCAGAACCACACTGCCCGCTCAGCCCGGGGGGGCTTTGCCATGGTGGGCACCTCGGGGGCTTTGGACCTTTCCTTCCCATCCCGCAACAAACCGTCCGGCTCCGGGACTTCCCGCATTGGCCCCCCTGAACCCCCCCCCACATCCCACTGAGGGGGAGTGAGCAGCCGGGGGGGGGGGGGGGTGAGCAAGCAGCTGGGGCCTGGGCTCCACACAGAGGGACCCTCTGGGTTCCAGAACCTCTGCCCAGTGCTACTGCTGGTTGGAGGGGCAGGGGTGGGGGGGGCCTCCTCCTCCTCCTCTTCCTCCTCTTCCTCCTCTTCCTCCTTCTCCTTCTCCTTCTCCTTCTCCTTCTCCTTTTCCTTCTCCTTCTCCTACTTCTTTCTCCTTCTCCTCCTCCTCATCCTCCTCCTCATCCTCATCCTTGTCCTTGTCCTCCTCGTCCTCCTCCTCCTCCTCCTTCTCCTCTTTCTTCTCTTCCTCCTCCTCTTCCTCCCCCCTGAAGCACCCCCATAGTCCCCTGTCCTGCAGACCATAAGCTTCCATCGGCTGTGTGGTGGTTTGAGCCTGGGCAGCACCCAAACACCACGCAGCCACCCTCTCCCCCTTCTCTTCCAGCAATGAGCAGGGACAGATGGGCCACGCTTGGGGTTTGAGATAGGACCAGGAGGGGCAGATCACCCATTATGGTCATGAGCAAAAGGCAGACTTGTTAGGGGAAGAAAAAAAGAACATACATTTATTACAGACACTAACAGCAACGCTTAACAGAGTAGGACAGTGAGAAGCATTGCCACATCTTGAGAACACCTTCCCCCCACCCCTCCCTTCTTCCCAGGCTCAGCTCTGCTCCAGATATCTCTACCTCCTCCCCCAGCGGTGCAGGGGCAGGGAATGGGGGGCATGTAGTCAGTGCTGCTGCTGGATCTTGTTCCCCTGCTCCAGAGTGGTCCCCCTCTCACAGGAGACAGTCCTCCAGAAACCCTCACTAATGTGAGTCCCTCCCACGGGCCGCAGCGTTCCCCACACTGCTCCGTTGTGGGTCACCAACTTTCTCCAGCTGGATTCCCTCCCACGGCTGCAGCCCTTCCCGAGTTGCTCCGGTGTGGGACTCCCCCACACGCTGCAATCCTCCCAGCGCTGAATTACAGCAGCGGGGGCTGCTTCTTCCCACAGGCTCCTGGCCTCCTTTGGGCACAGTCAGCCCTCACAGACCATAAATCAGTGTCTGCTCCACCGTAGATCTTCATGGGTGTCAGGGGGCTGCCCTGCCGTCTCACCACAGGATACAGGGGGGTCTCTGCTCCGGCACACCTCCCCCCTCCTTTCTTCCTCCGTTTCCCCACTGACCTTGATGTTCACGCAGCTCCTCCTCACAAGTCCAGCTTCTTCTTACCACGTCCCTTCTTAAACACATTATCGCAGAGATGCAGCTGATGGGCTCAGTTTTGGTGCAGAGGCGGAGCTGACTTGGAGCTGGGGGAGCTTCAAGAAGCTTCTCACAGAGGATCACCCCTGTAGCCCCCTCCCCTGCTACCAAAAAACCCCACCACTCACTCAAACCCAGGACAGGCCGTCACCCTCAATTTCAAGTGGGACACCCCAGCCCCTCACATCTGCCCACACCAGCCAGCGAAGGGCACAAAGCAGGGGGGTGCCGGGTGTCACAAAGGGGGGGCTTCCTGCCCTGTGATGTCACAAAAGGGGGGGGACTGCCTGCCCGCCCGCTGACATATTAAAGGGGTGAGCAGCAGGCGGGACGGGGGACCACTGCAGCCTGGAGTCGTTTTGGCAGCTGATGCCTCTGCCACGCCAGTCGTGTCGGGGGAGGTCCCCGTGGCTCTGGGGACGGGGCAGGGGGGTCTCTGGGGGGTGCCATGGGGCTCTGCAATGGCCCCAGCGTGACCCAGCTGTTCTCGGTCCTGATGTTCACGCTGCAGCTCTTCCTGCTCTACGCCGTGCTGCGGGCCAAGCGGCTCAGGGTAGGCGGTGGCTGCACCGCGTGGCGTGGGGTGTTCTGGTGTGATGTGGTCTGGTCTGGTGTGCTCTGGTGGTGTGCTCTGGTGTTTCCTGGTGTGGTGTGGTGTGGTGTGCCATGGTACAGCATGGCATGCCATGGCATGGTGCGGCGTGGCATAGCATGGCACAGTGTGACATGGCATGGCGTGGTGTGGCATAGCATGGCACAGAGTGACGTGGCGTGGCGTGGTGTGGCATGGGGGGGGGGGGCTGTGGTGTGGGGCCGGGAGCTGCCCCTATCTCACCCATCTCCTGGGGTTCCTGTAGAGGACTGGGAAGAAGCCGAAGCACCAGAAGAGCGCAGTGAGAACCCAGCCAGGGGAGCAGAGCGGTGAGTGGCCCCCGGCACCCCACACATGGCTGACCCCCCCCACGGCCCTGAGCCGGGGCAGTGCCGGGGGGGGCTGCCGGCCGCTCACCCCATCTGCTCCCTCTACAGCTTCTCTGCTGGAGGAGCGGGGAGTGGAGAAGCCCGAGCTGCCCCTGGAGACAGGGTGAGTGGCTGGGGGGAGTCCCCCAGACCCTTCCCCACACCCTCAGTCCCCTGCCCCGTCCCGCTAGCTGAGGAAGGGGAGTGCTGCCTGGGGGTCCTGCCAGCCAAGGATGGGGGGCTGCCTGGGGGTCCCACCGGCCGAGGGCAGGGTGCTGCCTGGGGGTCCTGTCAGCCAAGGATGGGGGGCTGCTGCCTAGGGGTCCCACCGGCTGAGGATGGGGTGCTTCCCGGGGGTCCCATCAGCCAAGGATGGGGTGCTGCCCAGGGGTCCTGTTGGAGGGGCCGGGGTGTAACGGGGTCTCTTCCCTCTCCTCCTCTGCAGGGCCAGCACGGAGGCATCGAGCAGGAAGAGCCCGTGCCCACAAGCCTTGCTGACCTCCCTGTCGAGGAGCAGATCCATTTCCATGGGATCCCTCTACTCCTTCCCGGAGCCCTGGCCCGGTGCGATGGTGGAACTGGCCATGCTCAAGGGATCCTCCCAGTCCCCCAAGGATGCGGAGGGGCCGGAGGGGGATCGGGGAGCAGCCCTTGGCCAGGACCCCCCATTGGAGCTGTCAGAAGGGACCAAGAAAGAGCGGGTCCCCGGGGATGGGGGGGACAGGGGGCAGAGCCCCGTGGGTGTGGAGCTGCCCCCCGACAGCCCCCTGGGCAAGGACACAGACAAGTGGGAGCGTATTGTGGAGCTGATCCACACCATCTGGACCAGCCAAGCCATGACGGAGCAGCTCTGCAAGCTGCTGCAGGTGGAGCTGGTCCAGTGGCAAGCGGCAATGGAGGGCGGCGGCAAGACCCTCAGCAAGGAGCCCCCCCCCCCCAGGCCGGAGGTGAAAGCCCAATCGGGGCTACTGGGGGACAGAGAGTGGCCCCAGGGTCTTGGAGCGGAGCTGCCGTGGGCGGACATGGACGTGGAAATGGTGGCGGAGTGGGATAAAGACAGCGACAAGGATGTGGAGGTGGAGAGGAGCAGCCCCACGGACGTGGAAAGGCTCAGCCCCATGGATGTGGAAAGGAGCAGCCGGGCAACTGTGGAAAGGCTCAGCCCCACGGATGTGGAAAGGAGCAGCCGGGCAACTGTGGAAAGGCTCAGCCCCACGGATGTAGGAAGACTCAGCCTCATTGATGTGGAAAGGAGCAGGCCCATGGAGATGGGAGTGCTCAGCCCCACGGAGCCGGGCAGCATCAGCCCCGTGGGGCTGGGCAGGAGGATCCCGTGGGATGCGAGGAGCAGCAGCATCTCCATGGGGCCAGGCAGGAGCAGCCCCATGGAGACGGACACGAGGTGCCCCATGGGGCTGAAGAGTCGCATCCCCACGGACCCGGGTGGGAGCAGCCCAGCGGAGCCCGGTCCCCGGCCACGCGTGCCCGTGGAGAAGGTGCGTGGCTGGGTGGCCCTGGGGCGGTGCAGGGCAGGACGGTGCCTGCGGGAGGGCTGGGCCCGGCTCTTGGGGTGGCTCAAGGTTTGGTGGGGACATCACAGTCGGCCCCTCCACCGCCGCTTCTGCAAGCCCCCGTGGTGGCCACGCTGGTCCCAGGGGTGCAAGGGGCTCCCTGGGTACTTGGCATCCGCGGAGCACTGGCCTGGGAACCCCCCATGTGACATCTTCAAAAATTAAATATTTTCTCTACCCCTGATGCCGTGGGTCTTCCAGCCATCCCTTGGTGAATCTTCTCCCCACCTCCCTTTGACAAGCCCCCCCTTTCTGTCCCTTACTGAACCCCCCCCTTCTTGTGCCTGGTGTCCCCCAGGCTGCTCCTGCCTGGGTCTGGGTCCTCGTCCCCATTCCCATCCGCATCCTTGTCCCCATCCATCCCTGACCCCATCTGCTCCATCCCAAGGATCCCACACTCTGGCCCCAGCAGCCCCAGTTGGAATCGTGCCCCCATGCTGGCAGGAGGCTGGAGGGGGGGCGGGGGGGGGGGGGCAGTGTCCCAAGGTTGTGTCCCACCATCCTCAGCAGCGTGATTTGGGGAGGAGGTTGAGGAGGGGGTGTCAGGGCAAGTGCCACATCCCAGCACAACAGGGCTGGATCCGGCATCAGGTCCTGCAGGAAAAGGCCGAGCCCCCAGTGGGAATTTGCACCCAGCAAAGGCAATTTACCCCAAGTGTTCCAACCCGGACTGGGAGCCTGGGGAGTCGTAAAAAGGTTCTGAGATCCCTGTGGGTTAAATTAAGGTGAAATGACACCAACCAACCAGTTAAAATATTTACTTGTGGTAGAAACAACTTAATAAACTTGGAAAAGGGTGGTAAGCACTGGGGTCTCTTATTGATAAATCTGTAAGAAAGAAAAGGAAAGGAGAGGAAAAGAGTCCAGATCACCACCCCAGGTTCCAGCGCTGCCTCAGTTCTGGTTATCTCGAGGGGTGGGGGGGTGGGTACCCCCCCAGCAAAGTTTTCTATCACCTTTTAAGTTTGTTTTATCAGCTGATTTGCACACTAGACAAAGAGAAGGGGGGGTATGCCAGGAATTTATTTCCATGAGACGAGGAAAAGCTGGAGCACGGTTTCTGCACATGCATGGAGGGGAGGGGGGTGCACCAACCCCTCGTTCAATTGAGTCGGTGCTCATGCTTGCCCCCCGCCCCCCGCCGCCTTATTTTTTGCTTAGGTCCATGTGGTGCTGGTTATTCTTTTCTTATCAATCTTTTAACCCAAACAAACGGCTTCACTCAGCCCACCTTTCCCCACTTTGGGGCTTATCTAAGGAATTTGGCACAACAGCAGCAAGGGAGTGGGGATGTGCACCCCTTGATTTTGACCCCCCCCCCACCTACCCACCCAGGGTGGCTTCCCCAGACCGGTCACAACGGCCTTGAAGTTGCCCTGTGTCAAGGGACATTTGGGGCATCAATTCCTGCAGTTCCTCACACCCACCCAGGGGGTTTCCTGACGGGCTGCAAGGCAGGAGGGGGCAGCGGCTGCTCGGGGAGAGGGATGGTAAAAATAACCAGGAGGGTGGCGGTGGGGGCTGGATCTGGGCCCGAGCGAGCCCGGCCAGGGCTGCTATAAAAAGAAAGAGCGGCCGCTTCTCACCTCTGCAGCCGACAGCGGGTCAGCACCGAGGGGCTGGGTGCCGTGGGAGCCGGGGAGCAGAACCCCAACCCTGCTGGGGGTAGGGGGTGGGGTGGGGGGGCAGGTACCGCTGCTCGCTGGGGCGCAAATAACGGGGTCGGGGTCTCGGCCGGTGCTGAGCGGGGTGCCCCTGGCTGGGGAGACAACTTGGGGAGGGGGGGGGGTTGCTGTCCCCCCCCCAGTCCGTCCCGCTTCTCCCCCACCCCCCTGCTCTCGCTCCCCTCGCACCTCCCCAGCCGCTCATCGAGGAACCTGCTGCTTCCCAGCTCCCCCCAACCCACCCCACCCACTCCCCCCAGGCTTCCCCCCCGGGGAGGTTCTGCCCAGCATGGAGCATCTGGCGCTGGGACTGGTGCTGCTGGTGGGCACCCTGGCCGCCAGCAGCCCCCCGCGCCGCCGAGACCTTGACCCCGTCAAGGAGGTGGCGCTGGACATGGCCCCCGCCGCCTTCGACGACCAGTACCGGGGCTGCAGCCGCATGATGGAGGAGGAGCTGGCGGAGCTCAACCGCACCGAGTTCGCCAACAACAGCATCTACGCCAAAGCCTGGACCCTCGCCGCTGCCGAGTGGCGGAGCCGGGGGGGTCGCGTCCCGCAGCCGCCGGCGCTGCGGCCGGAGCAGGCGGTCGCCCTCCTGGCGTACACGGCGCAGGGACCTTTGCACCAGGCGTTCAACGCGGCCGTGCGCGAGGCCGGGCTCTCCCGCGAGCGATACCTGGGCGCTTTCTGCTTCAAGGCGCTGCATTTCCTCCTGAGCGAGGCCCTGAGGGTCCTGCGGGACGCCCGGCCCCGCCGCTGCCACCGCGTCTACCGGGGAGTCCGCGACATCCGCTTCACCGCCCGGCAGCGTCAGTCCGTCCGCTTCGGCCACTTCACCTCTGCCTCCCTCCGGAACGAGAGCACGCTGCCCTTCGGCCAGGACACCTTCTTCTCGGTGGAGACCTGCTACGGCGTGCCCATCAGGGACTTCTCCTTCTTCCCCGACGAGGAGGAGGTCCTCATCCCGCCCTTCGAGACCTTCGAGGTCACCCACGTCGCCCGCGACGGGGACAGAGCCCTCATCCAGCTCCGCTCCCAGGACGCGCTCAGCACCTACAACTGCGAGCTGGTGAAAGGTGACGTCCCCGCTGGTGGGGCGCAGGGGGCTGGGGGGCGGCCCCGTCCCATCAGCTCTGCTGGAAAAGGGGGGGGGGGGGGTGTCCCGGTCGTGGGGAGGGGGCTGAGGGTGCTGGCCTTGGGGTGCACGGCCTCGCACGACTCCCAGCTGCTTTCCCCTGGGGTTTGAAATGGGGGCCCTCGGCGGCAAAGCATGGCACGGCATGGCATGATACTTGGTATGGCACAGCATGGCATGACATGGCATGGCATGGCATGTCAGGGTATGGCATGGCATGACATGGCACAGCACTGTATGTCATGGTATGGCGTGGCATGGCACAGCACTGTATGTCATGGTATGGCGTGGCATGGCACAGCACGGCATGAAATGGCACGGTATGGTAAGGCATGGCATGGCATGGCACGGCCTGGCACTGTATGGCATGGCACGGCACGGCCGGGCCGGGGCGAGGAGCAGCACGGTGCGTGGCGCACAGCACCGTGCAGAATTGTGGGGTTTGGGTTTTTTTTTGGCAGAGAAGAGATGCAGGAGCCGCCCGTGCGTCTTCAGCGCAGGTGAGCCGAGAGCCATCCCCCCACCCCCCCCAACACCCCTCTCTGACAACCCCCCTCTGACACCCCCCCTCTGACACCCCCAGGCAGAAGCATCCCCGGGGACCCCCCGCAATTCTGGGGGCTCCTCCTGGCAGCCGTGGCCCTGGCAGCCGCCGGTGGTCCCTGAGCTGCGAGGCGCCACGGCGAGGAAAAGGGGTCGGGAACGGGAGGCACCGGCTTCACGGGGGGGGGTGTGGGGGTGGGAACCACCTGGATGAGGCCTTGGGACACAGCTGAGCGACTGGGGGGGGGGGGTTGTGTCTGTGAGGGGCTGTCCCAGACACGGGGGGGGGGGGGGGTGGTGCCAAGACGGGGACGCGGCAGCCGAGCTGCTTTTGGGGGTGCCCCTGCCCCGCCGGCTGCCCCTGGCTCCCAGGGGAATAAAGACTTGGGGTGTCCCCCCGGGGGGTTTCCTGCGGCTCCTTGTGCTGGGAGCAGCTCGGGGGCGGGGGGGGGGGAGTTGTACCTGGGGTCTTCTCCAGTCCCCCCAAATCTAGAGCATCCCGCAGAGCGACACCTGCACCCCAGATCCTGCTCAGCTCCCCGGGGGTCCCTGCGCCCCACGGCCACCCGCAGCTCCCCAGCCCCTCGCTGGGGGCTCCTCTCCCTCCCTCCCACCCCCCCGCACGGGTTCTCTCTGCACCCACGGGCGTCTCCAGGACATGGGTGACACTGAGCAGCCTTAATGTTCTTTAATAAATTCTGGGGTCCCACAGCCGGCTGCGGGCAGGTCCCAGGGCCGGCCCGGGCAGCGCTCCCGGCTCGGCGAGGCGAAGCGGGGTGGGTGGGGGGGGGCCGGGACCCCCACGCAGAGCGGGGCCAGCTGACGCGGGGCCGTGGGGACCCCCACGGCGGGGCACGGAGACAGACCTCCCGGGAGACATCACGTCCCTGGGGCAGCGGTGCGGGGCCGTTGGGAGCGGGGACCCAGACCGCGGGGCGCTCACCCGTCACGAGTTGCTCCCCGGTCTCAGCCCAGTCCGCCGCTCTCGGCGGGGGCCGGGGAAGGCCACTTCAGCTCCCGCGTGTCGACGCCGAGGGGGCTGAGCACCACGCAGGTGAAATTGGTGCTCAGGTGCCGGGCGCCGAAGGAGACGATGTGCAGGTCGCGGCGCAGGGCCACCCCCGAGCCTCGCGGCTCCTCTCTACGACCCAACAGGGACCCGTCAGCGCCCCGATTCCACCACACACACACCCACACACACACACACACACCCCTGCTCCCCAACCCCGGGGTTCTGGGATCCCTGCCAGAGCCCTGCGCACCCCCCCTACACCCCAAAACCCCAAAACCCCCCCCAGCCCCGATACTCACAGCACCGTCCCCTCGCGCACGGCCCCGTCCGGGTGCAGCTTCTCGACGAAGGAGCCGTTTCCCAGCCAGTAAAGCAGCGTGAGCTCGGGGAGGTCGCTCACCGCCTCGCACGACACCGTCACACTCTCACCTGGAGCCCGGGGGGGGGGGGGGGACACGGATGGACGCGGGGTCAAGGGGGGGGCTTCGAGGGTCCCCAATGTGCTCCCCCCCCACCCCCCAGCCCCCCTGCGCAAAAGGGAACGTCCTCCCATCCTCACTGTCACCCCAAAAATCTCGGCTGCGGGTGGAGGATGCACCCCAGGAGCTGGTTCAGAAGCTCCCACATCCCCCCCCCCCGTGCCTCCCCACGGCTGGGGGTCTCACCGCAGTGACCCCCCCCATCCCCACGTCTGTATGTGTGTGTGTGTGTGTGTGTCCTGCAATGGCCTTGGGGGGGGGTCACTCACCTGGGCGGGGGGGCTGTGTCGGCTTCCGCAGGACGGTGATGCTGGGGGGCTGCAGCGCCATCGCGTCTGGGGGAGCAGAGCGGGGTGAGTTGGGGGGACACACACAAGAGCCGCCCCCCCCCCACCCAGACACCCCACATCTCCAGGGTGGCGGGGAAGGGTCCCACAGAGGGGACACAGCTCATCCTCAGCCCACCCCACCCCCCGCCTCCAGGCCCCTGGGTGAGGTGGGGGCACAGAGCCAGGAGTTGGACCCAGCCCTCCCCCTCCCTGCCCTCACCCCCCGGCCCCCCCCAGCAGCCCCCCCACTTACCCGTCCAGCAGGAGGCCAGGGCCCAACAGAGCAGGGGCAGGAGGAGCCGGGCAGGGGGTCCCGGGGTTCCTGCGGGCAGAGAGGGGGTTCAGCTCCCCCCACACCCCCCAGCATCCCCTGAACTGGTCATACCCCCCCCCCCCGAATCCCCCCAGTATCCCCCCCACACCTTCCAGCATCCCCTGAACTGGTCATACTCCCCCCCCCCCCCCCCGAATCCCCCCAGTATCCCCCCCCACCTCCAGCATCCCCTGAACTGGCCATACCCCCCTGGCCCCCAGAATCCCCTGGCCCCCCCGCAAAAGCATCCGCCTGGTTTCCCTCCCCGTCCCGCTGTCCCCCCGGCCAAACCCCGGCGGGTGCCCCCCCGCCCCCTCCACCCCGGCCCCACAGCAGCCGTACGGGCGGGGCGCGGCGCAGCCATGGGGCAGCGGCTCCCGGGGCGGCGGCGCTTTATGGGGCGGCCCGAGGGGGCGGCAGCGCCGTGACTCACCGGGACCCGCCCCCCACCCACCCCCCCGGGACGTGCCCAGTGACCCCCCCGTGGCCCGGTGTACCCCCCCCCCCCCCCATGTCTCCCTGTACCCCACAGCCCTCCGCACCCCACAGCTCTCTGTCCTTTGCCCCTCCGTGTCCCCTGGGCCCTACATCCCCCCAGATGACCAACCTCGCTGCTCCCCCCCCACCTAAAAAAATCCGCCCCCCCCCTCCAGCCCGGTGCTGTCACAGGGCTTGGCGACAGTCCCCGGGGCTGGTGGCAGCACCGAGCCCACAGCCCCACGCTGCGCCCTGACTGTATCGGGGTGCTGGGCCATGGCACCCCAATTTGGGGTGAGCCTGGGGGGGGTGGGGGGGGGCCACGGACAAGGCAGGGTCTGTGCAGAGCGAGGTGCGTGAAGCCCCCCCCTGCCCCGGGATTGGGGGGGAGCCCTGGATGCTCGGGGGATGGCTTTGGGGGTGTCCCAGTTGGGGCAGCATCCCGGTTTAGTACCAGCCCCCCCCCCCCGTGCCAGGGGATGAAGGAGAGAGACCCCCAGGGACTCCCCTGGGGGGGAGGGGGGGTCAGGTAGAAGCCCTAGGCGAGGCGGGGGGAGAGCCAGAACCCAGCCCCTCCTCAAACCAACGCTGGGGGCCCAGCAGCAAAACACACAGGGAATTCAGGAACCCCCAGAGATCGGGCTGTAAAACCGGGGGGGGGGGGGGGTGTCCTCCTTCCCCAACCTGGGAGAGGCTGGGACCCCCCTCCCACCCCACCCCCCCGGCCCTGGCAGCGCCAACGCCTGGGAAAAAAAAAAAAAAAAAAAAAAAGCCCCTAAAATCCCGGCGCGTTTCCCAGCAGATGTTATCGAACGGTTCCCAGAAGGGCAGGAGCGCGGCCGGGCCACCTCCGACGCCTCGCCAAGTGCCACCACGCGTCCCCTTCCTCGTGCCGAGGCCACGACGGTGCTGGCATGGGGGACACCCCCCCTCCCCGTGCTCCTCCACACCCCCCCTGCTCCCCACAAACGCTCAACCCAGCTGAGCTCAAGGGCACACGTGGGGCAGGGGCTGAGACAGGGGGGCTTTGTCCCCAACCCCGTGTGGCAGCTGTCCCTGTCCCTGTCCCCCCCCACCCCCCCGGGCCTCCCCAAGGAACACAAAGGCGGAAGGAGGAACCGCGGCGGGGAAAGACGCTCAAGAAAAACCCTGAGCCAACGTCTGTTTCCAGGACTCTTATTTCTGTTTGGCACAACATCGTGACGTGGTTTCACCCAAAAGAAAACCGAAAGGACTCGGCGGGGCGCGCGGCGCAGCCACGACGGGGTCTCCCCCGGGGAGACGCAGCCGAGCTGCCGCTGCTCCCCAAACCCCCCCTCGCACCACGAGCAGGGGAAGGAGGGACACACACACACACACACACACACACTCGGCCTCGTGTCCCCTTGTCGCGTGTGTCCCCCCCACCCACCCCAGCCAGACCCCGGCACCCTCGGGGGGCCACGGCTCGAGCCACCTCCCTGCCGCCTCCAAAACGTCCCCGGGGTCGGGGACCTCGCCCCCGCACGCTGCTGTCACGGGCTGCACCCACCCGCTGCCAAAAAAAAAAAAAAAAAAAAAGAGCTCAAGGTCCTTCGAGCGAAAGGGACGGAGGCTCAAGGCTCCGGGAACTGGAACCGCAAAGGGAGCGGAGCGACACCGGGGCAGGGAAACGCTGGCACCAGCCCAGCCCTGCCCTTCGCTCCATCCCTTTTATTAGTGCCAAAAAGAGCGATCCCCCGAGCCCCGGGGCAACCTGCTCTTGCCATCCCGACCCCATCCCCGACCCCCCCCCCCCCGCCCCCCCCCCGGGGAGGAACACGGAAAAGAGGGGAGCGTCCAAAAGGGGCTGCAGGAGAGCGGCTTGGTTCCTCCCCGCACCCCCACGGCAGCGGGGAAGGGACGCGGCAGCCAAGAGTCCGGCCCGCGGCACTAAGGGCCCTGTGTCCCCTCCTTTGGGGCGCTGGGCTCCAGCCCCCCATTCCCCCCCCCCCCCCGCCCCAGGCAGCGTCTCCTCCGCAGCCCAACCCCGAGGCTGCTTCCCCGTGTCCCATCCTCGCTGCTCTGGGGAGCCGGCGATGCCTCAGCCCGCTCCCCATCGTTTTTCCCCCCCTTTCGGCAGCGGAGGGAGATGGAGAACAGCCCCCCCCAGCCACACACTGGGGGGCCGGGGAGGGAAAGGGGAGAAGCATCTCTTTTCATCTGCGATAGAAAGTTTTAAATACGCTCATTAAAAGAATCGCCTTTTTTAAAAAAAAAAAAAAAAAAAAAAAATACTTCCCCCAGCCCTAATGGGAGGGGGCCCCCGGGCAGAGTCCTCCCTCAGCCCCCCCCCCCCCGGCGCCACAGTCCTCAGGGGCGGCCAAGGTCCTGAGAGGTGACGGAGAAAAGCCAACGTCCCCAGCTGGCTGCTGTCCCCTGCCCTGGGCACGCGTCCTCTCGTGGCTCCGTGGCTCCCCGCCCTTACTCCAGCCCCAGGATGTAGTTGATGCCCTGGACCAGTCCGATGATCACCGGCTGCCAGGCCACCAGGTAACGCAGCCAGTCCAGCAGCTGCCCGTACATGACGTGAGGCCTCTCCCAGCTGGGCAGGAAGGAGTTAAAGAGCCACGGGGGAGTGGGGGTGGGGGGGGAGAGGGAGCCCACCCAGGAGCCACCCAAATCTGCCACCACGTGAGGACGGGGTGGGGGACACAGCCCCAACCCTCTGCCAGTGGCAGGTGCCTGGGGAGGGATGGCTGCGGGCAGGCTCGCCTCGGCTGCACCTCAACAAGGGGGATTTTGGGGTGCAGGCAGGTGTCCTGTGGGATTTGGGGGGGGGCCCTGGCTTCCCCACCTCCTCCCCGCGAGGGACCCGCTTTGGCAAGCGGCAAACCCGGCGGCCGGCTTTGTGGGGACCCATTCTCGTCCCCGTGGGAACATCCAGAGGGGGAAAAGCAAAACCTGGGGGCTCCAGTCACCCCCTGCAGAGGGGAGGGGAAGGATTTGGGGTGGGGGGGGACACACTGTGGGGGTTCAGCCACCAAAGGCTTGGTGAATATTCTCACCTCTCCCCCGAGGGAGCAGCAGCCTCGCTGGAGCAAAGGAGCAGCCAGCATGGCCCCAAGCCCCTCGGGCGCTGTGCCCCCCTGCTCCCCTTCCCAAAGTCCAACGCGGAGAAAGGATACGGGTTACTGAACATCCTCTTGAGATCCACCTTCTCTTTGCAGTACGGACACGTCTGCTTCTTCCCGACGATGCACCAGCCGCGGATGCAAAACTCGTGAAACCTGGGGAGCGGCGCGTTAAGGGAAACGGCTTGGGGCTGGAGGAGGGCGGCAGGGAACGCACCACCCGTGCGGCCGAGTGTGGAGGAAACCATCGAGCTTAACAAAAAAAAAAAAAAGACACCCCTCACGGGGTGCTCGGCCCACGCTCACGCCGGGTCAGAGCGATGTGGGAAGCCCCTCGATACGAGGGGTACGAGGCAGGGATGGGGCTGGCTGGGCCTTCGGGGGTTGGCATGGCCCCGGAGAGCTCTGCAGGCTCGAGGGTGAGCGTTAAGCAAGGCTCCTGCAAAGGCTTCCCGGGGATGAACAACCTATTTAAGGAATTTCTCCCAGGGTCTTGACTCCCAGGTGCCAGCTCTGCTCCGTCACGGCCAGCGGGTAACGAGGATTTACCCAAGCTGAGCGGAGGCCTGGGAAGTGTGAGGGGGGCTGCGGCACGGTGAGGCACGAGGGTGTCACCGAGCAAACACAAACTCCCTGGGGTGATGCCTCTGCTGCTCAAACCAAGGGTTAACGCCAGGGAGCAGCCAGCCCTCACCCCCGGGGACCACCACGAGCACCCACAGCCCCAAACCCACCCACCCCGGAGCCGCAAGGGGCCCCATGGCTGAGGCCAGGCTGGCATAAACCTCACCAAACAGTTTCTAGCGGTTAAATTCAGGCAACGAGCTTTGCCAGCGTGACTTTTGCTCAGGCCCAGTTTGGAAACCACCTCGCAGCCAGAAAATGCAAATGGTGCCAGAGGACATCCCATCTCCACCCCTGAGTCACTTGCCAGGAAAAACCCCTGCTCCGTCCCCCCGCCCCGGCTGGGGCTGGGCCATGACCAGGCACTTCCAGTTTCAAAACAAAAAATGACTGTGTGTCGATCAGCTGATGAGGGCTGAGCCCTTCCAGGGAGCTGGAAAACCCAGGTGCAACCGGAGCCGCCGGAGGAGTTCTGGAGAAGGAGGAAGCTGCCGGGCTATGGCTGGAGCAGGGGGGCTGCGTGGGGCAGGCAGTGCTCCCCCCCAAACTCGACCCTTGGGAGGCAAGTGCCGCGCAGATTTGGCAGCTGGAAAGTGAGGTGCAGCTCTACGGCAGCGGCGTCCGAACGAGGAGGGGGGGGGGGGGGGGGGGGCCGAGAAGGGGAAGGAAGAGAAAACAACCGCTCATAACGCAGGCGGAGGCGGCGAGGAAGTGATGTCGGGGACACGCAGGACTGTGCCAAGTCAGCTGTGACACAGGCAAAGATCACATGCAAAATCACAACGGCGCCAAGTCCCGGGACGGGCGTTTTTTGAGTCCAGGTTGGGGGGGGAACCGTGGGACAGGAGGTGCCGGCTGCCAGCCCCGGAGGAGAAGGATACACGTGGTTGCAGGAGAGGCGGTAGGTGTTCTCGATGATCCCCTCCTCGTTGACGTCCACGAAGATCTGCTGGCCGCAGACGGCGCAGACACTGTCGGAGAGGTGCTTGGTGGGCATCCCCGAGGCGCTGTAGAACTGAGCGAGGGCAGAGCAGAGGGAGAGAGGTGACAGCGGGAGGGCGAGCGTCCCGCGCCACCTAGCCTCGGCTTTTGGGGCTTAAAAAAAAAAAAAAAAAAAGCCCTGTTACAGGTCCGGCTGCGGGAAACAACTACGACAGGACAGGGAGCTGCTCAGTGAGGCAGGGGGGGTCACCACACCCCAGCCCCGCACGCCCCTTCCCCACGCTGGGGACCACCCAGCTTCGCTGCCGGGGAGTTGTCGGCTCGCTGCCGGGGCTGGTGTGCCCACACCGGGCAGCGAGGCCGGGGCAGAGAGCAGGAAAAGGCGGAGGTCACAGCTTCGACCCGACGTGAGAACCTTGGGCTGGCAGTGGGATACGAGCCCCAGCTCGCTGAAGCTCGAGCAGCCGACGAGCGAAGCGCAGAGCAGCCGCCCCTCTCCCCGGTGTTCCCAAGCCCGGCGCAGGAGGGTGCAGGCACACAACTTGGCGGGGGGTGTGTGTGTGTCCCCTCCCGGCACAGCTCCAGTCCCACATGCTCCAGGGACGGCCACGAGCTGCAGGTCGCTCCTGCTGTGCCCCAGCTCCCACGGCCAGGCTGGGAGATGTACCATCATCGAACGTCTGAGGTTGGAAGGGATCCAGTGAGGGTCATCGTGCCCAGCTCCCTGCTCCCCTCGGGACTGCCTAAACCAAACCACAGGACTAAGAACACCGTGCAGAGGCTCCGTGAATTCCGACGGGCTTGCTGCCGTGCCCACAGCCCTGGGGAGCCCACTCTCAGGACCAACCACCCTCTCAGTGAAAAGCCTTTTCCTGAAGAAAAATCCTAATGGGAATCCTGATGAAGTCTGAACTTCCCCTGATGCTTCCTCCCGTTTCCTCGTGTCCTACCGCTGGTCACCAGAGAGAGGAGGTCAGCACCTCCTCGCCTTGAAGAAGTTGTAGGCTGCGATGAGGTCACCCCCCAGCAACGAGGTCACCTTCTCTTCTCCACGCTAAAGAAACCAAGTCTTGTCCTCGAGGCCTTTCACCACCTCGGTCGCCCTCCTCTGGACACACTCTCATAGTTTGAAGCCCTTTTTATAACGAGGAGCCCAAAACTGCACCCAGTACTGGAGGTGGGGCTGCCCCAGGGCAGCGCAGGGTGGGACAATCCCGTCCCTTGACCGGTTAACGACGCTGTGCTTGATGTCCCCCCTGGACACTGCTGGCCCTTTGGCTACCAGGGCTCAGTGCTGACTCCTGTTCAACTCGCCATCAACCCAGACCCCCGGCTCTCTTTCCGCAGGGCTGCTCTCCACCCTCTCATCCCCCAGTTTTTACGCGTAACCAGGGTTATCCCATCTCAGGTGGAGAATCCAGGACTCGCTCGTGTTAAATTCCATACGGCTGGCAATCGCCCAGCTCTCTAGTCTATCCAGATCTCTCTGTAAAGCTGCTCTACCCTCCAGGGAGTCCACAGCTCCTCCTGGCTCAGCAGCAGAGACCTGGCACAGCTTCGCTCTGAGCATCCAACAGAGCCGTCGGGCTGCAGTGCCAGCTGGCAGCAGCTTCCTCCCGGCAGCCCTGCAGCCAGGCCAGACCCTCAGGTTGCCCCTGGGTTACTAGAGGCCTGGCCTGGGTGCCCACCACCCACGTAGGGGGAGACCCAAGCCGTGCTGAGGTGTCCCAGCGCGAGTAGAAGGCAGCTGGTGAGGGGCTGGGGCAGAACCTCCAAGGAACAGCAGCAGAAAGCTCAGAGAGGAGGAGGAAACGCAAAGTCCAAGACCCTAAAGAGCTGATGCAAAGAAGCACGATGACCTACTCCACCGGTGTCCTAGGTCACGTATTTTTTGGTGGGGTGTTTTTTTTTTGGTACCAAGCGAGCGGGCTACAGATTCTAGGCACGCAGGAAAGTGCCCTGTGTGTCCACAGGGACAGCACGAGGTGCAGCAGCAGGAAGCCCGTGGGGTGAATCCGTGCTGGTGGCTGCAGGTCCCGGAGGAACGCACCCGCAGCGTGGCCCCAGAAACAGAAGCACTCTTCAGCACCGGAGATTTTAAAGGCCCAGCTAGAAAAATATTTGTCAGGAGGTTAGAGGGGCCGAACGGATCCTTCCACTCCTCATTTCTTGTGCTTCTGGGGATGAGGGGACACCCGCAGAGGCTTTGCTCTTAAAGGAAGGATCTCGGAGCGACTCTGTTAGGTCAGAAACCTCCCAGCCCAGACACCACGGCAGTGGGCTCAGAGAGCAGAGCGAGAAAAGCAGCAGCCTCCGGGCGCCCTGACTCAAGGGGGGAGTTTGATGCACTTTCCCTTTCGGGGGGAAGCAAAAGCTGGTGCTGCTATGGACACGTTTCAGGCCCCCCCGTAACGGGGCAGGACTCTGGCCTAGGGGACAGCACGGCGTTAACTCACCCCGATCGTGGAGGCCATGTAATCCGCACACATCTCGGCAAAGTCCCGCTCCAGCACCCCGTAGTAAAGACCGTAGAAGAGGAGGGAGATGCCGAAGTCCATCGCGTCTTCTGGTTTGATTCTACAACAGAAGAGCCCAAAAGACATCAAGAGGGTTTTGGATTTTTTTTTTTTTTTTTGGTGGGGGGCTGGTGAGGTGTAAAGCCAGTGTGCTGACACAGCCCACGGCACCAGTTCAGGTACCAGCATCTCACCCGTGATCCCCCCAGCAGGGAGAGGACACCCCAAGAGTCTCTTTGGCCCCGTTAATCAGATTGCTAAGAAGACAACTCTTTATCCAGAGTCGTAGCCAGCGCCTTATTCCACATGGTGCGTTACGTCCCCCGCCCCAGGAGTGGGACCCGAAAGATTCACTCACCTGAATAATAAGTTAAGACCAAAAAGTGTAAACATCACAGCCATGTACCCTACGATTCCAGTGGCATAGCTGATCTTGTATATTAGTAGAAACCATTTATAAACCAGCCTGTAAAGAATTAAAACAAGAATTTAACTACTTCATTTTTTCCTGAATGAAACTGCACCAAGCACCCAAAGAGTTTCCCTTTTTAAACCCAGATGATGGTGCCTGCAGACACTGCAGCTACCCGTACGCACGGGCAAGAGAGCTTTAAATTTCTAATTCAAGCTACAGATCCGCCGCTGCCACGGGCCATTCACGGTCTTGGCTTCCAAAAGAGAAACCTCAGGATCTCCAAAGGCTGTAAGCAAGTGTGCTTCATGCTGGGAGTGCCTTCGGTGAGGCTACCAGCCCAGGTGGGATCTGCCTTTCCACCACCCCCCTTGGCTACCATGGGCATGGGGCTGGTTGCCAGCAGCCCCTTAGTGCTTCACACCCACCGACCAAATTGGGCAGGGGCTGCACGCCCCCGGGGTGCAAAGTTTAAGGCAATGATCTGCAGCAGTGAAACGGAAAAGAGCTGCTTGTAATGGTTACCCTGGGGCTGAGGAGTTTTCCCAGGAACACTTGTACATGTGCTAACCTGGGCGTTGTCTGTACCAGAGGTTTTCGAGTTGCCCTGAAGGTGACAAAAGCTGTGACTGCTGAGAAGAGCACCCAGATGACCAGGAACCGCCACCAGTACAGCTTGATCGTGAAATACAGAGGCACTACCCACATCTGGAAGAGGGTCACCATCTGCAGGAACAGAGGGGAGGCATTTTGAGCTGGTTCTCTGCTCATCAGACATCAGGAACACCCTGCCAGTCCTGGCAGCCGTTCTCCTGTATCAGAGGGCCCTGAACAGCACCAGGAAACTCAGAAGGTTTGGTCTGTGGCGCCCAGAGAGCAGGCTCAGAGCCCGACGGAGTCGGAGGCAGCAGCCAGGCGAGCTTTGGTAGCAAAGGACTAGGGCTGGAGGCAGAACGTTGAGGAAACATCTCCAGAGGAAGGTACAGGAGGTTATCCACCTAACTAGTTGTTGTAAGGAGGCTACCTAAACCTTCATCTTCCCAGGGCCCCAACATTGCAACCACAGACACCTCAGGCAGGCGTTAAACAAGGAGATGGGTGCAGCGGAAGGTTTCAGACTCGCCTCTGCCCTGCAGCCCACCCCCAAAAGGGATCTACAGCTCCCGTGGTGCTGCCGGAGGGGAACAGGCAAACAGGGTCAGGTTGAAGTTCACCGAGGATTACAGATATTGCCTGGAAACATTAATGATGATAAGGAAGGCAGAGTGAGGTTGTTTCAGGTGAAATAAGTGTCCCTGAAAAGCCAGTGGCATCAGCAGGTGGCAGGTTCTGCTCAGCAGAGCCCAGCGGTGCTGCCGGAACCCTCAAACCCAGGCTCCCTGCAGCAGGAAGCCCCCGTCGCTGCTGAGCAAGCGCCCAGAAAACGCAGCTTCCCTTCGCGTCGCCCTCGGATCCACTTGTCCCATCACCTGGGGTCAAAGCGCTACGTAAAACCGAGTTATTGGCATCACTTCGAGCAGAAACTTGAGGCCTCCAGGTGCATCCACCCGCAGCTCTAGCTAGAACCACTCCCACGCTGCTGGGAGGAGGAGGGTGTCTCAACACCAGACAAGAGAAGAAAACCAGGAACATCCTTCTCATCAGCTAAAGGACGGCATCACTCAGCACCCGCATTCAGCCTCGGAGACACTTACGTTGTAGGAGCGAGGGTGCCTCTGTTTCCACTGAACCAACAGGAGCTGTGCCACCACGAGCGTGGCGATAAGGATGAGGACCATTTCGGCGTGCATAGCCTCGTGACCGCGGTGCTTGGCGTGCATCCGTGCATGCTCCACCCTGCAGCAACAGGGAAAAATCGGCTGAAGAGCAGGCGGGCACGGGGCCGCGGGCCAACAGCGCGGCGGGGCTGACAAACGCCTCGGCACACCGGACCGAGGGACGGCACGAAGGAGTGCTGTGGGGACGGGCGCTGCGTTGAAATCCAGAGGAGGAAGGACAAAAGGCTTCTCTGAGACTAGCTCGTTTTTAAAACCGTGAAAGCCAAGACCGCCATCCAGCCCACCCTGGTGTGAACGGGGCAGAGAGAACTCACGCCGACGTACCCGAACTAACGAACGTGGGAGTGCTCGCTTCCCCGTGACCCACCCGGCAGCTCCTCGTGCAACAGCATCAGCTGAGTGTCTGTTCAACACCACGAGCGTGTGCTAGCGCTCAGTACCAAACCCTCAGCCCAGTTTCAGAGCCACCAGCACCATTCTCCCTCTCGCCCAGCAAGGAAAAGGCTGGACGGGAGGCAGGGGCAGGGTCCACGGCCGGCAAAACTCACAAACCCCTGCAAACCACTTCTCTCTGCCCTGGGCAACCCCATCTGCATCCAGGAACAAGAAATTTCCAGGCTGCTGCTCTACAAACATCTGGGGTTTCTTTGCAGTTGGTGCTTTTTGACCAAAAACCAAGGCAGAATTAAGGTCTGTTAACATCCTGACATCTTGGTCTTAAGCTGGTAAGATAGTTCAAGTTAGGGGGGGAAAAAAAAATAAATCCAAACCCAAGTAATATGCCAAATACTCTGACCTTAAGTCATCCTCTATAAATTAATACTGAGAGGAGACCAATCCTACTTTGCTTTTCAACAAGTGTCTGGCTGGAGCTGGTTTGGCTAAGGAAGAAGGAGGAATATCTAGTAAGCAGTTTAAAAGAAAAAAACATTAGCATTGTCTTTTAAGACAGTTCATACTTTCCTCTAACAAATAATGCCGCGCAGGGAACGCTGGCCCCGTCCTCTCCTGCCGTGAACATGGGCTGCGCTGCTGGTAGCTCCGGTCAGGAGCAGGAGCTCACTTGAGCACGGGTTCACCTAACACAGACTCACCTCCATCTCTCCTCTGGGGACAAGTGTGACAGATCAACCTAGGGAGAAAAAACAAAACAAAACAAAACAAAACAAAGAAATCAGCCGCTGAAGTTTGGGAGCAGCAGGACCAGCCTGGAGTGGATAACTTATTTTCTTCTTCTCCCCACAGGGCGCAGCTGCTGGTTCATGCCCCACGCTGCCTGTTCACCGCAAGTAACGCTGACACGGCACCCTGCTCCTTCATCTCCCAGTGAGACCCGATCGGTGGCGACAGCAGCAGCAGAGTCAGCTGCAAAGCCATCCCGTGAGACCCTGGGATTGCTCTTGGAGAGCTTGAGGAAGGGAAACCCTGGATTCAGAAGCTTTAAACAACCAATCCTCAAGGTGCCCATCACGACACCACAGCCCAGAGCCATCCTTCGAGCCTCCGGGCAGCACAGGGAGAGCTGCAGAGTCCCCCTGCTCCTCATCACCTGTGAGTACTTTTCCCCTTATACTCCCAGATTTTACTGCAGCCAGGGCTCTGCCCACCATCCCGTGCCACTTGCACCGGAGAAACTCATTGAAGTCCCACGTTCAGAACCCAGCCAGGTTCTCTGGGCTCAGTGCACACCACGAACAGGACAGAGAAGGGAGTCCAAAATCCCAACCAGCCTGCAGGACAGAGGGTGGCGTCTGCACACCAGCAGCAAACCATCACCAAAAAAATTTTCAGAAAGAATCACGGAAAAAGGAAGATTTGGGACTTGCTTTGCTGACATGGCTGGAAGTTTCTCTCAGGTGTTACAGTGCAAAGTCTTTGCCCGGTCAGAGCAACCAAGAGCAATGGGAGTTGCTGTGATTAGTGACGAGAGATGACGGGCTGGTGTAATCCGTGCTTAACACACACCAAGGCTGCCAGGCTGGGCAGGGTGTTAAGGACTCCTCCATCTGACAGGTTTAGGGACAGAAGGAACCGGACTAAGTGATTTAGAAGCCTCCTCTGCAAAACTGCGACTCTGTGCTAACCCTCAGCTTGCAAGCCAGCAGCACCCAAACCTCACCCAGAGGCCGAGTCTCGCCAAATCCCCTGTTTTTCCCAGTGAGATCTGGTGGGAATATTCTCACCTCCAGGCATTTGGACCAGGGAGGGGTGAGGGGACCTTTGACATTGCATTTCAGCTTTCTCTTGGAGCTTTTTATCCTCACGGAAGAGCTGAGGTGGCCTCCAGCACCGGTCACGTCCCTGCACGGGCCGACTGGCCGGGCACCACTCGTCCCAGCGCCAGCACAAACCCTGGGGGATGCAGCAAACACAATCCTGCAGCTCGGACTTCACCTCGCCTTTCCTTGGCAGATAAAACCTACAGCGGCTCACCTGGGGCTGGGCATATATATACACAGTTTACAAACCCCCATCTGGCAGGAGACCCCCCTGCGTGGCCGAGGGGCTGGGGACGGTGAGGGCAGGGCTGGCCAGCCCCGAATGACCCGGCCTGACGTTTATCAGCGAGCAGGCGTGGAGCCGTAAGGAGAGAGAAGGAAAACAAATCACAGCGAGGACTTTGTTATCGCGTTTTCCTGCGCACACCGGGGACGTGTACACAGCGACGGGCTCCACCTTGGCCCCAGCCTCGGATCACCGGGTACGGAGCCACCGGCTCGGCTTCAACCTTTACCCCAGGGCTCTCCCGGTCCCTCGGGGCTGTTCCCCCCAGGAGGTGTCTTGCAGCCAGCACCTCCAATCGCACCGGGGCTCGTGCAGCTGCCTCGCTTCCTCTTCAGCGCCTAATTATACCCTGGGGTGAGGAGGCAGGGAAACACACGGGTGGCAGCAACCCGTCTGCGTGCTGTTACACATCTGCTGCGCTTCACCCCAGAGCGACGCCTGTGAGAGATTTGGTCCCCGAGGCCTTCAAGGAGCACTTCAGTACTTCAGCAGGCGCAAAACACAGACCTAGAAAAATCCCTGTTTGAGCTCGCTGGCTTGTGTAGGAAGCAGCGTGTAGGTGGTGACGATCCGACACCGGCTCCGAGAAGGGAGCTTGTATCGCCCCAAACTCCCCGAGCAATTCTGTTTCCTAAAGCAACCACGTCCAGATGAATCAGTTCAGTCGCTGTTTTCCCTTCAAAAAGTCGGCTACGCAATTCGTAGTTAGAACAACTGCTCTGATAACCAGTTTTTAAAAAAATAATAATTTTTAAAAATGTTCTCAAGTCACTGCGAGCAGGAGGAACTGAGAAACTCCAAGCGCTTGTTGGCCCAGCTCAGCTCTGGTGTAGGTGAATCCCCCCACGAGCTCTAGGCAGTCACCTGGGGGCTCCTGCTGCCCCACCCAGGAGATCCCTGCTCCCCTGAGTTCTCGCTGCATGAGGACACTTTACAAGCACAGACAGTCCTGCACCTTCAAGACAGCAATTATTTCCCCCCCCCCCCCCCCCCCCCCCCCCCCCCGATACAGTGGCTTCTGGTCCCTCCTCCTCCATGCCACGCCAGCAGCCGCTCCATCCGCCGCCGGTCTGCCCCACGCTTGGGAGCACTTCTCAGCCTTTTCCAGCACCTTCCCTAAATCTACAAATTATTCCAGCAAACGAGCCAAAGCCTTCTCAGCCCCCAAACCTAAGGAAATCCCATGGAGGCGAGGGCTTCCAACCTATCTGTCCTCTAAAGCCAACAGCAACTGCCACCTTCACTGTCCTCGCAGGACATCGGACATAATTTTCTCTCAATTACGGGGACTGAGCTTCGCCAGATTCTCCAGAGCTTAAAGCTCCTGAAATAACTTTATTAAGGGGGGCTGGGACGTGACGGACAGGACGTTCAGGCAGAGGGAGCGATCTGATAACTGTCAGACAGGACTTGGCAGAGCAGCCGCCCCAAGCTGGACCTTCCAGTTAACCCCTTCTCGATCTGCACGTCCTCTTTACCAAAGAAATTGAGTTTTGGTTCTAAAAACAAACAGCAATAGGGAATTCAAATGTGAGAGACGGTGCCAGGAAGCACCTGCTCTCACTATTAAGCGTTAAGCTCTATTTCCAGATTGGGGTTGGCTCATTTTAACACCCAGGTTTTGGGTCCCTTCCTATCCCCGCCCACTGGCTGAAGAGCTTCTGCTCTTAAATCTCCCTTCAGCAGCCCAGCGAGGAGAGGGGTTGGACAGGAACCATGAGGATGGCTGCAGGATCTAAAGAGATGCTCTACCACGCCTCGAGCACCAACCCACTGCCACCGCCGACACCAGCACAGGACCTGCTCCGTGCGCCCAACTAGAGCTCTTAGAATATTTTTTTTTTTTTTTAAATAAAGAATGATATATTCTGCCCTCCATCTCCTCCATAACTCACGAACCACTCAAAAACCCCAGCCCCCCTCTGAGTGATAACTGGGAGAAACTGGATATCTATGATTAAAGTCTAATTCTCTCCTCAGACATGGTATCGTGGCCTTTGGACGAAACTCATGCCACTCCCCCGTTTTCAGCAGGCTAATGCCCCAAAGCCACCACAAACCTGAGATCCTCAGCACTGGGACAGTCAAGAGAGTTACCTCCCTCTAGGAGAACACAAATGCTGTGGTCGCCTACACTACAAACCCCGTAACTGCCCGTTTCTCGCAGCCCAGAAGCAGTGAGAGAGGAGGATCTCCGGGCACATGTACCAACCGCCCTGCTGCGAGCCAGCGGTAATCTCCTTACACTCTAAATCTGGGAAGGAAGGCAAGGAGAACATCTTGAGGATGGAGAATAAGCAGCTGCCGATTTCAGTTCCAAGCTACAGAGCAGCCTACAGCTCATGTCGCGCGGCTCCGTGGTAGTTTGACCATCAAAGACAACAGCATCCAGCATCCACTAAGCACAGCACCGGGCTGAGGCACAAGAGCTGAGGCTGCAGCACGCCTGGGGCCTGAGCTCGCCTCTCCCTCGCCCCCAACCTCAGTATTTGTTCCACATCACCCACTAGAAAAAACCTGAAATAACTGGAAGATAAATCTCAAGAGCGCCAAGAGTCCAGACGTTCACCCCAAGCAGATTTTTGAGGAGGCAGGCTCTTTAGCTAAAATCTGAGGAAATTCTAGAATCTCAATTCCTTGCTGCTTCTGCTCATAAAAGTAACAGCCGGCAGGGAGTAGCAAGGTCCCAACTGATCAAACATTTCAGCAATTGTAAACGAAACCTCTGACGACAGCCTGAGCTGCAAGCAGGCAGAGCCAAAGCCACGCGACACTCAGCGTTTGTCCCGTGCGGGTGCCCCAAGTGAAAATGTCAAACTGCTTCCCGAGCCCCACCGTTAACGGTTCGTCGGCAACCTGCTCAGCCCAAAGACCTGCCAAGAGCTCAGAACACCACAAGGATATGGATTTTGTCCGGACGGACTTGGGGTTTATGGAATCCCAGCACAGGGATAAGCAGGGTCCTGCGTGAACCTCCTTACCAGCTGCCTCCTGGCAACCCCCCCTCAGCCAGCCCTTAAAGCTGTTTCCTGACAGACTGAAAAACAGGAATTTTATTTCTGGGGGTCAGAGACTTCAAATCCCCCACGTTTTTACAGGAAGGAGGTTTCCCACCTGCTGCTGGCACTGAACTCACGAGCGCAATAGTTCACTGCTTACTAGCTTGCTTTAAGCCTCGCTTATAGCGACGGAAGAGATTCACAGGAGGATGCCAGGCTTGCTCATTCAGAGATTGTTATCCAGCGGGCACACGGACACCTTGGCACTCCTCAAAGCCTGGCTGGAAAAACACCCCTCCGGCCTAAAACCCCACCAGTGAACACCTTAAAATACAACAAGCAGCAACTCGGGAGCGACCGATGCGTGGCTGAAAGTGCTTTGCTCACTGGAGTTGGGGTTGGATCCCCCCATCGCCTGCCCTTCGGCAGCAGCTCGCATTCTCCCCGCGCTTCAGGAGGCCAACGGCCCTGCCAGGCTGCCAATTTTTGAGGAAAAACACTGAAAACCCCCAACCCCCCTGCTCTGCGTCCCCGCCGCCGTGCGTGCAGAGCCGCCCTCTGACCAAAAGGAAAGCTCACGAGCTGACAGCGCGAGCCCCTGCCCCCTACTCCAGCTTTCTGCGCAGATTTATTATTTTTTTTTTAATTTATTTTCAGCTTTGTAATTTTTCATCTCCAGGCATGCTTGAACGCCAGCACGGGAACAGAGAGAACTTCAACTAAAGCCCTCGACCTCACATGGCTTCACCCCACCAAGAGCAACAAGAGCCACTAATTATCTCAGCAGGCTGAAGCGGCTGCCAGCACCCGAGGGCACCCCCCGAAACGCAAATTCCACCCACCCTGGTCCTGCAGTTTTCCCAGCAGCGAGTTTTGCAGCCGGGGGGTGGGGGTGGGTGGGGATTTAACAGCGGAAAAGCTTCGCAGGTGCCGAAGGGCCCCACTGGTGTCCCCAGGGCCCCTCTTCGGCCCCACTTCCCTCCCACTGCTCAAAGGCCCCCCCCGAATCGCTGCTTTCCTCTTCTCAGCACTCTCCAGCCGATTCCTTCCCCCCCACGCCCCGTGGCCCAATCTCCCCTTCCCCAGTCCCCCCAACACCCACGAGCACCCTACAGCCCCCCCCCCCATCACTTCTCCCAGCGCCCTGCAGACCCGCCAAGAAGAGCAACCCCCAGAACCCCTCCTATCCCAGAGCCCCCCCACATCCCTCTGCCCCAGGGACCCCCCACAACATCCCCCCCTGTCCCCGGGACCCCCAGAACCTCTCAGGGATCCCCTGCCCCAAGGACCCCCAACCTCCCCCCCTGCCCCAGGACCCCCAGAGCCCCCCAGCCCTAACGTTCCCTATACCCAAAGCCCTTCAAGCCCCCCACAACTCTCCCCCCGCGGCCCAGGGACCCCCAGTAACCCCAGTGCAACACCCCCACCCCGTCCCAGCACCCCCAGGCCCCGGGCCCGCCGCTGGCCCCTCCGCTCCCGAGTCCAACCCCCTCCTCTTCCCCTCCCCTCCCTGGGACGCGCCCCGGAGCCCCCGGCCTCCCGCTACCTCCTCCACATCGCGGTCGACGGGACCTCCAACCTCCACTTCCAGCACCGCCGCCATCTTTCCCCCCCCCCCCCCAGCGGCCAGCTCCTTCCGCCACCGTCCGCCAATCACCGGCTACGCTGCCGCGCCTCCGACCAATCGCTCAGAGGAGCGCTGCCACGCCGACCAATCACAACAGGGGAGGGGGCGGGACAGCCGCCGGGGGAGTCGCGGCTGGAGAAGGGAAGCGGCGAACTGTCACGTGTGGGGGATCGTCTGCCATTTCTAGGCGCGGAGCGGAACGCACACTCCGCGCCGGCAGGCCCGGTGCAACCGGCCGCCTCCGTTTACACCGGTCGCCTCCGTTACACCGGCGCTGCCTCGCACTGCGGAGCCGACGGTGCCAATATTGCCAGATCGCCGCCTCCCCGCCACTTCCCGCTGCATCCTCTCCCCGCTGTTTCGAAGGGGAGAGTACATGTCAGACGGTCCCTTAGCGCCCTCTGCGCGGGGCGGTGACGCGGCGCGGCTGGAGGACTACGTGTCCCGTCGTGCACCGCGGCGGAGCGGCGGGCTGGGGGTCGGAGGTCGGAGGTCAGGACCGGGGGGGGGTGTGTCGGGACCGGGGGGGGGTCGAAGGGGGCTGCAGCGAGGAGGGAGCGGCGGTGGGCGGGCCTTGCGGGGTCAGGGGTCGAGGGTCAGGGGTCATGAGGATTGGGCGGGAGATTCAGGCGGCGGCTGCGGGATCGGTGCGTTGGGTCTGGGTACACCGGGGGGGGGGGGGTGGAACTGGAGGGGCTGAGGGGATTTGGGGGGCAAGGCTGGGGGGGAGTGAATGGGTCTTGGGGAGGGGGGAGCTGTGGGGGGGGGTCACTGCTGTGGGGGGATGTGGGGGGGCCGGAGCGAGGCCGAGGCCAGCACGGCCTCAAGGAGCGGCTGCCCCAGTGCCCCCCACTTCAAACCATTTCCAAATTGGGGGGGGGGGGGGGGGGGAGAGGGTCCGCTTGACCCTGCCGCTGAGCTGCCTGTTCCCCCCCCCCTTCCCAGGGCACAGGGACCCGCTGAGGGGAGGGGGGGGTCGCTCATCTCTGGGACCCCCCGGGATGGCTCCGGTTAAAATCAGCCACGTCGTCTCCTTCTCCTCGCAGGTCTCCGGGGCGTCTCCTCAAGGAGGGGGGGGGGGGGGGGGGGTCGCTGAGCTGCTGAGGATATGGGGGAAGGGAGGGGGTGTCTCAGTGCTGGGGGGCGCTGGGTTAGGTGTTAATTAGCACTACAGGGTGCTAATTAGATGCGATTCAAGCAGCGTGTGGGCTGCGGGAGAGCGTCCCGTGTCCGTGTGTGTCTGTGTGTCCCGGGGGGGGAGGTCAGGGAAAGGGGGAGGGGTCAGCACCTCTCTGCCGTCGCTCGCAGGACCCCAAGTACCCGGCGGAGAACCTGCTGTGCCAGGACGACCCCCAGCCCTGGCTCAGCTGCCCCCGGGACCGCAGTGGGGAGCTGAGAGCGGAGCTGCAGCTGGAGAGAGCCAGCGCCATCGGCTACGTGGATGTCGGTCTGTGCGTCCATGGGTCCGTCCCCCCACCCCAGGATGGGCTCGGACCCCCCCCACCCCCCAACCTCGCCTCCCCTCTTTCTTTTAACGCAGGGAACTGCGGCTGCGCTTTCCTCCAGATCGAGGTGGGACGTTCCTCGTGGCCCCTTGACCGGCCCTACCTCACCCTGGTGCCCAGCGTCGCGCTGATGACACCGGCGGACTCCAAACTGGGCCGGAACCGCTGCGGGGTCCGGATGTTTAAGGAAGGTAAAAATCACCGAAATGGGGAAGAACCCCCGGGGGCTGGCGGTGGAAGGAGCTGGGGGACCCCAGGAACTGCGGCCGCCCCGGTCGCTGCGCACCCTCCGCTCCCCTCCCCGTTAACGTTGTCACCGTGTCCCGGTCCCGCAGCGGGGAAACAGCAGCACAGGGTGACGAGAAGAAGGGAGAGGGGGTGCCCCCCCTCTTCCACCCCCACATCTGCCCCCCAACATCCCTCTCTCCCTGCAGCAGATTTCCTGGCGCTGGCGGCGGGGCAGAAGTGGGATCGCCTGCGGCTCACCTGCAGCCAGCCCTTCAGCAAGCACGGCCAGTTCGGGCTCTCCTTCCTCCGCGTGCGCACGCCGCTGGACCCCCAGTCCTCCCAGTCCCCCCAGCAAAGCCTCGTAGGTGCCTCTCGCCACGAAATCACGGCGATGGGGGTTTCTCCGCCGCTGCTCGTGCCCCGCGCTGGTTGAGGGGGGAGCACATCCCCATTCCCTGGGGGATTCTCTTGTCCCACAGGAGGACGCTGAGCCCACGGACGGCGCCTGGCGCTCCAGCCCTGCCTTTTACCGGACTTTTTTTCCCGAACCGCGCTCGTGAGTAGCCCGGGGAGGGGGGGGTCCGTCCCCCTGTGCGGGCTTGGGGGACCTGCGGCTCTCCCTCTCTGTCTCCAGGAGCTCGAGGGAGGAAGAGGAGCTGAAGAGCCGCCTGCTGCAGCTGGAACCCAGTGCCTGGAGCCCGGCCCACCTCAGCCGCCCGGCCCGCATGGTGCTGTCGGCGGCGCGGAGCCGGGCGCTGCGCCCCAAAACCGCCACGGCCGCCCCGGGGGGTCACCCGGAGCTGCCGGGTGAGCCAGAGCCGCCGGCGTTGGGTGCGTTGCCGTTTGTGTGTCCCTCAAAAAACCATCCAGGGGGGAACTTGTCCTGCTGGGGGGTGTACCCACAGGTCCCGGTGGGACCCCGTTGCCTTCCTCTGGGCGACTGCCCCCCCCCCCACCTCCTCGCTGGCGTGACAGAAGCGTGCTGGTGAACCCCACGCCTCACCCAGCAGCCTCCCGGGATCCCTTGACTGGCCGTACTGGGGCAGCTGGAGGAGGGGGCCGGCCGTTTGTGTCGGGCGGCTGTTTTCCCACCGCTCGCTGCTCTGGTTTTTCAACCCGCTCCTTTCCACGGGGGAGACTGGGCGCTGCTGGGGGCTCACCGCTCCTCCCCTGCTCCCCAGGACCCGCGCAGGATGTCCCCGCAGCCCCTCCCCGAGCCCGCCGGCCGCCCAACAGCAGGCAGAGCGCTCCCGGCCCCACGGGCAGGTAATCCCCTCGCCTCACCGGCTTCCTCCCACCCTCACCCCGGCCGTTTCTCCGCTCTGAGCCTCACCCAGCCGGCTCCGTGCCTGCGCCCAGCTCCCCTCTGTGGTCCCAAGCTCCTTGGGGTGGGCAGGATGAGCCCCGAGCTTACCCCCCGTGCCGTTTTGGGGTGCTGCTGCAGGTCTGTGCCAGCCGCCTCCAAGCACTCCGGCTCTGGAGGGAGAACCCGAGCCTGCAGCCAGCGCCAGAGACGGGCCAGGAGCGGTGACAGCGCTCGCAAGGGGACGGGCGTCTGCCCCATCTGCTTAGGTGGGTGTTTGGGGGGGGGTTTGGGGCATCCCCCAGCTCAAGCAGGGAGCGGCAGCGCATCTGTCTGTCCATCCAGACAGTCCCAGCAGCGTGCCCTGGGAGGGGACGGGGTGGTGGGAGAGAGTTTATGGCAGGGGTGGGGGGTGTCTCCATGAGCTGGAGCAGATCCTGTCCCCAACATCCCCGGGGAGCTGCGGGATCGAAGTGGGCACAAACTGGGGGGGGGGGGGGGGACAGGGGACAGCAGGGGCTGGCACCGGCCCTGCTTGTGCATTGAACCCCAAATTTTCCTGGGGAGAAGGGGTGATGCTTCACACCTGAGCGGGGGGGGGGACACACACACACGACACAAATGTGTCCCCTCCCCTGCCCGCAGGCCGCTTCAGCCTGGATCTCCTCCCTGTGCACGCCTCCAGCTGCGGGGAGGAAGACCCCGCCGCAGCTCGGCCTTCCTCCCTGGGCGCCTGGGTGTCCTGCCCCATCTGCGAGCTGCCCTTCACCGCGGCGGAGGTGGAGCAGCACGCCAGCACCTGCGGGGAGGAGGGGGGGAGCCCGGGTCCCCCCTCCCCATCCTCATCTTCATCCTCCTCATCCTCCCGCCTGGGGTAAGGCTGCGAGGGCAGCAGCGGGGGGACACACGAGCCCCGTGGCAGGGGCTGGAAGCTGCCACGCTGGCAGAGGCATCATGGACCTCAGTTAATTGGGGGGGGGGGAGGGAGAAACCCCTTCCCTCCCCCGCGGCTGGGCTGAGGGGGGAGGGGTGTGTGGGGACACCCCAGGGGTGGGGAAATGCTGTAATGATGAGAGGTGCTGCTGGAGAATAAATTAAAGATGAAAAAAAGAAAAATCCCCTGGGGGGGTGGGGCTGGGTGCTGCAGGGTGGTCCCGGGGCGGGGTCCTGGAGGTGGGGACAGTGAGGAGGAGGAGGAGGAGGTGGTTATGCTTTTCCTCCCCCCACACTGGGCACAGAAACAAGGAGGAACAAGACAGAGCAGGAGAAAAAATACAATTTATTTACAAGTAGAAACACTTTAAAAATGCTGCTGTCCCCCCCCCTCCTCATCACCGCTGAGGCAGTGGGTGGGGGACACCAGACACTGTCCTGCTGGGGCCTGGCTGCTGCCCCCCCTTCCCCCCCCCCCCAATCCTGGGGGCTCCCAAACCCGGGGGGGGGGGGCCCTGGGGACGTTCCAGCCCAGCTCTGTCCCCCCCCCCACCTCCCTGGGGGTCCCCCCCAGGGGAGGGCTCAGCCCCCAGTAACTGCACAGCCAGGGCTGAGGTGGTGACAAATATCAGGGTCACGCCCCCTCCCCAGCACCCACGGGTGGGTGCAGGAGAGGGGTGATGGTGGGTGCTTCACCCAGGGCAGTGGCACGAGGTGTGGGGGGGGTGTGTTATGTGTCCCCCCACCCCAGCGCACTGGGGGGGGCAGGGAGCGGGGAGCAGCACAGCTGGGGTGACCTCAGAATTTGGTGTCCTTGAGCGGTCGGCGACTGGCCTGGAAGGGACAGAGCAGAGAGGGGACGGGGGTGACCGAGCCCCCCCCTACCCCCCCAGGGACAGGGCAAGGGCCGTGTGTGTGTGTGTGTGTGTCCCCACCGTGAGCCCGGGGGGGCCGGTTCTTACCTTGCCCTTGGGGGACTTGGCGGTGGCGATGCGGGGCGAGCGGCGGGCGCTGCCGTGGGGGGAATTCTTGGGGGTGGTTTTCCGGCCGGCCGCCCGGCGCAGGAGGCTGTTCCCCAGCTTTTTGGGGGTGTTGAGGATGCTGAACGCCATCGACTGGCGCCTCTCGGCCTGGGGGGGGACAACACACACACGACATGGGAGCGTGACCTCAGAGTAGGACCGGGGGGGGGGTCCCAACCCCTTTTTTTTTTTTTTTTTTTTTTTTTCCCCCCCCTCTCCAGAGCTCACCTGCTTGCTGGGGGGCTGCTGCTCGCTCCTGCGGCTGACCTGGGAGCTGCGCCGGTCGCTGCGCTCCCGGGGGGTCTGGGGCCGTGGGAAGCAGCTGGTTGGCTTCTTGGACTGGGGGGAAAAAAAAAAAAAAAAAAAAAAAAAGGGGATAAACTGGGACCCTCGGCTGGGAAACAAGAGCCCCGGAGGGGGCGGGGGCCACCCCCCCTCCCCAGGCTGGGGCAGGCAGAAGGCTCAGCCCTTCGCTGCTCGAGCTCTGCCCTGCCCCGGGGCTGCTGCAGCCCTGCTCCTCCACATCTGGAGAACATCTGCCAGCTGTACCGCCCCAGCCTGGCTCTGGGGGAGGTTGGGGGGGGGGGCTCAGCTCACCTCGGGGGTGTCGGGGCCCTGGTGGGACTCGTCCGAAAGGCGTTTGCGCTGCTGGCGGGTGGTGATGCCGCCGGCCCAGGCGGCGCTCAGGGTGCTGCCGAGGGTGCTGCGCCGGGCGGCCGTGCCGGCGGCGATCTGGGCGGGCTGCATGCTGGCCCGGCGCAGCGTCTCCTTGGGGTCGCCCATCTTCATCTCCTCGTCCGTGATGGTCCCCAAGGAGTTGGAAGGCTGGGGAGGAAGCGGTGATGTTCCCTGCAGCGCCCCGCCCCCCCCCCCCCCCCCCAACCCGGGGTCAGGAAGGGGCACCCCCTTCACCCCCCCCCAAAATCCCCTTACCCTGTTCTCCAGGGGGTAACAGGTCTTCAGGTGGGGAGGGCAGATGCGGTTCCGCTGCTGCAGCTCCGCGATGCGGTTCCAGTCATCCAGCGGCTCCGGCTCGTCCTGGCACGTCCCCAGGTAAATGCTGCTCCGGCCTAAACCCAAAGCAGAGAGGGGGCTGAGAGGGGGGTCCCAGGCAAGAAGGGGGGGGGGGGGGGGTGTCCCCCCTCCAAGCCAGGGAGGAGCCCCCCCCTCACCCACACGCACCGAGGCTGGAGCTGCTGCCCCCCTGCAAACGCCGCAGGGAGCTGCGAGTGACCGGGCGGTAGCCGGGGAGGCCCCGCAGCGCCGAATCGCCGGGGGTCTCCTGTGGGGAGGAGGTTTCCAGCTTGACCAGAGAGTCCTGGGAGGGGAAGCTGGTGAGGGAGCGGGCGGAGGCGGCCGAGCGCAGGCGGCCCTTGGCGGGGGCGGCGGTGGGGGGCTGAGCCCCGGGGATGCTGCAGAAGGAGGAGTCGGCGCTGTCGGGTTCCTCCGTCTTGGCCTGTTTCTGGGAGGGGGAAACCCATTGATCATGGAATCACAGACTGGTTTGGGTGGGATCATCTAGTTCCAACCCCCAGGGTGCTCCCGTCCACCCTGGCCTTGAACCCTTCCAGGGAGGGGGCAGCCACAGCTTCTCTGGGCACCCTGGGCCAGCGCCTCACCCCCAGCACAGGGAACAATTTCTGCCTTAGATCTCACCTAAATCTCCCCTCTTTCAGCTTAAAACCGTCACCCCTCGTCCTATCCCCACACCCTGATCCAGAGTCCCTCCCCTGTCCCCCCTTTAAGCCCTGGGAGGCCGCTCGAAGGGCTCCCCGGAGCCTTCTCTTCTCCAGGCTGAACCCCCCCAACTCTCTCAGCCCGGCCTCCCAGGGGAGCTGCTCCAGCCCCCCCAGCATCTTCGTGGCCTCCTCTGGCCCCGCTCGAGCAGCTCCGGGTCCTTCTGCTGTTGGGGGCCCCCGAGCTGGCCCCAGCACTGCAGGGGGGTCTCCCCAGAGCGGAGCAGAGGGGGAGAATCCCCTCCCTGGCCCTGCTGCCCCCCCTGCTCTGGCTGCAGCCCAGGGCACGGGTGGGTTCTGGGCTGTGAGCACACGGTGCTGGCTCACGAGCAGTTTTCCCCCCACCAACCCCCACAAGTCCCTCTCCTTGGGGCTGCTCTCCAGCCCCTTTGTCCCCCAGCCCCCATGGACACGCAGGGTGCCCCCACCCAGGTATCAACGCCCCCCCCTCCTCAGCCCGTGGCAGGTGCTGGAGTGGCCCGTGGAGTGCTGTGCCCTGCAGCTGCCATCCCACGGGGCAAGAGGCGAAGAGGAGGAAGCAGATAAAAGTTTACCACCCTCCTCCTCTTCCCCTCGCTGCCCCCCCAGCCCCACTCATCCTTGGCACAAGGCGTCACGGGGGAGCTCGGTGCAGAGTTTGGGGGCACAAACAGCCCCGCAGCGGCTCAGCAAACTGCGCGTCCCTGTCCTCAGCACAGAGGCCCTGCCCCACGGGTCCCTCCCAGCCCCACGGGTCCCTCCCAGCCCCACGGGTGCCGCTCACTTTCGTCATGGTGATGTTGATGGTGGTGCGGCGCCGTGCCGAGCGGGTCTTGCAGCCGGAATCAAGCGAGAGGTCTCCCAGGGAGCCGGCGCTGCTCTCCAGCTGGGAGCGCGTGCGGCTGGGGATGGGGGTGAAGTAGAGGCTCTCCAGGGACTCCACTTTGTGGGGCAGACGCTGGGACGCCAGCGGATCTCCGCCATCCGGCGGCACCGCCGAGGCCTCCGACTGCGAGCGGCCAGCCTTCCTGCAGAGACAGGGCAGGAGGGCAGCGCCGAGGGGCTTAGCGGGGCAGCGGCGGGCGGGGGGAAGCGAGGAACCGGATTTCGTGGTACCTGGTGGAGTTGAGCGGCTGCGCTTCCTCGAGGCTGAGGTCGAGGCTGTCGGCGCTGAGGTCAGATGGGTGCTGGTGGAAAGGCTCCCGGCCCTTCAGCGTGTCCGTGGCCACCTGGAACTTGCCGAGCTCCCGTAGCTGCCGGTTGGCAAACTCCACCTGGATAAGAAGCGGGGAGGGGTGGATCCTCCGAGCGAGCGGGCAGCGGAGGCGAGGAGGAGGAGGGTGAAGCCCCGCCATGCCGTGCCCACCTGAGCCTCCAGGCTGCGGACCTGGCTGGTGAGGTTCCTGCAGCTCAGCTCCGACTCCTTGGCCTGCAGGACGCTCTGCTGCAGCTCCTTGGTCAACCTCTCCGACTCGGTCCGGAGCTCCGCGTTCTCCTTCTGCAACTGCTCCATGGCCTTCAGCTTCTCCGCCAGGTCTTGGTTCTGCTGCTTCTTTGCGTCGTAGTGAGTTTTTGCCTTCTCCATCTAGGATGTCAAGGAGAGAGAACCATCGAGCTTCCCCACAGAGTGGGGACGGGGGCGGCGGGGCTGTGCCAGCCCCTGGCATACCTGGCCTTTGTAGTGCTCGGCTGCCTGCTCCTTCTGGGCGAGCTGCGCCTGCAGCTCTGCCACCTTCTCCTGCTGACGCGTGGCCTCTGCCTGCAGCTCCCCTTCCAGCACCTGCGGGCAGGGAAGGGACCGCCTCAGAGCCACCCTGCACCCCTACATTGCCCAGCTGACCCCCACCTCCCCAGGGGAACCCACCACCAGCTCCTGGCCAAGAGCTCAGCACCCCCCCCGCGGGTTTTGGTTCCTGTTTACCTTAACTCTCTGCTGCTGGGTTCGGGCAGCCTTCTCGTGCTGAGCCAGCTTTTTGTTGAGCTCTTCCACCTGGAAGAACATGGCTGGGTTAGACCAGGTCTGAGCACAAGACAAGGGGAGCAGGTCCCGTGTCCCTCCCGCCCGCTCTGGGAGCAGCCTCAGAAGGTTTCCTGCCCCCGGGGCGGGGGCTGCTCAGCAGTGCCCAGCACCGAGGAACCTCCCGGCGTTGTGGTTAGTGAGCCGCAAGCTGCGTTAGTCTTTGCAAGGACGAGCTCTGTGCCACCCAAGTGTAAGGAGCAGCCGTGCGCCAAAGAAGGGGGGGGCAAAGCCAAGACCCCTTTTAGGCGGGAGGGGGAGGGAAGCCGGTGAGGCGATGCGGTTGCTGCCGGGGTAAGAGCCCAGCCCGCCGCGGGCATCCTCTGTGCCAAACCTGGTGCGGGGGCCCACGCCTCTTCGGGGAGAGGCATCCCACCCCCCCACCCCCCGGGGATGCTCCTGAGGTCCCAGGGGTCGGCCGTCGCTCTCAGCGAGGGGAAGATGGCCAGCACACCCCAGCTGGGCTCCCCCTGCTCCAGGGGATGTTGGGGAGCCCCCAGCCCGCCCACCGCCCCAAGTCACAGCCACAAGGCCTCTGCGGGGTCCCTGGGCAGCTCAGGCTGGGACTGTGGGGGCAAACTAAACCGGGGAGGGAAACGGGGCTTGTCCAGCGTTGTTTCCCAAGCGCTAACCCGCACCATGTCTGGGACTGAGGCTGCTGCGAAGCATCCCACCTCTGGCCACATCTGGATTGCACTTTCCGGGAGCGCAGCACCCTCCTTCCCCACACCAGTTCCTGCCAGCTGGGCGAGGAGCTGAACCCCAGATAAAGGCAGGGAGGGGGGGAAGGGCTGGGCAGAAGGAATGAGGTATCCCAGCTCCCCCCCAAATCCCCTCTCTCTGAAGACAAGGTATTACAGGAGCAAGGGTCCCGTGCCGAGGGGCCCTGGGCGCTCTTGGCTGCCGGCCACTGCCCACGGCCACGCCAGAGGGGCGAGAAGCCGAGGCGTGGGCAGGCAGCAGGTTTGGGCCCCGGTTCCTACTCCCCGGTGGGGCAGGGAAGGGGCGAAGGCGCGAGCCCAGAGACCTGGAGCCAAGCGCCCCACGGCTGGGTCCCCACCGCACACAGTTCACGAGAGGAGAGGGCGGCTCCGGTGGGAAGCGGCAGCAGCCGGGGCCGTGCACCGTCACCGTTTAAGCAGCCGGCACTTCGCGTGCGTTACCTGCTTGGCTTGGTCTTTCCGAAATACCTCTAGCTGCTCCACCTGCGAGCGCAAAAAGCAGAAGTGAACACGCAGCCGGCGCACACCGCGCCGCCTTTCCGGGGAGCATCCGTCCCCTTGGCGCTCGGGGAGCGTCTCCCGCACCCCCAGCTCCCAGGCCGAGCGGGAGGACGGGGGGTTTTGGGGAGTGCCAAAAGGCCCCCCTTTCCCCGGGAGCCCTTACCTGAGCTGTCAGCCTCTGCCTCTCCTCCAGCAGCTTCCTCCTCTCCTCCAGCGCCGCCGCCTTGCTGCTCTCGTACTCGTTACTCATCGCCTCCATCTTCCGCGCCGCCTCCTCCGCCTTCTGCCGGCTGCTGGCCACCAGCTCCTCCGACGCCGACCGCAGCCGCTCCAGCTCCCGCGCGTGCCGCTCTCTGGCCTGGCCCAGCTCCGCCTCCAGCCGCTGCTGCCCGCTCCTCCGGCTCTCACCGAGCCCCCGGTTCTCCTCGGCCAGCCGAGCGTTGGCCTGCTGCAGCCCCGCCAGCCGCGCCGCCGTCTCCGCTGCCTCCGCCTGCAGCCGCTGGACGGCCCGCTCCTGCTCCGCCGACCGTTCCCGCAGGGACGGCGCCTCGGCCGCTTCCAGCTTGGCCCGCGCCAGCTCCGCTTGCAGAGCGGCCAGGGCTTTGGCCCTCTGCTCCAGGTCCTGGCGGTGCTGGCTCTCCAGGGAGGAGCGCTCAGCCTGCAGCTGCTGGCAAAGGTGCTTCACCGCCGGCAGCTCCCCGGCGAGCGCCTGGGCGCTGCCGAGCTCCTGCTGCAGGGCGGCGAGGAGCTGCTCCTTCTGGAGGCACTTGTCCTGGCAGACCTTCACCTCCTGCCGCAGCTCGTCCTCCCGCTCGGTCTGGCAGTGCCGGTCCCTCTTCAAGGCCTCGATGGCCACCCTCTGCTTCTCCATCTCCTCCTGGCACCGCTGCACCTCCACCTTCATGAGCGAGCACCTCTCGGCCGCCCGGGAGGCGGCGGTGGCCATCTCCGTCTGCAGAACCCGCAGCCTTTCCTCCAGCTTCTTGCTCTTCTCCGACTCGGCGACGATCAGGCGCTTCAGCTCCTTGCTCTCCCCCTCCTTCTCCGTCACCTGCCGATGGAGGATGGAGACCTCGTGCTCCAGGCTGCCGATCAGGCTGTTCTTCCTCTCCATCTCCTGGACGCACTGGGACACTTGCTCCTTCCAGTTCTCTTCCGACCGGCTCTTCTCCTGCGCCGCGGAGCGGAGGGACGCCAGCTCCTTCTCGGCGGCAGCGGCGGCGGTTTTGCTCTGCATCAGCTCCCTGCCCTTCTCCTGCAGCTCCTTCCGCAGGGCCTCCAGGGCGCCGTCGTGCAGAGCCTGCGCCGACCTCGAGGCCTCCAGCAGCTTCTGCAGCTCCGACGCCTTCTCCTTCTGCTGGGCCGCTTCCTTCCTCGAGGCCTCCAGCTCTGCTTGCTCCACCATCACCGCTTGCTCGAGGGCAGCCACAGCCTCCTGCTGCTCCCTGCGCTGCTGCTCCAGCTCCTCCACTTGCAAGCGAAGCGCCTGGTTCTCCTTCAGCTTCTCCTGGTAAAGGTCTTGGCTCAAGCCGGCTTCCCGCTCCCTGGGATGGGTCTTCTCCAAGCTTTTGAGGGAGGTCTCCTTGGAGCAGGTGGCCTTGACGCTGTCCCCCTCCGCGTCCCTGCTCCGGGCGGCCTCTGAGAAGCCCTGCAGCTCGTTGTCCACCTTGGATGCCCGCTCCTTGGCCGCCTCCGCCGAGGCGAGCTCTCCTTTCAGCTTGCTGACCGTCTGCTGCAGGTCCCTCAGCTCCTCGCCCCACGAGACATTTTTCCGGCGGAGCTCGTCCAGCTCCTTCTCCTTCTCCTCCACCAGCTCCCGGGAGCGAGCCAGCTCCTCCTGGTGCACCGACCTCTCCACCCTCTGCTCGTTGAGGGCGTTTTGCAGCTGCACCTCCAGCTCGGCTTTGCGGGCTCGCTCAGCGGCGCAATCCGCTTTTCCCCGTTCCGCCTCCTGCCTCAAGCGTTCGGCTTCCTCCTCCCGGCACGCCAGGTCCCGCCGGTGTTCCCGCAGCGTCAGCTCCAGCCTGGCGCCCAGCTGGGCCAACTCCCCGGACAGCTTCTTCACCTCCACCTCTAGCTCCAATTCCCGCTGCCTGCCGGCGGCGGCCGCCCGGGAGAGCTCGGCCTCCGTGCTCCGCAGCTGTTCCACGGCGGTTTCCAGCTCCTTGGATTTGAGCTTCTCCTGGGAGAGCTGCTGGGAGACCCCCTCCAGCACCTCGGCGGCTCTCCGGGCATCCGCCTCCAGCCCGGCTGCGCGCTGGGCTGCCGTTTGCTCCACGACAGCCATCTTCTCCTGCAGGGAGGAGACTTCAGCCCTCAGCTTCTGCTCCTCGCCCTCCTTCTCCTTCGCCCGCGCCCGGGCACTGGACAGGTCGGCTTGGAGGGCGACCAGCCTCTCCTGGTGCTCAGCGGCCAGGCGCTCTGCCCGGGCTTCCAGCGCAGCCGTCTTCTCCTGCTCGGCTTGCAGCCGCTGGCAGGCTCGCCCGTGCTCCCGGCTCAGCGCCTGCATCTCCTCCTCCAGCCGCCCGCGTTCTCCGTCCTCCCCTCGGGCAGCGGGGGAGGCTCCCAGCGCCTTCTCCCGACTCTCCTCCGGCGCCCGGCGCTTGGCCGGCTCCTCGCCCCGCTCCTGCGGAGCCGGCTCTCGGCCCTGCGTCAGCCGCTGCCTCTCCGCCTCCAGCTCGGCGATCCTGGCCAGGCTGCCCTCCAGGCTCTCAGCCGCCCGCCGCTTCTCGTCCTCCAGGATGCCCTCGGTGTTCCGCAGGGATTCCTCCAGGAAGAGCAGCCGCTCTTGCAGGCGGGTGTTTTCCCGGGCCAGCCTCTCCCTCTCGGCCAGCCTCTGCTGGCTCTCCTTCAGCCTGCCCTCCAGCTCCCGCAGCTGAGCCCTCAGCCCCTCCGCCGCTCCCTGCTGCCGCTGGGCGCCGAGCTCGAGGATCCTGGCTTCCAGCTCGCTGACTTTGCGGCTCAACTCAGCCTTCTCCTCCGCTGAGGCGGCCTGGCTGGCGTCCTGGGCTTGTGCCATGGCCTGCAGCTGGCTGCTCAGGGACGCGTTGGCCTCTCGCAGGTGCTGGAGCTGCTGCAGGGCAGAATCTCTCTCCCGCAGGGTTTTCTGGTGCTGGGCGTCGAGGGCAGCCAGCCGCCCGGCCTCCTCCTCACACCGTGCCTCGGTGTCCTGGGGCTCGCCGGCTTCCCGCGCCCGCAGGTCCTGCTCCAGCCTCTCCCTGACCCGGTGGCTCTCGGAGAGGGAGCTCTGGAGGCTGGCGACGAGGCCGCCCAACTGCTGCTTCTCCTCCTCGAAGCGGCAGCGTTCGGCCTGCAGAGCCCCCTCCCGCAGCTGCTTCTCCTCCTCCAGCCGCAGGACGGTGGCCTGGAGCTCGGCCCCTTTAGCGGCGAGGCTGGCCACCTCCTGCTTCAGCTCCTCCAGCTGGCAGAGAGAAGGGGACACACACACACACACACACACAAAACACACACCCCCCCCGGCATTACTCAAGCTGCAGCCAACACTCCCATGGGAGACCCAGCCACTGCACCCCAGCGGGAGCTGCCCGGCGCCCGCCTTCCCTCCTGGCACCCCGCTGCACCCCACCGCACCCCGCTTTCCCCTTAAGCCTTGTGCCAGCCCTGCTCTCTCAACCCAAACGCCTTTTCTCACCGTGCAGGAGCCGCTCCCTCCACAACCGCCCCACAGAGCACTCGGCCCCACAAACCCCATCCAGCAGCAGGGAGCAGCCAGCTCTGCCCCACACGGCTTCGCCATGCATCCCCCCAGCTCTCCCCAGTTAAGAGTTTCCCATCCAAGCGCTGCCTGCCCTCGCTGCGGGAGCCAGAGGCTCTCTTGAGACCCCGCTGTACCTTCAGGATGTCGCCCATGACCTCCCCTTTTTCCTGGGCGCTGCAGTCCCCCAGCTTGGCCAGCTGATCCTCCAGCAGAGAGATCTTCCCCTGGAGAATCTCGATCTTCTCTTCCGAGCATTTCTAGGGACAGAGAGGTGGGACTGAGCGTGAGGTGAGGAAACCAAGCAAAGGGAGGCGCAGTCACCCAGATTTTTTGAACGCCAAGCTTGCTGGCAGCTTTGTCTCGGCAAGCTCAGGGCTTCTCTCCTCACTGTGGGGACAGCGGCCCGTCCCACCGTGGGGGACCCTTCCCAGGACGGCTGTCGCACAGCTTCTTCCTGCCCACGGAGCCGGCGGGGCAGGAGGAAGCCCCAGGAGACGTCGCCCAGCCAGGGGGGGCTGGGGGGGACCCACCAGACCCCCTCACCTTGTCCTGCAGGGCAGCACGCAGCTCGCTCTCCAGCTGCCCCTGCTTCTCCTGCGACTGCGCCAGGGCCGCGTTGTGCTCCTCCGAGAGCTCGTTCAGGGCTTCCTGCAGCTGGACCAAGTGGCTGGCGATCTCCCGCAGCTGCAAAGGGTTAAAAAAAAAAAAACAAAAACAAAAAAAAAACAAAAACAAAAAAAAAAAAAAAACACCCCCCCGGGGGGTCAGAGAATCCCCACAGCTGCCCAGGGCCTGGCTCAGCTCCCCTCTCCCGAGGGCTGAGCATCCACAGACGTGCCAGGTCCTGGGGGCTCACACCCTGCCCCTGCAGCACCACGCACGGGCAACTCCCCCCCAGCCCCTATTTCCCCCCCACCCTTCAGATCAGGATCCAGAGCCCAAAGCCAGCTCAGTCACCAGGTCAAGGTCACACGAGGCCAGTGGCAGAACCATAAGGAGCCCAGCATCCGGCACTGCCATCAAATCCTCCCCTCTGGGTCCCACAACAAACAACTGTGGGGCTGCGGGGACGGGGAGAGGACACACCTTGAAGGAAAGATCCCCATTCTCCTCGGAGAGCTGGTTGATTTTTCGGTCCATCTGGCCTTTTTCAGTCTTCAGGTCTTGGCACTGCTTAAGGGCCTCATGCAAGCGCACCATCAGGCTGTGGGAGAAGAGGTTGTTAAAGAGGGGGGTGCAAGCCCAAGGCAGGTGAGGACATCGCTGGGGATTGATGTTGCTGGTTATTGCTGAGGAAACTGAGGTACAGAGGCACCTCTGCACCGTGGTGAGAAACCACCATAAATTCAGCTCTAAACTGGGTCCCAATATGTCACAAAGCAGAGCGGGGATAAGTGGAGCTTGCAGGAGCCTGACCGCTCCAAACCGAGGGCGGAGGTGGCTGCAGGACTCCGGCCACCCTTCTGCAAAGTGACATAAAGGAGGAAAGGACAAAAAAAAAAGGCCTGGCGCCTGCCAGCGAGGCTGGGCATCCTTCCCAAGTAAACACATCGCTGCACGGGATGGGGCAAAGAGCGGGACGCAGCGTGGCAAGTGACAGAATTCAATCGCGCGACGCAAACTGGATCAAACTGGAGGGCTGGCGGCTGGGGAAGGGGCTGGCGTCGGGAGCTCCAGGATCAGCCTGGAAGCTTTCAGTGGCGCAGAGCCTAACCCAGGTGGGCAGCACACCCCTTCCCCACAGCAGCGACGGCCGTTCCTCTGCCGGGCTGAGGGTAAGGAGCAGGTTGTCCGAAGATGCTGTGTGGTTTGGGACCGGCTCCCTGCCCGCTGCGATAAAAATGGGCGACGGGCCACAATCGCCTCGGCCATGAGGTGCAGCGTGCTGGCTAGCACAGCCGTGCCCTGGGCTGCAGCCAGAGCAGGGGGGGCAGCAGGGCCAGGGAGGGGATTCTCCCCCTCGGCTCCGCTCTGGGGAGACCCCCTTGCAGTGCTGGGGCCAGCTCGGGGGCCCCCAACAGCAGAAGGACACGGAGCTGCTCGAGCGGGGCCAGAGGAGGCCACGAAGATGCTGGGGGGGCTGGAGCAGCTCCCCTGGGAGGCCGGGCTGAGAGAGTTGGGGGGGTTCAGCCTGGAGAAGTGAAGGCTCCAGGGAGACCTTCGAGCGGCCTCCCAGGGCTTAAAGCGGTGACAGGAAAGGTGGGGAGGGACTCTGGATCAGGGGTGTAGGGATAGGATGCGGAATGATGGTTTTAAACTGAAAGAGGGCAGATTTAGATGAGATCTAAGGCAGAAATTCTTCCCTGTGCAGGGGGTGAGGCGCTGGCCCAGGGTGCCCAGAGAAGCTGTGGCTGCCCCCTCCCTGGAAGGGTTCAAGGCCAGGTTGGACTGGGCTGGGAGCACCCTGGGCTGGGGGAAGGGGGCCCTGCCCGGGGCAGGGGGTGTCACTGGGTGGGCTTTAAGGTCCCTTCCCACCCAAACCAGTCTGGGGTTCTGTGACTGCCGAAGCCATCTCCTCCCCAGGGTGCAGCACACAACAGGAGGAAGGTTTGCCCTCACCCCTGTTTCGTGCACTGCTGAGGAAGGGACAGACAACACAGAGCCTGGGGACATGCGAGTGACAGGGCCCAGCCTAGCAGGAGGGAGCGGATGTCCCTGGAGGATCACCTCTCATTCTTCTCCCTCAGCTCCTCCATTTCCTTGGGCTCCAGCTGGTCTGTGGCTTGCTTCTCGTTGAGCAGAGCCAAGCGATCAATCCGCTGCTGCATCATGGTGATCTGAGCCTCTGGGGAGGGTGGTGAGAATGAGCCCGTTACCATCTTTTTATGTCACCTGAACCCCCCCCAACAGCACGGCGGAGGATGTCTGTCCTTCTCCCGCGCTGGCGAGGAGCTGCTGCACAGAACTCCTTTGCAGCAGGAGATGGAAGAGCCAGGCTGCCAGCACTGCCGCTCGGCACGGGCATTGCTTCGCTCACGGCGTTTGCTGCCCAGGTTATATAAGGGGATACGAGAGGGAAGAAGGAACCTGCAGTCTCCGCCTGCGTCTGGGGAAATCCCCAGCGTGGAGGGTTTTAGATGCGGATGGTGAGACTCCTACACCCGCCAGCCTGCTCCAAATCGTTTGGCAAGGGGGACCAACAGCCATCTCCGAGAGATGCTCGGAGTTGTTACAGCAGCATCAGAGGTTTCTCTGCTCCCAGCAGCAAGGCCTTCTGCGTTGCACTTTGTTCCATACTAAGGGGTGAGGGTCCCCTTGGCCCACCGTGGAGCGAGGCACAGCAAACCCCGAGCTGCCCTGCCTGCTCTGGAAAGCTGAAAAGCCGCAAGCTGCGCTCGCTTGGGGTCTGGCAGGATGGACTGCACACAAGCACAGTCGTGACAGGGTCCAAAGTCACAGAAACTAGAAGTCCCCGCCCTGGAGAGCCCTCCCCGCACACCAGGAGGTCCCGCTAGCCACCGACCCTTCTCCGTGATGAGTTTCCGATTCTCTGCCAGCTCCACCTCCAGCTCATCCCGGTTTTCTCTCTCAACAGCCAACTGCTTCTTCAGCCGCCGCAGCTGAAACTGGGGGGTCTGCATGATGTCCCCCATGGGCGAGGACGGAGCGCCGGGGAGCATGCTGCAGAGAGGCACACGGCGTAATTTGGTTATCTGGAGCCAGACCCGCTCTGGTTCCCCCTCTCTGGGGGGCAGGTTCGGAGCAATAACTGACACCTCATTGCCTGAGCAGAAAGCCCACTCTCCTCATCTGGCTGACACTAGGGCCAGCCTCCGAGCGTCCGGTGTACCCGTACAAAACCAGTTCCAGGGCAAATCGCCCACCTCCCTTCGCACCATATCCAGAATCCCCCCGCAGAGCGCCCAGCTTGCTCAAGAGAAACTCTTCTCAGCCTTGACACAAGCCTGATCCTCCTGAATCCTCCCCGGGGTTGGAGAGGACCACAGGCTGCTCTGGGAAGCGTCTGTGCTTGTTAAACTGAAACGAGCTGGGCTAAAAAGGAGCTAATTACAGCCCGACCTCACGCCGATACCGTACGTCCCCATGTCAAGCCCGAGGAGTTTGCAGCACCGCGGCAGAAAGGGCGTCTCTGTCGAGTCAGCGCCCATCCTGGCTGCATCGCTGGGTCCCAGAAGCTTCCCTGCCCGCGTGTGTCCCCCCCCCCCCCGCCTCCCCTCGCTCCCCCACCCCCCCCCCGCAGCCAAGACGTACTTGTTGGCGCTGGAGGAGGAGGAGGCAATCTTCTGCAGCTCCAGGAAACGCACCTCTCGCTTGTGCGGGAGGGGGAGCAGCGGGGAGTGCTCCTCGGAGCTGCTGCCGGACGCGCTGGACACGGGCAGCGGCGCTGGGAATCATAAGCGAGAAGCAGGCTGTGATCCTCCCGTTAATGCCAGAAGGGAGGGGTTTCCAGCTGAAAATCCCAAGGGCGCAGGAACCGCGAATCCCAGCGGGGAAGGATCAGCCCAGCAGAGAAAGCCATAAACCTGCCGTACATCCCTGTGGGCATCCCACCCGCCTCGCTCCTCCGGCAACAGCGGCGAGTGCCGCAAAGGCCGGGGTGCCACGAGCTGGGAGAGCCCGGTGGGTACAGGGCAGCCCCGCTCTTAAATTAGAGCTTACAGGGAACCATTTCATAGCGCTCGGTCCTGGGGCGAGGGGATCTGGATGGAGTTGGTGCTTTTATGGCTTGGCAGCTACAGCCGCACAAATGGGGGCGGGAAAAAAAAAAAAAAAAAACAAGCAAAAAATGTTTTTATGCTCTAGAAAAGGGTCATCCGTGCCGGATGCCGGGAGCTGCACAGGAAGATGCCAGCAGCGCTCAGCACTCGCATCATCCCACACTGCTGCTCTCCACAAAGGTTGTGGACTGGTTTTGTCCCCCTCCAAGCTGACACTTGGATGTCACTACAGCAAATGCGTTAACCTGTCGGTCTGGCCAGGTGAAAAAACGTGCCCAGTGCCTGCTCTGCCTGCACAAGGCTGGGCCCGTTTCTCCGGGCTGGTGCCACAGTGCAGGCAGTTAGGAACCGGCGCTCACCTTTCCTCTGCAGAAACATCTCCAGATTCTCATTCAGGCTCTCCTCGTTGTCCAGCACAAATCTGAGGATCGCTGCCAGCTCAACCTGTGTCGGAGGAGCCGTGGGGTCAGCAGCTCTGCTGCCTTTGATTGCCCGCAGCACCTGCCCTGCACCATCTTTCAAGGGGTCCCCGAACATGAGGGCAGGTCTCAGAGCACCCCGGAAAAGCACCTCTGCTTCCCCTCCACCCCCCTGGTCCAGAGAGGGGGAACCCAGAATGGATTTACCTGGGTCTTGTAGTCAAATTCATTCCAGTCCCCGGGGCTCTTGCAGCTCATGGAGGTGTGATACAGGAGCAGCACGGCCACCTGAAATGAGGGGAGAGCAGCGTCACCAACGCTGGGGCAGTCACCGGTGCTGGCTAGGAATAAAGCGTGCCCCGCAGTTACCTTGGCCAACGCCAGCTCCTCTCCCTCCAGGAGCTTCTGTGCCGAGACCAGGCTCTCCGCGGCCGATTTGTGCTTGCAGTGCTCTGTGAAGTGAAGCAGGATTCCCAGTCATGCAGGAGCCCCCCGGGCACGCTGCCTGCCAGCCCGTGGCGTGTGTCCCCTCCTCGAGGTGACGCGCTCGGACTGGGGGGCACCGTGAGGAATCCCCGAGGAGAAGGGGCACGGGTGGGGAGGCACAAGGCTCCGGAGCAGAGCCCTCAGTGCTCAGCCCCTGCCATTAACTGACAGGCTTTTATTTCCCTCCCCAGCGACTTCCCCCTCGGTGCAGCCCCCCCACCTCGCCCTCAGCACCCCTCTGCACCGTTTGCTCCATCGCCACCAGCACAAACTGAGTCCCGTCTATGGAGGGCGGGGATACGAGGTGGGATACGGTGTCTCCCCTTCCAGGAAAGACTGAGCAAAAATGCAAGAGACTCCCACTTCCCCTTCCCAGGGTTCCCACTCAGCGTTTTCCAGGGGGATTCGAGCAGCTTGAGGCCAGGCACCGGGCTAGGACGTGACACCCCCTCAAAGCAGCCGCTGGCACCCTGCCCTTCACCCCCTGGATCTCCTTTGCATCGAGCCTGGGCTCTGGCAAGGCTTCCCATCCCGAAGCTTTCCTTCCCGCAGCCCTGCCTGCACCTCAGGAAGCTGCTGAGGCGCAGGGGGCGTCACTTTGGGGAGGGGGAAGCCTGCAAGACCCCACAGGGGTGGGGGGCACCGAGCAGGGGCAGCTGCTTCCCCCCAGGCGCCGGCGGAGGCTCTTACTCTGCAGGAAACCACGGATGAAGGAGATCCTCTCCGGCAGCGGCTGCTCCAGCACAGACTCCCCCTCCTCGCTCCTGTGGCTAGAAGAGTGCAGGGGTTAATGCTTTGCTGAGGGATTAACCAAACGGTGCTATTTTTTTATTTTATTTTTTTGCAATGGAGCTTGCTGAGCGAGGCGCTGGCTCTCGGGCCATACGGTGTTGCTCTGCCCTACTCCCCCGCGCCAGGGCGGGTGGTGAAGCAAAACCCAACCCTGCCGTGGCCGGGAGCGGGAGTGGACGCTCCCCACAGCCCCGACAAACGTGGCTGCGTTTGGTGAGCAGGCGGGGCCGGGCAGTCAGACACCCCCCTCCCCTCCTCCCTTTCCTCCTCCGGCATCCGGCGCAGCAGAGGGAACCGGCGGCATCCCCGCCAGCCAGGGAGGCACCGCGGGGGCCGTGCGTGGAACGGGGCGTTTTTGTTGCTATTGCAAAGTGGGAAACGGCGTTTTGGAAGCACTCAGACCCCGCTCCCCTACAGGGCGCTTGCCCTGGAGCCCACGCTGAATTTTGGGGGGGGGGGGGGGGGGGGCTGAAGCCACCTCTTGCAGCTCTTATTCGAGACCACGCTCTTCCTCAACAGCCACCAGCTCAAAACAAGACCATGTGCCTAAAACCTGTGCCAGCCGGCGCCGCTTTGGTACCTTCAGTTACTTCCAGGGTGACAACAGCAGGGACTCAGCGTGGGGAAGGGGCTGGCACGAGGATTTTCTCATCCTCACAGAGATCCACTCCCCCCCCCCGTCCCCTGGTGCTGGGGGGAGCTCCCCAGCTCAGCCGGCTGCCGTGGGGTCCGCCCCGCTGCCGCCCCACTTATCAAGCCACGGTCAGGCCTGTTCAGTGAGCGCACGCTGCCAGTGATCCCGCCTAATCGGAGCTGGAGCACAGACCCAGGAGATTAACCAGGTCTGACTAAATATATCTCTGGTGCAGGCGGCTCCTTCCTCCCCACCCACCGCAGGCAGATCCCTGCTCCGAGCAGGCTCTCGTTACACGGCGCGGGAGGTAATTATAGCAGACAGGCTCCCACAGAGCCTCCCGCCGGAAGGGTTTGAAAGCAATGCCGCGCTCAGCGCCGAGCGGCAGCCTCACGCCCTCCCAATTTGCCTCTCCAGCTCGTTAACAACGTGCAGCTGGAGCAGAGCGTGCTCGCTCTTAGCTCCGATGCCCATTACGGCTTGAGGGTTTTAATCGCCATTCCTCCCGATTCCCTCTGGTTCTGGGATGGAGCAAACAGGCTCCGTCCTGCCCGTGTCGGACTGTGAAGCAGCCCGATGTCCCTGGAGAACAGGAGCACTTCGTGGGGCGGGAGCTGTCATGCCTCAAGCTGCTTTGCAGACCCAAGGTTTCCTCAGGATCCCGAGGCTGCAGCTCAGGAAAACTTGCTGGGCTGTTTCCTCACCTGAGCAGCATTTACAGAAATAAAGCATCTCCCATGAAGGTCCGGGAACCCCCGTGCCGCTGGCACCAGCGCTCGGCTCTTTGGGTGAGCCCAGACCTCAGTGCCAGATGTGACAGCAAGCCTCAAACGACAGAATCTCTGGTCAAAAAAAAATCCTACCTGAGCAGCTCCATGGGGCCCAACAGCTCTGCCCGGGGCTCTGCAGGCAGAGCCCGGCCACGCAGCGGGAGCAGACCCTCACCCAGCTGCCTCGAGCAGGTTTGTCCTCAAGCCTGAGCTGCTGGCAGAGCATCATCTCTATACGGTGCTATATATGTCTCTATACTAATGCCATCGACGTATGGGGGCTTCCAAGCAGGGCAGCCCAAAAGGCTCATCGTCCCGCGCACGGAGGCTTCACGTGCGGAGGCACGAGCCCCGTGTTTCACCACAGTGGGGTTCAGAGCACCAGGCTGCCTTCAGCCCGCCGGGTGGTTTGGCTCCCCCCCCCGACTCACATTTTGTTGATGATCCTGATGAAGACGCTACAGTCCTGGAGCTGTGAGAGATCACCGAGGGCATTGGCACAAACTTTGGTGCTGTTCACCTAGAAAAACGGGATGAGACAGTCAGAAGGCAGAAGCCAACACCACGCCGTGCTGTGCCAACCCGTCGCCTCCCAGGCCTGGCAGGGGACGGCAAGACCACTCTGGGTGCAAGAGCCACAACAGCCCTTCCGACCACCCCTGCCCTGCCCCGGCCAAAGCTGAACGTGATCCCAGGCAGCTTCCACAGCCAATCCAAGCTGTTCCAGCATTTCTGGTTACTCAACAGGAACGGTGAGCAAAGCTTCTCCTGCAAACACCCACCTGCCCACAAACAGCAGGGACTCGGCTGCCCCAGGACCTGCCCCAGCTGCAATCCCTCCCTTAGAACAGCCCCGAGGAGCTGCAGCCAGGACCCACCCGGGCAGCGCATCCCACCTACGGAGCAAAGGAAAGCTTTACCCAAGCGAGGAGAGCCGCGGCTCTCGCGTCGTGAAGAGGCATCTTTGCGGGGCTGCCAGGTCACTGCCCGGACCTAGGAATGCCAACAAAAAGGGGGGGGGGGGGGAAAGGCAATTAAGGCCAAGCATAGTAACCACATCAATATGCACCTTGCACTCAGCGCCAGGCACTCATGTTTGTCGAGGGAGAATCTACCCTCCCGAGCCTGGCTGGTGGGGGGTTGTACAGTGAGCAGCCAGTATCCTGCTTTTCAACAGGCACCGAGCTGCGATCGGCGCTGCCGAACAGCAGCGGGGTCCTTACCCACAGCCCCCCCCCAGGATTTATCCCCGGGGGTCAGGATCCCGACGAGCAAAGCTCAAGGGAAAAGGGCTGCTCAGGCTCCTCACCCCCAGCACCTCCTGCCGTACCTCGCCCTCACCCCCAAACTTCTCTGAAATTTCTGGTAAGAGGAATTTGAAGGCCTGGCACCTCGGGAGCCCATCAGACCCCGTGCCCGGGCTGGTTTCAGCCCCAGCCCCCTGGGGAGGAGGGCAGCATTCTGTCAGGCCTGTCTTTCAGGTCCCGCCGCAGTGGTGCAAAACAACCAGTCGCGGCTTGGGCCAGCCGTCACCCCGAGGGATCCCGCGTCACCATGGGGCACCGCAAGACTGCCATCATCCCAGGAAAATTCACCTCCCTCTAGAAAACATGAGCAGCAGCTTTTGAGGGGGAGACAGCGTGGTTCAGAGCACAAAAATCGGGCATGTGCCAGGGCAGGGGCTGAGCTCCCATCGCGGTACTGCCCGCAGCTGCTCTGGCTTCCTCCCAGCCACGGCCACCGGCCCCCAAAATGCCAGCGGGGTGGGAACTGGGGGTCCCTTGTCCCCCACCTCCCTGGCTGCCACCAGCCCCCCAGCAGCTGGGACCCTCGGGGCAGGGGGGGTGGGCAGGCTGCCTGCTCTGCCCCTCAGCTGGGACATGGCCACGGGGGCTGGAAGGAGCCTGCAAAGGTCACCGGGCCCCAAACAAGCCCGGCGAGGTGCTGGCCAAGCCGTCGGAGCGCTGCCAGCTCTCCTGCCCGCTGCCACCAGCGCTAAGGAAAACCACTGGCCAGGGAGGGGGAGCCCCCCAGGCATTACTGAGCCACCCCAGTGCCCCGAGGAGCGCTGCCTGGTTCCCTCCACAGCGACCTTTGCCTCCGCGCCAGCCGTCCCCAGTGCCACCCCGGTAATCTTCCCGGCGAGGGAGCTGCTGGGAGCGGAGCAGAGGTGGGAGCTGAGCGGGGGCCCTGGCCAAAAATCACCCAGATGGGGAGGGTGCTCCTCTCCCCGTATTACACCCCGAAAACACACCCCCCCCCCCAAGGGCCCTGCTGGGATCCGCAACCGTTCCCAGCAGCGCCCAGCACACCACGGCCACCTGCCACTTGGCTTTTGGGGGACACGGGGCACCCACCACCTCCGTGAGCCCATCTGGGAAGCGCAGGATCCTGGGCAGGATGGGTCCTCCCTCCAGTTGGGCTAAAAAACAGCTCCTCGCCGCGACACCCAGCACCCACAGCCGGGGGCGCAGCGTGCCCAATCTCCCCCAAAATCCGCCCAAAACCTCCAGGCAAAACACGCGTGCCAGCCCCCCAACACAGACTCCCTCCGCGGAGGGCCACATCCTGCCAGCGGCCGAGCTGTGTTTTTACCGGAGAAGTGCCGGCGCTCAGCAAAATGCCGAGACAGGCAGAGCTGCCCTGGTCACAGCGTGGCGTGTCTCCTTCCCTGCGCCGTCTTTGGTGAGCACCAGAGACCAACACCGGGACCCTCAGTGGGGAGCAGACACTCGCGCGACGGCGGACGGGAAGCAGCTGGGGAGCCCAGTGCGTCGGTACAAAGCGCGGCAGCGAGCGTTTTGTTTTAGTGTTTTGGTGGTTTTGTTTTTGTTTTGGGTTTTTTTGTGTTGTTTTTTTTTTTTTTCCTTTTTTTTTTTTTCCCCAGGCATGTCCCCAGGGAGGGGAGCTGCAGCGGGTCGGTGGGGAAGGGTCCGGTGAAGGCAAGGGAGGGGGGGGGGACACACACAAAGCAGTGACAGCATTGTCCTTTGCCGCTTTCCCCCCAGCGCTCGCTCTGGTCAAAACACGGCGTTACGCAAGCCTCCAGAGCTCCCGACCAGCCCGAGGGACGCACCCACGGTCCCCCCCCCCAGCCACCCCAGTGTGTGTGTGGGGGGGGGGCTGTCCTGCCGTAGGGCGCACCCAGCAGCTCACCCAGGCAGAGGGGGAGACCCCCGGAGGCCCCCCTGCAACGGGGATGGGGCCCACGGCTTGCGTGGGAAGGCGGCGGGGGGGTGGGGAGGGTGCGGAAGGTGGGGGGGGGGGGGGGTCACAGCCGCCACCCCAGAACTCCCGGATGTTGGCGAAACCCAACTGGGCCGAACGCAGAGTTGGGGATTCACACCTTGGGGGGCAAGGGGGGGGGTTCATGGGGCGCCGGGGCTGGGAGATGGCGAGCTTTGCCTCCCCCCGCCTCCCTCCTCCTCAGGCCTGTTGAAAACAAACAAGGAAAAGGGATAAAGTCTTTGTTTGGGCCTTACCGGGGGCGTGCGGCCGGTGTCGGCGCGGGGAGGGGGGGGTTTTAATCCGCCATGAGCGCTGGCAGCTGGGGAGCCAGCGGCCACGCACAAAAGAAAAAGTTGTCGGGTATTTTCCTCGGCGGGGCTGGCGGGTGACGGTTCCCCCTTTCCTGGCCCTGGGCCACCCCACGTCACCGCGCCGAGGCCGCGCTCGTTAAAGGCGCCCGGTGCACAAACCCTCCGTCACCGGGAAAGCGGCGACGTCCCGGCCCCGGCTGTGGGTGCTGTCACCCTGCCAGGGCTCTGGGTGACGGGAGGGCGCTGGGGACCCCCCCCCCCCCCAACTGCCAACCCCCTGCCTCCTGTTAATTCAGCTGGAGCCACGTCCCAGCTGGTTCCCCCCCCCAAAATTTTACCCCCAGCCCCGCAGCAGCCGTGGGTTTAGGGACCGAAGCGGGACCGTTGTCTTCCACCGGACCCCGGGGCCCGTCCCTCGCCGCCCACCCCCGGGAGCCATCCCCGCGGCGTCGGGGCCGACGAACCGGGGTCACGCACGCCTCCCACCCCCCGGCTCGGTGCTGATGGAGCCAGCGGGGATGGAACGGCGGAACGCGAGCGGAACCGGCAGAAGGAGTTTTTCCTACCGGATCGGGAAGGGCGAAGGCGCGGCCGGGACCAACGGGCCTTTCTCCGGTAACGCACCCGGTGCGGCTCCCCCCGCGCCGGCAAACGGCGGCGAGCTCTAGTTGTGCGTGTGCGTGGGGGGGGGTGTGTGTGTGTGTTTTCCTCCGTTAAGCCTCGGGGCTGCTGGCGGGGGTGAGGAAGCGGAGCGGAGCCGCTCGGCCCCGCCGACCCTCACGGCGAGCACCGGGCCCGGTCGCCCCGGGATGGCGGCGGGCCCAGGCCCCACCCAAGGCCCCGGCTCCCGCCGAGGGCGATGCCTGGCCGCGGGAACCACCAGGCCGGCGGGAGATGGATCGATTCCGCCCCCCCCTCCCGGTAACCCCCCCCCCCCCCCTCCCGGTGCCCCCGGTGACCCCTCCCCCCGGTACCGTACCCGGGCCGCCGCGATTCAAACGGCTGCGCCCGCCCCCGCCGCCTTTCTATTGGCCGCGGGCCGGGGAGGGGCGCGTCACGTGGGGCGGAGCGGAAACTACAAGTCCCAGCGGCCCCTGCGGGCGGTTGGGGGGGGAAGGTCTCGCGAGAGCAGGTTGCTGGGGGCGACGGCGGCGCGTGGGGCCGGGAGTGGAACATCGGGAGACATTTGGGGTCACGGGGGGGTTGGGGGACCGCAGGCCTCAGACCCCCACTCGGGACAGGGGGTACATACAGACCCACGGACTGGGGGGGGGGCAGGGGACACGCGAAGCAGGGATCCCCACAGCAACGGGCAGGGGTCTTGCCCCGGGGGGGGGGGGGGGGCGGAACACGCCGACACGGAGAGGAGGGGCAGAAATCACCCTGTTCCCCCCCCACTTCATGGGTGGGCATGGATCCATGGAACCCCCCCACCCCTCCCTCAGCCCCTGCCCCACGGTGGGGGGGGGTGTGGGGGGGTGGACACTGCTCTGGGTGCATCCCCACACTGGCCCCCCCCACCCCTGAGCCCACAGAGGAGTGCTGGAGATACTGGTGCCATGGGGCGGGGGAAGGGGCACACTCACACCCCCACCCCCCACCAGAGTGCACGGGGGGACCCTCTACACCCCACTGAAACGGGGGGGGGGGGGGGGGCACAACCCAACCTTACAGCTCCCCTGCTCAGCCCCAAGAGCAGGGAGAAGCTGTGGGGCCACCTCTGACCACCCCCCCCCCCCCCCCCCCAGCACCTGTGCCAGAAGCAGAACCAGTAGGTACCATTAAGCAGCTGGGAGACTGGAGTGGGGCTCCACGGATCTCATGTGGGTGTGTGTGTCCCCACCCAACATCACAGACAAGGGCTGGGCTCCCCCCCCCAACAGCTGGCGCAGAACAGAGCAGCCGGGCACTGGATGAACATGGTTTTATCTACTGTGGCCAAAAATAATAATAATAAAAAAAAAAAAAAAAAGAAAATAAAGGTCCAAATATGTAAAAATGAGTGGGGAGGGTGTCGGAAGCCACCGGGTCCCGCTCAGGGCATCACACCCGTGGCAGCCCGACTGGCTCCAGCCCTCCCCACGCCGGCATTCCCTTTGTGGTCAGCCCTGTGCAAGGCAGCGGCCGGCAAAATGCAGCCCCACCCACCCACGCACCCACCCACCCACGAGGAGGAGAAAGGCCCCCACACAGCGCCGGCGGGGGCGAGGGGCTGGCGACGGGGGTGTCTTGGCGAGGAGTAGGAAAACCGGGGTGTCTGTACAAGTTCTGTCGTGGTGCCATGGGGAGGGAGGGGAGAGGAAATAAAGACCAAAAAAAAAAAAAAAACAACCAAACAAACCAAAAACCCCAAAAGTGTTGAAGCGGCGGAGCTGCGGGGAGGGCTCAGGGGATGCCAAACTGTACAACCAGTTCTTCTTTGGCGTCGACACGGATCTGTGAGAGGGCGCTGAAGGCGTAGGCAGCTATCCGCGACACCTGCAGGCACACGGAGAAAATTATCTCAAAAGAAACTTTCCCCCCTCAAAAAAAAAAAAAAAAAAAACAAACCACACCAGGGGTGGCCCCAGCCCATCTCGCACCCACCCCGAGCGCTCGGCATCACTGGGAAGCACCCACCCTCCCCCCTTGCTCACAGCACCCACCCCACGGGACGGGGCCCAACACTTGCAGCCCCCCAAGAGGCGCTGGGGCAGGATTGTGTGCCAGGGCGGTGGGAGCTCTCGCCCGGGGGATTTTTGGGGTGGGGGCAGGGAAAAGACACCCTACAAACGGGCTGAGAGCGATGCTGGGCCTTTTCTGTGCGAGGCGGCGACTCTCGGCACCGAGGAAGAGCGTTTTCTCAGCGGCTCCTTCCTCAAAGGGATGCCCCGCTGCCACGACGCGTGGTCTGAAGGGGCTGAAAGGAGCTGCCTGCACACAGCCACCGCGCTGAAAACCCATCCCCAGGCTTTTGCCTTCAGTGCTAACGAGTCTGTACAGGGGCAACCCGAAACTCAGGATTTTGGGCAGTGGCCACGTTGGCCACCGGCACTGTGACTCTCACAGGAGCGCTGGCACAGCCTGTGTTCCCCTGGCGAGGCTACACCCAGCTAAAAACCCCCAGGAGCGGCTGCTGGGGTGAGCCCCACGGGCATCTCTGTGGAGCACTGAGGGGGGGGGACACTCCAATCTGAAGACAACCCCCCCCCTTCACCTGCTGCAGGTCTGCGAAAGGGACGGGGTCGCTGGCGAGCACTTGGTGGGGTTGGGTGGTCAGCGACGGCAGCAGCGGGAGCTTCTTCCAGTGCGTCAGGTTGTTGCTCAGCATGGCCAGGCGCGTGCTGCAGGGTGAGGAAGGGGCGGAGGGACACACACACACACACACACATAAGGGTCAGCGCCAACGGGGACACCCAGGTGTGGCAAAAAGTGGGTGCTGAGCCTCCAGGCACCAGCAGCACCGAGGGGGAACAGGGCAGAGCCTCGCCGTGCCCGGCATCCACCCCTCACGGTTCCCCGCGAGGACCAGGGAGCTTCCAGCTCTCCCCACACAGACGCTTTTCAAGCAGGAGCGATCACTTCCAGCCACCTCCCCGTCTGACCCCAGTGCTTTCAGGGCAGGAACACAGGAGCTCTTTGTGCCCGGCGGTAGCGCCGGGAGGGCAGAGGAGAGGAGCGGGGCTCAGCACCACCTCCCCGGGTGCAGGGAGCCCAGCTCTGTGCCAGGTTTACCCTCCCAAGGATCACCCCACCCGGGGACGTGGGGTTTTTGAGGGGCTGCAAGTGCCCTGGGGGAGCGGGGCAGGTCCCACCTGTACTGCCTGGCTCTGTCCATGTACTCGTGCTGCTCCATGCCCTGGGAATCAGCTGCCGACACGTCGATGATGTTGCTGCAGAAACACAAGACAGCGGCAGGGGGGGTCCCTGCTGTGGGCTCGATGCACCCTAGGATTTTTTCAGCACCCCGAAACAGACAGCTCGGGGATGTTACAAGGCCGAACTCGCAGCAGGAGTGTGCCAGGAGGGAAGTGCTGAGGAGTTTTTGCCTGCAGCTGCCCCAGGGACAGAGGGAGGCAGAGAGGCTGCACGGGGAGCCGGGGGTGGCCCACACCCCAGCCACTCGGGGAAGGAGGCTCCGCCACGTCGCAAGGGCTGCGAGGATTAAGCGCCTGGCAAACATCCCAAGAGCCCCGGTACCGGGCCCTGAGCTCAGATTGGAGCTGGGCACTTGCCCAAGTCCGTGCCACAGCCCCAGCAGGGTGTCCCCTGCCTCCCCCCCACCAAGCAGAGCAGTGCTCAGGGCTGCTGTGACACACACCGGTTGTCACCAGCCCCTCCGTGCCAAGTGGGGAGCAGCAGAGTCCACGAGCAACCCAAATCCCACCCCACACTGCCTGTGCGCATATGGGGAGAGGGGAGGCAGCCTCCCCAGGGAGAATAGAGCACCCCAGCGCTGGTGCCCCCCAATCTGCACACCCCTCCCCCCCCAAGGACTCACTTGTCCCAGTTTGGAGCTGGGCTCCCCAGTGCTTGCCCCTACGGTCCCCTCCCACGCAGGGTCTCGCCTCTGCATCCCCACGGGGCTCAGAGCAGAGGGAGGGGGGGCTGTGGGAGGGACACGGTAGGGCACTGCCACATCTCCCCCCACCTCCAGCCCGGCAGACCCCCACCGAGGCCATCGCCACTCCCCCCCCCGCGGCGCTCACATGGCTGTTTTGGCGAGGATGGAGGACAGCATGGCCTGCTCGTCGGTGCGTGCCGACGGGAGGTTGTGGTAGCTCTGCTCCGCTCCGTTCAGCACCTTGTTGGGAGGGCTGGCTGCTGGCTCCAGCAGCCGCTTCGTCTCTTCTTCCTGAGGGAAAAAGGCGAGAGGAGGATCAGCTCTAGCTGCCTCACACCACGGGCCAGGGCGAGCCTCACCCTCTGCCTGCCAGGCTGCCAAGAGGGCTCCCTGCGCTTCCCAGGATAACGCCGGCACAACCCCAGCTCTGCCAAAGCTCTGGTCATACTCCCCTTCCCCAATTCCTTCCCTTTTTCCCAGCCAAACTCCCCACTGCCACAAAGGGAGCAAGCACAGCAGCAATCAGGCAGCGCCTTCGGAGCCCACAGCCACTCCCACCCACGAGCCCACGCAGATCCACGGAGGATCCCAATCTTCCCGCTCCACGTGCCAGCGCCGGACCTGCCCAAAGGTCTTCGCTAATGAGGACGCACCTGTTGCATCCCAAACCTGCCCGTGCTGACCCGGAGAGACCCCTGCCAGCCTTTCCTCACACCCACACCTGCACAAAACACGGCTCATGCGCGTTATTGTGTGGCCAGCACACGGTGACCCCCACTGGCCACAGCCCAGGAGCATGGGGGTGCCTGGAAAAGGCTGTCGGAGGGAGCAGATCCACGGGGTATATATTCCCCCCGCCCCGTTCCTCAGCTCTGGAGTTGCAGCTCAGCCCTTAATCCCTGGGGACGAGCATCCTGGCAGGGCACAGGCAAGGCCTGATTAAATTTCCACAGGGAAGGTGACAGCCCCGATTTTGCAGCGGGGACGGTCAGGCTGTCCCGGGAAGGAAAACTTGGCCCCGCTCCCGTCAGCGAGCCTGGAGCTCACGCTGCACCAGGATGGGGTCTACAAAGAGGAGGGGCGAGAGGGGGGACAGGGACCCAGGGTGACAAATGGGCCACCCCAAATTTGCCAGGCAAAGTGGCACAGCTCCCCTGGGGGGCGTGGACAGGCCGTTTCCCCTCCTGCTGTGTGTGTCCCCCCGCCAACCTCTGCCATGGTGGGGCAGTGTCCTGCAGAGAAAGGATGCCCCCCCACACCCAGGCCCCCTCCCAGACAGGACCCGGGACCCCCAACAAGCATCTGGATCCTCCAAACAGGCCCCGGACTCCCAATGGACATCGGGACCCCCCCCCAAAAACGAGCACCGGACACTCATCAACCGGCCCCAGGATCCCCAAACACGCCCCGGGACCCCCCAGACAGGCACCCGGACCCCCACCGAACAGGCCCGGGGGACCCCCTCAAACAGGCACCAGGGCACCAAGACAGGCCCCAGGACCCCTCCAACGGGCACCAGGGCCCCCACACAGGCCCCGGGACCCCCCCAAACACGCTCCGGGCACCCCTCCCCAGACAGGACCCAGGGCCGCCCAACAAGCAGCCGGACCCCCCGCAACGGCCACAAGAACACCCCAAACAGGCCCCGGACACCCATTGACTGGCATCGGGACCCCCCAAAACGGGCAACAGGGCCCCAAACAGGCCCCGGGACACCCCAACGGGCACCGGGAGTCCCAGACAGGCCCCGTATTCCCCCGACACGCACCAGGACCCCCACAACAGGCCCCGTACCTCCCCCCATACAGGCCCTGGACCCCCCCGACAGGCCCCGGGACCCCACCACCGGGTCCCGGTCCTCCCGCAAATAGGCCCCGGCCCCCCCGCACCTGGTCGGAGGCCTCGGCCTCGCTGCTGTAGCAGCAGCCCATGGCGGGGCGGGCCCGGGGCCGCGCGTGGGGCCGCGACGGTGTCCGGCAGGGGCCGCACCGCCCCGGTCACGTGAGAGCGGCGGGGGAGGAGCCGCGCCCCGCCCCCGTGACCGGCTGCCGCATCACGTGGGAGGAGATGGGCCAATGGGAAGGGGAAGAGGGGAAGGGGGTGACCGCTCGCTACCCGCCCCGCCGGAGGGCGCCGCCGTCACGTGACGGGAAGCCAATCAGCACGCGTGGGGCCGTCACGGGGAGGGGCGGGGCTCGCGCGTGGGCTGCGTCACGCGGCCGTGGGCGACGCGCGTGAGTGGTCACGTGAGCGCGTGCGCGAGACCCACGCAAAACAATCCCCGCCCGCCCCACGCGCGTGCGCGTCCCAGTGCTCCCAGTTCCCACCGTGTCCCCAATGCTCCCAGTGTCCCCCAGTACCCTCCATATCCCCAGTGCTCCCAATGCTCCCAGTGTCCCCAGTGCTCTCCCGCTCTCCAAGTGCGCCCAATGATCCCAGTGCTCCCAGTGCTCCCAGTGCTCCCAGTGCTCCCAGTGCGCCCAGTGTCCCCAGTGTCCCCAGTGCTCCCACTGCTCTCCCGCTCTCCAAGTGTGCCCAATGATCCCAGTACCCCCAGTGCTCCCAGTGCCACCCAGTACACCTGATGCTCCCAGTTCTCCCACTGCCCTCCCTATTCCCACTATCTCCAGTGCCCCCAGGTGCTCCCAGTATACCCCCAGTGCTCCCAGTACCCACCATGTCCCCAATGCTCCCAGTGTCCCCCAGTGCTCCAAGTGCACCCAGTGCTCCCAGTACCCACCAATACCCCAGGTGCACCCAGTGCTCCCAGTTCTCCTATCGCCCCCAGTACCCTCAGTGCTCCCAGTGCCCTTCATATCCCCAATATCCAGAGCACTCCCAGTGCTCCCAGTACTCCCAGTGTCCCCAGTGCTCCCAGTGCTCTCCCGCTCTCCAAGTGTGCCCAATGATCCCAGTACCCCCAGTGCTCCCAGTGGCACCCAGTACACCTGATGCTCCCAGTTCTCCCACTGCCCTCCCTATTCCCACTATCTCCAGTGCCCCCTGGTGCTCCCAGTACCCACCATGTCCCCACTGCTCCCAGTGTCCCCCAGTGCTCCAAGTGCACCCAATGCTCCTAGTACCCACCAATACCCCAGGTGCACCCAGTGCTCCCAGTTCTCCTATCGCCCCCAGTACCCTCAGTGCTCCCAGTGCCCTTCATATCCCCAATATCCAGAGCACTCCCAGTGAGCCCAGTGCTCCCAATGCTCCCAGTGCTCCCAGTGCTCCCAGTGCTCTCCCACTCTCCAAGTGCGCCCAATGATCCCAGTACCCCCAGTGCTCCCAGTGCCACCCAGTACACCTGATGCTCCCAGTTCTCCCACTGCCCTCCCTATTCCCACTATCTCCAGTGCCCCCAGGTGCTCCCAGTATACATACCCCCAGTGCTCCCAGTACCCACCATGTCCCCAATGCTCCCAGTGTCCCCCAGTGCTCCAAGTGCACCCAGTGCTCCCAGTACCCACCAATACCCCAGGTGCACCCAGTGCTTCCAGTTCTCCTATCGCCCCCAGTACCCTCAGTGCTCCCAGTGCCCTTCATATCCCCAATATCCAGAGCACTCCCAGTGCTCCCAGTGCTCCCAATGCTCCCAGTGTCCCCAGTGCTCTCCCGCTCTCCAAGTGCGCCCAATGATCCCAGTACCCCAGTGCCACCCAGTACACCTGATGCTCCCAGTTCTCCCACTGCCCTCCATATTCCCACTATCTCCAGTGCCCCCTGGTGCTCCCAGTACCCACCATGTCCCCAATGCTCCCAGTGTCCACCAGTGCTCCAAGTGCACCCAATGCTCCCAGTACCCACCAATACCCCAGGTGCACCCAGTGCTCCCAGTTCTCCTATCGCCCCCAGTACCCTCAGTGCTCCCAGTGCCCTTCATATCCCCAATATCCAGAGCACTCCCAGTGCTCCCAGTGCTCCCAATGCTCCCAGTGTCCCCAGTGCTCTCCCGCTCTCCAAGTGCGCCCAATGATCCCAGTACCCCAGTGCCACCCAGTACACCTGATGCTCCCAGTTCTCCCACTGCCCTCCCTATTCCCACTATCTCCAGTGCCCCCAGGTGCTCCCAGTATACATACCCCCAGTGCTCCCAGTACCCACCATGTCCCCAATGCTCCCAGTGTCCCCCAGTGCTCCAAGTGCACCCAGTGCTCCCAGTACCCACCAATACCCCAGGTGCACCCAGTGCTTCCAGTTCTCCTATCGCCCCCAGTACCCTCAGTGCTCCCAGTGCCCTTCATATCCCCAATATCCAGAGCACTCCCAGTGCTCCCAGTGCTCCCAATGCTCCCAGTGTCCCCAGTGCTCTCCCGCTCTCCAAGTGCGCCCAATGATCCCAGTACCCCAGTGCCACCCAGTACACCTGATGCTCCCAGTTCTCCCACTGCCCTCCATATTCCCACTATCTCCAGTGCCCCCTGGTGCTCCCAGTACCCACCATGTCCCCAATGCTCCCAGTGTCCACCAGTGCTCCAAGTGCACCCAATGCTCCCAGTACCCACCAATACCCCAGGTGCACCCAGTGCTCCCAGTTCTCCTATCGCCCCCAGTACCCTCAGTGCTCCCAGTGCCCTTCATATCCCCAATATCCAGAGCACTCCCAGTGCTCCCAGTGCTCCCAATGCTCCCAGTGTCCCCAGTGCTCTCCCGCTCTCCAAGTGCGCCCAATGATCCCAGTACCCCAGTGCCACCCAGTACACCTGATGCTCCCAGTTCTCCCACTGCCCTCCCTATTCCCACTATCTCCAGTGCCCCCAGGTGCTCCCAGTATACATACCCCCAGTGCTCCCAGTACCCACCATGTCCCCAATGCTCCCAGTGTCCCCCAGTGCTCCAAGTGCACCCAGTGCTCCCAGTACCCACCAATACCCCAGGTGCACCCAGTGCTTCCAGTTCTCCTATCGCCCCCAGTACCCTCAGTGCTCCCAGTGCCCTTCATATCCCCAATATCCAGAGCACTCCCAGTGCTCCCAGTGCTCCCAATGCTCCCAGTGTCCCCAGTGCTCTCCCGCTCTCCAAGTGCGCCCAATGATCCCAGTACCCCAGTGCCACCCAGTACACCTGATGCTCCCAGTTCTCCCACTGCCCTCCATATTCCCACTATCTCCAGTGCCCCCTGGTGCTCCCAGTACCCACCATGTCCCCAATGCTCCCAGTGTCCACCAGTGCTCCAAGTGCACCCAATGCTCCCAGTACCCACCAATACCCCAGGTGCACCCAGTGCTCCCAGTTCTCCTATCGCCCCCAGTACCCTCAGTGCTCCCAGTGCCCTTCATATCCCCAATATCCAGAGCACTCCCAGTGCTCCCAGTGCTCCCAATGCTCCCAGTGTCCCCAGTGCTCTCCCGCTCTCCAAGTGCGCCCAATGATCCCAGTACCCCAGTGCCACCCAGTACACCTGATGCTCCCAGTTCTCCCACTGCCCTCCCTATTCCCACTATCTCCAGTGCCCCCAGGTGCTCCCAGTATACATACCCCCAGTGCTCCCAGTACCCACCATGTCCCCAATGCTCCCAGTGTCCCCCAGTGCTCCAAGTGCACCCAGTGCTCCCAGTACCCACCAATACCCCAGGTGCACCCAGTGCTTCCAGTTCTCCTATCGCCCCCAGTACCCTCAGTGCTCCCAGTGCCCTTCATATCCCCAATATCCAGAGCACTCCCAGTGCTCCCAGTGCTCCCAATGCTCCCAGTGTCCCCAGTGCTCTCCCGCTCTCCAAGTGCGCCCAATGATCCCAGTACCCCAGTGCCACCCAGTACACCTGATGCTCCCAGTTCTCCCACTGCCCTCCATATTCCCACTATCTCCAGTGCCCCCTGGTGCTCCCAGTACCCACCATGTCCCCAATGCTCCCAGTGTCCACCAGTGCTCCAAGTGCACCCAATGCTCCCAGTACCCACCAATACCCCAGGTGCACCCAGTGCTCCCAGTTCTCCTATCGCCCCCAGTACCCTCAGTGCTCCCAGTGCCCTTCATATCCCCAATATCCAGAGCACTCCCAGTGCTCCCAGTGCTCCCAATGCTCCCAGTGTCCCCAGTGCTCTCCCGCTCTCCAAGTGCGCCCAATGATCCCAGTACCCCAGTGCCACCCAGTACACCTGATGCTCCCAGTTCTCCCACTGCCCTCCCTATTCCCACTATCTCCAGTGCCCCCAGGTGCTCCCAGTATACATACCCCCAGTGCTCCCAGTACCCACCATGTCCCCAATGCTCCCAGTGTCCCCCAGTGCTCCAAGTGCACCCAGTGCTCCCAGTACCCACCAATACCCCAGGTGCACCCAGTGCTTCCAGTTCTCCTATCGCCCCAGTACCCTCAGTGCTCCCAGTGCCCTTCATATCCCCAATATCCAGAGCACTCCCAGTGCTCCCAGTGCTCCCAATGCTCCCAGTGTCCCCAGTGCTCTCCCGCTCTCCAAGTGCGCCCAATGATCCCAGTACCCCAGTGCCACCCAGTACACCTGATGCTCCCAGTTCTCCCACTGCCCTCCATATTCCCACTATCTCCAGTGCCCCCTGGTGCTCCCAGTACCCACCATGTCCCCAATGCTCCCAGTGTCCACCAGTGCTCCAAGTGCACCCAATGCTCCCAGTACCCACCAATACCCCAGGTGCACCCAGTGCTCCCAGTTCTCCTATCGCCCCCAGTACCCTCAGTGCTCCCAGTGCCCTTCATATCCCCAATATCCAGAGCACTCCCAGTGCTCCCAGTGCTCCCAATGCTCCCAGTGTCCCCAGTGCTCTCCCGCTCTCCAAGTGCGCCCAATGATCCCAGTACCCCAGTGCCACCCAGTACACCTGATGCTCCCAGTTCTCCCACTGCCCTCCATATTCCCACTATCTCCAGTGCCCCCTGGTGCTCCCAGTACCCACCATGTCCCCAATGCTCCCAGTGTCCGCCAGTGCTCCAAGTGCACCCAATGCTCCCAGTACCCACTGATACCCCAGGTGCACCCAGTGCTCCCAGTTCTCCTATCGCCCCCAGTACCCTCAGTGCTCCCAGTGCCCTTCATATCCCCAATATCCAGAGCACTCCCAGTGCTCCCAGTACTCCCAATGCTCCCAGTGCTCCCAGTGCTCCCAGTGCTCTCCCGCTCTCCAAGTGCGCCCAATGATCCCAGTACCCCCAGTGCCCCCAGTGGCACCCAGTACACCTGATGCTCCCAGTTCTCCCACTGCCCTCCCTATTCCCACTATCTCCAGTGCCCCCAGGTGCTCCCAGTATACCCCCAGTGCTCCCAGTACCCACCATGTCCCCACTGCTCCCAGTGTCCCCCAGTGCTCCAAGTGCACCCAGTGCTCCCAGTACCCACCAATACCCCAGGTGCACCCAGTGCTTCCAGTTCTCCTATCGCCCCCAGTACCCTCAGTGCTCCCAGTGCCCTTCATATCCCCAATATCCAGAGCACTCCCAGTGCTCCCAGTACTCCCAATGCTCCCAGTGCTCCCAGTGCTCTCCCGCTCTCCAAGTGTGCCCAATGATCCCAGTACCCCCAGTGCCCCCAGTGGCACCCAGTACACCTGATGCTCCCAGTTCTCCCACTGCCCTCCATATTCCCACTATCTCCAGTGCCCCCAGGTGCTCCCAGTATACCCCCAGTGCTCCCAGTACCCACCATGTCCCCAATGCTCCCAGTGTCCCCCAGTGCTCCAAGTGCACCCAATGCTCCCAGTACCCACCAATACCCCAGGTGCACCCAGTGCTCCCAGTTCTCCTATCGCCCTCAGTACCCTCAGTGCTCCCAGTGCCCTTCATATCCCCAATATCCAGAGCACTCCCAGTGAGCCCAGTGCTCCCAATGCTCCCAGTGTCCCCAGTCCACCCAGCATTCCCAGTGCTCTCCTGTGCTCCAAGTGTGCCCAATGATCCCAGTACCCCCAGTGCTCCCAGTGCCACCCAGTACACCTGATGCTCCCAGTTCTCCCACTGCCCTCCCTATTCCCACTATCTCCAGTGCCCCCTGGTGCTCCCAGTATACCCCCAGTGCTCCCAGTACCCACCATGTCCCCACTGCTCCCAGTGTCCCCCAGTGCTCCAAGTGCACCCAATGCTCCTAGTACCCACCAATACCCCAGGTGCACCCAGTGCTCCCAGTTCTCCTATCGCCCCCAGTACCCTCAGTGCTCCCAGTGCCCTTCATATCCCCAATATCCAGAGCACTCCCAGTGAGCCCAGTGCTCCCAATGCTCCCAGTGTCCCCAGTCCGCCCAGTATTCCCAGTGCTCTCCTGTGCTCCAAGTGTGCCCAATGATCCCAGTACCCCCAGTGCTCCCAGTTCTCCTAGTGTCCCTAGCACTCCCAGTGCCCCCAGTTCTCCTATTGCCCCCAGTACCCTCAGTGCTACCAGTTCTTCCAGTGTCCCCCATAACCTCAATATCCCCAGTGCCCTCAAGTGCTCCCAGTACCCCCAGTACCCCAGGCAACTCAGGCTGAGCTGGGTCACAGGTGGGGCCGCACTGGGGGCACTGGGACGATGTGGGGTGTGGAGCGGGTACACTGGGGGGTGGGGCGGCCCGATCCAGCCCCCAGCCCCCAGTCTGGCATCCACCAACCTGGACCCACTGGATGCTCCCCCAGTCCCAGTGACAGGACCCCAGCCCCAGTATGGAAACCCCAGTCCCAGTATTGAGACCCCAGGTACAGGGACAGGACCCCAGCCCCAGTTTCAGACCTCAGCCCCAGTATCAGGCCCCCGGTCCCAGTTCCAGGTGCCAGCTCCAGTACCAGGCCCCTGTATCAGGACCCCAGTCCCAGAATCAGGCCCTAGCCCCAGTAAAAAAGACCCCAGTCCCAGTTTCAGGTCCCAGCCCCAGTATCAAGACCCCAGTCCCAGTTTCAGGTCCCAGCCCCAGTATCAAGACCCCAGTCCCAGTTTCAGGCCCCAGCCCCAGTATCAGCCCCCAGCCCCCCCAGCCCGTCCCCGTCCCCCGTAAACTGAGCCGGTTGCGTCTCAGGTGACACCATCAATAATTGAGGGGGTCGGGGTGGGGGGGGTGGCTGCTGCCTGCCTGCAGCGCAGGGACAGGTACATGCCACCCCCACCACCCTGTCCCCTCCCTGCCGGGGACCCCCTGCAGCTCAGGGGGTGGGTTTTGGGGTGCAGCGCCCCCTCAGCGCACTGTGGGGCTGGGAACTCCCCGAGGTGTCAAGGGTGCTGAGCACTGCCAGCTCGTGGCACGTGTGGGAGCGGTGAGGACCCCCCCCCCAGCATCGCCTGTGGGGGTTGTTTTTTTTTTTTTTTTCCCCACAGCCTCACCCCCTTTCCCCCACCATGGTGTCGCCGGCGATCGCCCTGGCCTTCCTCCCCTTCCTCGTCACCCTCCTCATCCGGTACCGGCACTACTTGGTGCTGCTGTACCGGGCGGTGCTGGTGGGCTGGCTGCGGGACCGCCTCACCGGCGTGCCGCGGGAGCAACGCGCCTTCCAGTACGTGCTGGCCCACGCCATCCCCGGCGACCCCCGCCACATCCTCCAGACCTTCGACCGCTGGTGCTACGGCTGCGAGCACCTCAGCAGCGTCGGACCCGTCAAAGGTGAGCGAGGGGAGGGGGTGGGGGGGTCCCGGCACCACCGGTGCAGCTGTAGCACTGCTGGTATGGCCGTGGCATTGCGAGCGTGGCCGTGGAATCATTGGCACGCCCTTGGCATCATCAGCACTGCCACAGCACCCCCGGCACAGCCGTGGCACTGTTGGCATGGCCATGGCATTGTTAGAGTGGCCGCAGCATCGCTGGCACAGCCACGGCACCCCTGGCACAGCTGTGGCATTGTTAGTGTGGCCGTAGCACTATTTGCGTGGGTGTGGGATCATCGGCCATGCCCACGGCACCATTGGCACAGCTGTGGTATTGTTAGCATGGCTGTGGCATCGCTTGCACAGCCACAGCACCGTTGGCATGGCCATGGCATTGTTACCGTGGCATCGTTGGCACAGCCATGGCATCGTTCGCATGGCCACAACACCCCTGGCACAGCCATGGCACATCTGTGGCATGGTTAGCGTGGCCATGGCACTGCTGGTGTGCCTGTGGTACTGTTAGCATGGCCATGGTACCATTGGCATGGCTACGGCACTGCTGGCACAGCCGTGGCACCATCGCCACAGCCACAGCACCCCCGGCACGGCCACGGCACCATCTCCAGGGCTGTGGCATCCAGGTGGCTGTCTCACCCTTGCCGTGGCCACAGCCCCACTGGCACAGCCCTGGCACTGGCGGTGTAGCCACAGCATTATTGCCACAGCCATAGCACGGTCAGTGTGGCCATGGCACAACTGATATGGCTGTGGCATGGCCGTTGAGGCTCTGCCCTCCCAGTGGCACTGGGAAGGGCTGGTTGTGGCCACAGGGAGGTTTGCCACTGCCCTTCCCCTCCCTCCCGCCCCTCTCCGTGCTGGGGACCCCCTTGGCACCATCCCTGCTGCCCAAGGAGGGGGGGAATTTTTTGGGGGGGGCGGGGTGTGTGGCACAGGGAGGTGTGGATGCAGCCCCTGAGGACCGTGGGCCGTGGCAGGGCGGATCGTGGAGCGGCTGGTGGCGGAGCGGGCGCCGCGGCGGGTGCTGGAACTGGGCACCTACTGCGGGTACGGCACGGTGCTGCTGGCGCAGGGGCTGGCCCCAGGCGCCCGCCTCTACACCGTGGAACCCAACCCCAGCCACGCTGCTGTGGCAGAGAAAGTCATTCGCCTGGCCGGCTTCGACGAGCAAATGGTGAGTGCCACGGGGCGGGGGGAAAGAGAAGAGGAATTGGGGGGTGGGGGGGACGGACACCCCAATCCTGTGCCGGGGATACCTGCGAAAAACTGGCTCCTTTCCCCGGTGGGTCCTGCCACGCTGCTTGGACCCCTGGAGCACCGTGGTTGGGTGTGGGCTGTGTGTGTCCCCCCGCCTTCTCTGCTCTGGGGGTGCAGAGGGGCTGAGGTGGGGGGGGGGGCTGGTGCAGGTGGAGCTGATCGTGGGCCCCTCGGAGGAGGTGATCCCCCGCCTGCAAGCGCAGCACGGTTTGCTGAAAGCCGACTTCGTCTTTATGGATCACTGGAAACGCTGTTACCTCCGGGACCTGCAGCTACTGGAGACCCACCAGCTGCTGGCCCAAGGGGCCACCATCCTGGCCGACAACGTCCTCTTCCCCGGGGCCCCCCACTTCTTGCAGTATGCCAAAACCTGCGGCAAATACCGCTGCAAGGTGCACCGCGCCAGCCTGGAGTATTTCCGTGCCATCCCCGATGGCATCGCCGAGCTCCGCTATGTTGGGAACTGCTGAGGCAGCACTGGGAGGGGAGTGGGGAGCACTGGGATTCCGCCCCCCCCACCCCATAAAGGGCACTGGTGTGGACGGTGGTGGCTGCCGGGGTGGGTGGCGTCGTGCCAGTGCGCCTGGCATGCTGGATTTAAGGCGGGGTTTTGCTTGGAAATGGAGTTTATTAGGGAAAAATAAGAAAGAAAACTATACAATGACTCGCCGCCTCACTGCGTGCTTCCCCAGTGGCCGCAGGGTCTCTGCGGCCCCCCCCCGGGGGGGTTCACCCTGCAGCCCCCCTAAAGGGCTGCAGCCATGGGAGCTTCACCAAACTACCCCCTCCCCGGAGCTGGGGGTGGGGTGTGAGGGCAAGGGGTCTCCCCACACCTCCATCAGATCATCCACTGGTCCTGATCCTGCTCTGCCCCCTCCATGTCCACCTGGGAAGTGGAAAGGTTTGAGGAACGCCCCCAAAGCAAAGGCCAGCCCCCTTGCCCTCACCCCAAAAACAGGGAGAGATGGAGAGGGACAGGGCTGAGGGGGTGGAGAAAACGACACCCCCCCCTCATTATTTACCTCGTTGATCTCCCCGTCATCGGGAGACTCGTTATAATCGTTCATCTCATCCATATCCTGCATGTCCTCGTCGTCCTCTGAGTCCTCTTCGCTGTCTTCATCATCCTCGTCGTCCTCTTCCTCCTCCTCGTCGTAATGCTATGGGTACAACAGCTCCAGCCCCCCCACCCTTACCCCCCCACCTTACACAGGGGTGGGGGACCCCCCACCCAACCCCCCCACACCCACCTCGGACGCCGGTTTTCCAATGGGCACCAGGTTGTTGTCCTTCTCGGCTATGCTCTGGAGCTGAGGAGTGGCAGGTGGGTGAGCACCCCAACACCTCCCAGAGTCCCCCCAGGGAGAGGCAGGGGGAGTCCCAAGGAGTCAGCACCCACCCGTGAGGAGCACCAGCAGAGCCCAAACACAGAAAGTTTTAATTTTTTAAATAAAAAATGACCCCAAAGCTGAGGTATCTGCTTGAGAACAGCTGCTACGGATAATTACAGCGCAATTAAAACCCTTCACCCAGGGGGACTCACAACTCCTTCCAGGTACTGGGCTTTTAATTACTGATTGAAATGATTTTTTACTTAATTATAATAATGTAATTGCTGAGATTTTTTTTTTTTTTTTTCCCCTAAACTTTATCCAAAGAGATGCTTTTCCCCCCAGCCATACTCAGGGGCTGCAGCACTGAGCAGCACGCCCGATACCTGTGGGTCACCGGGATCACTAATCACCGCTGAGATGGTTAATTAACTAACCAGGAGGTACCGAGGGAGCCTGGGGCCAGCCCCAGCCCCCTAACGAACCCCCCCAGACAGCAGGGAGGGCAAGGCCATGCAACCCCCCCCACAAAAAAAGGCCAAAACGGTGAAACCGCTGAGGAAGCAGCACACAGAACCAGCCTGGGAACTCCCCAGCCCTCCCAAACCAGCTGGGGGGCTGCAGCGACCCCCACCCCCATTCCCCCCTCACCCATACCCGCCTCAGCCCCCCAGCGCCCCCCCTCATCCCCAGCAGCCCCCCCCCCAGCTCCATCCCCGGCTCCCCAGCTCCCTGCCTCAGCCCCTCCAGCACCTCCCCAATGCCCCCCCTCATCCCCCCCCCCCAGCAAACCACACTCCCCCATGCCCCCCATCTCCCTCAGCACTCCTTCAACGCCCCCCTCATCCCCCCCAACCCCTCCCCTATGTCGTCCTAATTCCCCCCGCAGCCCCCGGTGCCCACCCAGGCCTGGTGCTGCTGCTCCTGCTGCTGCAGCTCGGTCTCGTCCACACAAGGCCGGTCGAGGTTGAACCAGAGGGACTCGGTGACGCGCGGGAGCAGGGAGGGGAACAGCGTCGACATAGTGGTGGAGGAAAAGGGGGGGGTTGGGGGAGGGGGGGGAAGGGGGGCGGGCACCGGGAGCAGAACCGGCCGTTACCGGCCCCCACCCGGAAGTACAACGCGGCCCGTGCCCCGCCGGAAGCAGTTCTTTTGCGTCTGGCACGGCGCATGCGCGGAGGGGGTGGGCGAGGCCACGCCCACGAGGGGGGGAGGCAGCGGGGGCGGGGTCAGCGCGGCGAGGCGAAGCCTGATTGACAGCTGGGGGGCGGAGTCTGCCGCCCCCCTCCACGGAGCGCGTCCGGCTGCGGTGGGGGGGGCTGACCCCAATGGGGTGGGCGTGACCCCCATAGGGGGGTGTCTGTGACCCCAATGGGGGGGGGAGGGTGACTCCAATGAGGTATCTGTGACCCCAGTGGGGGGGTATCTGTGACCACCTCTGGAATATCTGTCCCCCCCGAGGGCTTCTGTGACCCACGGGGAGGGGTATCTGTGACCCCAGTGAGGGGGCACGTGATCCCGATTGAGCATCTGTGACCCCAATGGGGCATCTGTGTGTCCCCCCGGGGCATCTGTGAGCCCCAAGGTGGGGGGGTGACCCCAATAGGGGGGTATCTGTGACCCCCCCCGGGACATCTGTAACCCCCAAGGTGGGGGGTTGACCCCAATGGGGAATCTGTGACCTATGATGGGGTGTATCTGTGAACCCCCCGGGGTATCTGTCCCTCTGGGGCCTTCTGTGACCCATGGGGGGGGTATCTGTGACTCGTGGTGGGTACGTAAATCCCGTGGGGTATCTATGACCCCAATGGAGGGGTACCTGTGTGTCCCCCCCCGGGGGCATCTCTTACCCACTGGGGTTTCCCCCCCCCCAGGGCCCTTCATGGACACCCTGCAGCATTGGGAGGGGTTGGATCCTGCCCCTCACGCTGATGTCAGGGTGTGGGGTCCCCCCCCCCACTCCCCCCCCTGCCACGGGAGGGAAAGAAAAAACATCCACGAGTGGATTTTGGCAGGCGCTGGTCCCATCACGGCGCCGGGAAGCCGGATCCTGGCTCCACGCAGGGCTGCGGGGGGGGGGGGGGGATGGGTTGGGTTTGGTGGGGGGGTGTGGGGGTGTGTCGGGGGGGGGGTGTGGGTGTGTGTGTGTGAACCCCATCCCCTCTGTGCCCCGTGGGTGCTGCCCGACCCGCCGTGCCCCGCGCCGGGCGGCATCCCGTGATCGGCGATCGGCGGCCAAGGGTTGTGCCGCACCGCGACCTTTGAGATGAGCCGCGCTCGCCCCGCGGCACCCGGCACCTGGCACCCCCCGAGGTAAGCACCCTGACAACCCCACCCCCCCCCCGCCTTAAATACCATGGAGCCTCAGCACTGGCCCCCCCCCCACCTCGACAGAGCCATGGTGGCCACATGGGCGCTGCTGGTAGCCCTGGCCTGGCCGACGGCCACCGCGCCGGCACAGAACTCGCTGCTCAACATCTGCATGGACGCCAAGCACCACAAAACGGAGCCCGGCCCTGAGGGGCAGCTCTACGGGCAGGTAGGGTCCTCACCCCCCCCAAACCCCACCCCACCCCGGGGCACCCACCGGCACCCCCCACCCTTGGGGTCACCGGGATGGAGGGTGGAAAAAGAAGGGGGGGGGGGGGGGGGGGGGCGGTCCATCACCCAGTGGGGCCACCCCACCCGTGGGTGCCGGTGATTTCGCTGGCACGCCTCCCCGCGCCGCTGAGCCCCGGTTGCCCCGGCGCAGTGTGCCCTCTGGAAGGAGAACGCCTGCTGCACCGCCAACACCAGTATGGAAGCCCACCAGGACCAGTCCTACCTGTACGGCTTCAACTGGGACCACTGCGGGGCCATGCCGGAGAAGTGCAAGCGTCACTTCATCCAGGACACGTGTCTCTACGAGTGCTCCCCCAACCTGGGGCCCTGGATTGACCAGGTGGGTGCAGGACCCCCCCCCCCAGGTCTCCCCCCCCCCCCCCTCACTGGGATGAACTGGGGTGGTGCCGCAGGCAGACACCAGCTGGCGTAAGGAGCGGATCCTGAACGTGCCGCTGTGCCGGGAGGACTGCGAGCAGTGGTGGGAGGATTGCCAGGACGCCGTCACCTGCAAGGTCAACTGGCACAAGGGCTGGAACTGGACCACAGGTTAGTGTGTGTGGGGGGGTATTGGGGGAACTCCCCCTCCCCAAAATATGTCTGGACCTCCCCCCACACACACAGGTCCCCAGTTGCCCTGCATCTTGCCGCAGGGGAGTCGGCCACATCATTCCCCATCCTCGGTGGCTGCGAGTGGGTCTGGGGGTGTGGGGACGGGTCTCCCCAATTGGGGTGCTGGCAGCGTGGGGTGGTGCTGGCATTGGGGGGGGGGTGTGTGTGTGCTGGCAGCTGGTGGTTGGGGGTCCCATGGGTCAAACGCACCTCAGTAAAGGCAGCAGGACCCCTCAGGACACCGATACCACGCGCAGGTCGCAACAGGGGGATGGCCCCCCTCCATCCCAAAGACCCCCCCCACCTCATACACACCCCCCCCCCCCAGGCACCAACCAGTGTCCCCAGGGCGCCCTGTGCCAGAAGTTCAAGTTCGTTTTCCCCACGCCGGCTGCCCTCTGCGAGCAGATCTGGTCCCACTCCTACCGCTACACCCCGCACCACCGCGGCAGCGGCCGCTGCATCCAGATGTGGTTCGACCCCGCGCAGGGGAACCCCAACATCGCCGTGGCGCGCTACTACGCCCACGCCGCCGGCCCCCCCGGCCCCCCACTCCCCGTCCTGCTGGCCCTGCTGCCCCCCACCCTCCTGGCCCTGCTCTGAGCAGGGGAGCTGCAGAGGGGATGGGCAAAGTGGGGAGAAAAAAGGGGGGGGATCCGGGCTCTGCCCCATGGGACACCCCCAAACTGCACCATCCGCTCCGTGCCCCCCCCTCAGTATGTGGCTGGTGAATAAATGCTCCTGCCCTGCTCGGTGTTGGGGTGCTGCGGGAGGTGGAAGGGGGGGGCGCGGCGGGATGGGAGGGGGGAACCTGGTCCTGCTCCTCTTTGCGGGGGGGAGGGGCGCAAAGCGGGGACCTCACCCCCCATTTCTCTGTGTCGACCCGCCAGGCAGCGTGGCATCGCCTGCCCCCCCCCCCCAACAGGTGCGCCCTGCAAAGTGGGGGGCATGGGGGTCCCCGCCACTGCGATATGAGAGGGGGGTGTCACGGGACCCCCTGAGGAGTCTCAGCTCTCAGAGCCCGGGGGCGGGGTGGGGGGGGTCACCGGCACCCCGGAATGTGCAGGGTGGGACTGGGGAAACGATAGGGGGGGGACGACCCCGGGGACCCGCCCCGAGGGGGGGGACACGGCTGCCGCGGGGGTCCTACCAGCCTCCAGCCCTCCCCCTGCCCCGTGTCCCACCTCGGGGGGGGCTCGCCCACGTGCCCCGGCCGCCCCCGTTTTTGAGCCCCGGGCCTGGCCCCCCTTGCAGCGCGCCCCCCCCCCCACCCCGCCCGGTGCCCGCCGGTCCCGGTGCCCGCTCTCCGATCCCCCGCCCGCCTTTCCCAGTTTCCCCCCGGTGCTCCCTGCCCCTCGATGCCCCGACTCCCAGTGCTGCCCGTCCCCCCGGTGCTCCCTGTCCCCACGGTGCCCGTCCCCCCCGGTGCTCCCAGTCCCCCCAGTGTCTCTCCCCCCAACGCCCCCCTCCCAGCGCTCCCAGACCCCCCAGTGCTCCCAGACCCCCCAGTGCTCCCAGTCCCCCTGGTGCTCCCTGCCCCCCCGATGTCCCACCCCCCTAGTGCTCCCAGACCCCCCAGTGCTCCCAGTCCCCCTGGTGCTCCCTGCCCCCCCGATGTCCCACCCCCCTAGTGCTCCCAGTCCCCCCGGTGCTCCCAGTCCCCCCAGTGTCCCTCCCCCCAACGCCCCCCTCCCAGTGCTCCCAGACCCCCCAGTGCTCCCAGTCCCCCTGGTGCTCCCTGCCCCCCCGATGTCCCACCCCCCTAGTGCTCCCAGTCCCCCCAGTGCTCCCAGTCCCCCTGGTGCTCCCTGCCCCCCCGATGTCCCACCCCCCTAGTGCTCCCAGTCCCCCCGGTGCTCCCAGTCCCCCCAGTGTCTCTCCCCCCAACGCCCCCCTCCCAGTGTTCCCAGTCCCCCCGGTGCTCCCAGTCCCCCCAGTGTCCCTCCCCCCAACGCTCTCCCCCCGTGCCCACAGTCCCCCCAGTGCCCCCCACCCCCGGTGCCCGCCCCAGTACTCTCAGTCCCCCCAGTACTCCCACACCCCCCGGTGCTCCCCATGCCCCCCCTCCATTCTTCCCCCCCCTCCCTCCCAAGTCTCCCGATCCGCCCCGGGTGCTTCCCCCCCCAACTATCCATCCCCCCCCCCCCCCCCGCCCCTCATCTTCTCCCCGCCCCTATCTCCCTCCTCCCCCGTTTCTCCCCGCCCCACCGTTTCTCCCCGCCCCCCCCCCTTTCCCCCCCTCCTTTCCCGGTTCCCCCGCCTCCCCCCCGGTGCTGCCCCCGCCCGCCCAGCGCGGAGCGCGGCCCCGGCGGAGCATGGCGGGCGCGGGGGGCGCGGGGGGGCCGGTGCCGGTACCGGTACCGGTACCGGTACCTCCGTCGGTACCTCCGTGGTACCACCGGGACCTGAGCCGAGCCGCCGCCGAGGAGCAGCTCGCCCGGGCCGGGCGGGACGGCAGCTTCCTGGTGCGGGACAGCGAGAGCGTGGCGGGGGCCTACGCGCTGTGTTTGCTGTGAGTGGGGGGGGGGGACACGGGGAGGGACACGGGGGGGGGAAAACCCCGGGGGTGCCGGCGGGGGTGCCGGAGAGATCGGGGAGGGGGGGTGGGGTTGTCTCAGGGGGGCACTGGAAGGCATCCCCGCGGGGGGGTCTATGGGGAGCAGCGGCGTTGTGCTGGGGGGGACACCGGGGGTGGGGGGATGCTGGGGTGCAGCAGTGGGGAGCACTGGTGGGGTAGTGGGGAAGCATTGGTGTGGTACTGGGGGAGCGCGGAGGGATGCAAGTGGGGGTGACCCGGGGGGCATTGGCTCCCGGAGGACAGCAGGCACGGGGTGGGGGACACACACACACACGTGTATTGGCGGGGGGCACACTGGGCACGGGGGTCACCAGGACTATGGGGGGGACTGGGAACTTGGGGAGAAATGGGCACGGTGGGGCTGGGGGGTTGTGGGGAGACCGGGAGGGCGCTGTGGGGCACCGGTGGGGGACAGGGCACCCACTCTGAGGTGGGGGTCCCGGGCACTAACAGACTGGGCGGCACTGGGGGCTGGGGGAGTGGGGCTGGGGGGGACAAGCCGTGTGGGTCACACTGGGGGGGGTTTGGTGGCTGATGCCACGTCCCAGCTGAGCGCTGGGGGTCCCTGAGGTGCTGCCCCCCCCCCCCACCCTCCCCAAGAAGTGGGGCTGAGAGTGCGGTGGCCGAGCCAGGTCACCCTAATGTCCCCTCGGGGTGCCGGGATGTGTGGTGCCGGGGTGCGCCGTCAGCTCCCCTCGGGGCCCGGCTGCCTGTGCCAGCGCCGGGACCTTGATGTGGTTGTGGGGCAGGCGGTGTGGGGCGGTGGCGAGGGCACCTCGAAATTAGGCTTTTTCCGCTCCCCAAGAGCCCGTGGGCACTGGCAGCCGCCAGCTCCTTACAGCAAATAAATGGGGGGGGGGAGAACCAGGAGTTGGTGGTGAGCCGGCCTGCCCTGGCTTGGGGGCTGTGCCGTGCCGGTGCTGGGCACGCAGACCCCCGGCCTTGTTCCTCATAGCCGGTGGCTTGTGAAAATTTGGTTTGGTGGCCATGTGGGCACAGCGTGGTCGCCGGCTCCCCTCTGCGAAGCCGGGGTGGCGAGCGGTGCTGGGGGGAAGAGCACGCTTCGCCCCTACGAATACCAGTGACTGACGGTGTGCCGTGGGGCTGGGTGGGTGGGTGGGTGGGTGGCAGGGAGGGAGGGGGGGGGGGGGGGGGGCTGCAGCCGGGGTCTTGACATGGCTCACCGAGAGCCGGGACCCTGCAGCGAGGCAAAACCCAGCACGGGGGGATGCCACGGCGGGTGGCTGTGCCGAACTCTGCCGCGACCACGACCGGTGAGGGATCCCTGCACGGGGGGTGGGGGGGGGTGGGACAGGAGCGTGCCACGGTCCCACCGAGCAGCCCCCTTTGCCAGCGCGGGGGGCAACCGGGGGCCGCTGGTCTCATCGGCATCGTCCACCGCCACCGCCGGGGCCTAAAAATAGCTGCGGGGGCAGGAGGAGGAAAGGGAACTGCGCCGGGATCCCGGCAGCGCCGTCTTCCTTTAACCCTCCCGCCGACGTGCCGCGGCACACCGGGGCTTCGCGGTGGGGTGGCATCGCTGGGTGACACCGTGGGGGACACACACACAGAACCCCACAGCCGGACCCCCCGTCCTGGCTCTCCGCTGGTTCGCCCAGTGCCAGGGTGGTGCGGGTGGGTGCAGGGTGCCCCCCCCCCCCCCCCCCCCCCCCCCAGCTATGCCAGGGTGCTGTCAGCGGTGGGTGGTCCCGGCGATGCCGGTGGGGAGCCCTGGCACTCGCCGGTGGCCGCACTCCCACATTATGGCTCTTTGTGCTGGTGGCCCCCCCCCACCCCCCACCCCGGCCCCCTGGGATTAACTCACCAAAATAGCAGCCGCAAGCAGCACAGGGCTGGGCGGCCCCCCCCCCCCCGGGATGGCGCCTGGAGGGGGGGGGGGGGGGTCGTGTGTCCATTCCTCCCCACCCCCACGCTTCCATCCCCTGTGCTGGGGGTCCCCATGGGGACTCTACCCATAGAGACACCCCCCCCCATGCTCCCCCCCTAAACTGAGGTTTGGGGACCCCCCCTTTGTCCCCATCCCCCCCCCAATTTGGGATTCCCCATACTGACCCTGTGCTGGGGTTCCCCATGCACCTCCCTGGCCCCCCATCACCCCCCCATTGGGATTCCTGCTATTGGAGACCCCAACTGTGCTTCCCACAGAGACCACCCCCTCTCCCCAGCTGGGGGTCTCTGTGTGCCCCCCCCCCCCCCCCAGTCCCACCAGATGGGGGTCCCCATACAGAGCCCCCTGACACCAGCTGGGGGTCCCCCACATTGACCCCTCCAGGACTCCTTTGAGTTGGGGACCCCCAGATCCCTCAGTGGGGGTTTCCCATATGGACTCCCTACCCCCCCCCCCCCCCGCCTCCAACCTGCAGCAGGATTTCCCATACAGCCTCCCATAGCGGGTTCCCATTCAGCCCCCCTCAAACTGGGGGGGCTCCCCATGACCCCTGGTTGGGCATTGGGGCACCCCGGAGCAGCACCAGTGCTGGAGGGAGTGGGTGCTTCCCTCCCCCCTCCCCCCCCCTCGGGGTGCAAAGCTGGCTGTAGCTGGAGCAGGGGCAGAAATTGGGGATCCCCTTTCTGGAGGCTGTGGGAGGACGCTCGTGCTGTGCCCCCCCCCCCCCCCCCCCTTGCTGGAGGAGTTGGGGAGGGGGGGCTGGGATGGGGATCTGGTGCTGTGAGGAGCAGGGTGGCACCGGGGGACCCACCCCTGTGGCATGTGGGGTGACACTGGGGGACCCGACACTGTGGGGAGCGGGGGGTGGGGTGGCACCCCCTGGCGCTGTGGGGCACAGTGTGGTGACAGGGGGACACGGCTGGCAGGGTGTCACCGGGGTGGGGGACACGGTGGCTGGGCTGACGGGGGGGTCCTGGCGTGGTGACAGCCACCAGTGACCTCCACGAGCCCCATGGCCACGAGCCAGCCCAGGAGACACCATCCCTGCCGCTGGTACTGGGGGCGGGGGGTCTGGCCATGCCGGGGGTCCCCAGCCCCTGCAGTCTCACTGCTGTGGAGGGGACGGGGAGGGGACATGTGTGGGGTCCTGCTCCCCGCGCCCGCTGGCACCCGCACCCCATCTCTCAGCACCGGCCGTCACCCCCTGCCCTGGGATCACGGCCCCGGTTCCTGTCAGCTTCCATTGAAAAATAAATTGTTTCCTGGCATCCCGGCTGCCAGTGGCTGCCTGCTCCTGCCTGTCCCTGCCTCCTTCTTCCCTGCTCCCTGCCTGCTCCTGCCTGTCCCTGCCTCCTTCTTCCCTGCTCCTGCCTGTCCCTGCCTCCTTCTTCCCTGCTCCCTGCCTGTCCCTGCCTGCTCCTGCCTGTCCCTGCCTCCTTCTTCCCTGCTCCCTGCCTGTCCCTGCCTGCTCCTGCCTGTCCCTGCCTCCTTCTTCCCTGCTCCCTGCCTGTCCCTGCCTGCTCCTGCCTGTCCCTGCCTCCTTCTTCCCTGCTCCTGCCTGTCCCTGCCTCCTTCTTCCCTGCTCCCTGCCTGTCCCTGCCTGCTCCTGCCTGTCCCTGCCTCCTTCTTCCCTGCTCCTGCCTGTCCCTGCCTCCTTCTTCCCTGCTCCCTGCCTGCTCCTGCCTGTCCCTGCCTCCTTCTTCCCTGCTCCCTGCCTGTCCCTGCCTGCTCCTGCCTGTCCCTGCCTCCTTCTTCCCTGCTCCCTGCCTGCTCCTGCCTGTTCCCTGCCTGTCCCTGCCTGCGGGGCGGGCAGGGGATGCTCACTCCAGCACACTGACGGGCACAGCGGGGCTGGGACTGCAACATGGCAGGAGGACATGGGGGTGTCAGTTGGGGGGATCCCCGTTTGGTCAAGCATGGGGGGGGTGTCACTCTGGGCCCCCCCCCCCCCCCAGCACCCATCTGTGCCCCCCTCCCTGCACCCATCTGACAGGAGCCGGGCTGAGACCTGGCAGCTCATTACATGCCACTGGTAACGGTGGGACTGGGGCTCCTCGCTGCGGGTGCTCATGCAGGATGGGAGCCTGGTGTCCCCCGGGGGGTTTATGGGGGGGTTGTGCAGGCAGGTGGGGGGATGCCCCCCCCCCCCCCTCGCCATGGCCCCCCCTGCCTGACCCGCCCCCCCCTGCTGCCTGCAGGTACCAGAAGCACGTTCACACCTACCGCATCCTGCCTGATGAGGAGGACTTCCTGGCCGTGCAGGTGGGCAGAGCCCCCCAGGGACACTGCCCCCCCCCGAGGGGGGTACCCCCCTACAGCGGGCAGTGGAGGGGGTCCCCAGTGTGGGCTGAGGGAGGTCGGGGTGCCCCGGCCTGTACCCAGCTAAAGTGGGTGGGGGGGGGGAGGCTGTGCTGGGTGGGAGCAGCACCACAGTTACAGCCCCTCACCCCCGAGTGTGCCGGGGGGGGGGGGGGGGGGCTCCCTGCCCCCTGCCTCTGCTGTGGGGCTGGGGAGGGGGGGCTCGGCCTCGGCCCGGTGCTACCGCTGTGCCGGGCTCCAGCACGGCTGGGTGTCTTGGTTCCAGCCCAGTGCCACCAGTGCGCCCGGCTCTCCGGCACGGCCGGGTGTCTCGGCAGGGTTTGTCCCAGTGCCACCAGTGCGCCCGGCTCTCCAGCACGGCCGGGTGTCTCGGCAGGGTTTGTCCCAGTGCCACCAGTGCGCCCGGCTCTCTGGCACAGCCGGGTGTCTCGGCAGGGTTTGTCCCAGTGCCACCAGTGCGCCCGGCTCTCCGGCACAGCCGGGTGTCTCAGCCTGGGCCCAGTGCCACCAGTGTTCCCAGCTCTCCGGCACGGCCGGCGGCTCGGCAGCTCCCATCTTGGCTGGCCGGTGCCGCCGGGTATTTTTAGAGCAACAGAAACCCCTTTGTGCCGCCCCGGGTGGGCAGGAAAAAGCCGCCCCTGGGAGGGAGGAGGCGGGGGGATGGCTGCACCCCACACCCCGCACCCTGCCCGTCCCCCCCCTCGACACGCAGCCACGGCACCGCGGCGGGTGCCACGTCCCCCCCGGGCCCCGCTCCCCACGGAGAGTGTCAGCCGTGGGGCTGTGGGCTGAGCCCCCCCATCTTGGATGGGGCTCGCTGCCCAGAGGTGGGGGGGACAGGGTTGGGGGTCCCCACCCCCGCGGGGTGACCCCGTTGGCAGGCGGTGACAGTCCCCGGTGTCCCCGCAGACGTCGCAGGGGGTGCAGGTGCGACGCTTCAAGACGCTGAGCGAGCTGATCGCCCTGTACCTGCAGCCCAACCAGGGGCTGGTCTGCACCCTCCTCTTCCCCGTCGAGCGGGAGAAGGAGAACGTGGAGGACAGGGACTATTCGGGTATGACCGGGGGGTGGGTGGGCTCCCGGAACCCCCCCAGTTCCCTGCGGGGTGTGGGGGGGCTGTGACAGACACACCCCCCCCCCCCGCTCCCTCCCGCCATCGCCCCGGTGCAGATGGAGAGGATGAAAAGCCGCCGTTGCCGCCGCGCTCCGGCTCCACCAGTTTCTCCAGTAGCCCCGCAGGGCTCAGCCCCACCGCCCTGGGGCCAACCCTGCCGGAGGGGTCGGCGGAGAGGTGAGGGTCTGCACCCCTGCCTGCACCCCTGCCTGCACCCCTGCCTGCACCCCATCCTCACCCTCCCGGCTCCCTCCCCGCAGCACCAACGGGCTGAGCAGCATCTCCCACGAGTACCTGAAGGGCAGCTACTCGCTGGACCTGGAGGCGGTGAAAGGGGGGGCCAGCAGCCTCCCCCACCTCAACAAGACCCTCGTCGCCTCCTGCAAACGGTTGCACAGGTGGGCGGCCCCGGGCGGGATGGACGGACGGACGGACGGACGGGCGGGTGTGCCGCCGGCTGAGCCCGCTCCTCTCGCCCTCCCCAGCGAGGTGGACAAGGTGCTGGCGGGGCTGGAGATCCTCTCCAAGGTTTTTGACCAGCAGAGCTCCCCCATGGTCAGCAAGATCCTGCAGCAGGTGAGGGGGGGACGTGGGGACACGGGGGGGACATCCCCCCCCGCCTCGCCCTCACCCCACCCTGGGGCTTGTCCCCACGGACCTGCCACAGGGACGTGTGGGTGGAGGGAAAGGCAGCAGAGAAACACCCCCCCATCCTGCCCCGTCCCATGGTGCTGGGGGGTCCTGCCCCTGGGGGGCTGGGATGGATCTGGGGGTCCCATCCTGCCCCTTTAGGGGGGCTGGGGTAGATGTGGGGGTCCCATCCTGCCCTGTCCCACGGTGCTAGGGGGTCCTTCACTTCTGGGGGGCTTGGGTGGATGTGGGGGTCCCATCCTGCCCCGTCCCATGGTGCGGGGGGGGTCCTGTCCCTGCGGGGGGCCAGGGGTCCCATCCTGCCCTGTGCCACGGTGCCAGGCGGCGGGGCAGAGCGGGGAGCAGGAGCTGGAGAGCCTGGTGCTGAAGCTCTCGGTGCTGAAGGATTTCCTCTCCAGCATTGAGAAGAAGGTGGGGCTGGGGGGGGGGGGGGGGGCGGGGGGGTCCCCCCTGGGGGGAGTCTCTGCCGGGTCCTGGGCCAGTGTGTGGCCGGAGCCCAATCCAGAGGGGGCTGGGGCCGTAATGAGCTGCCTGGGTGGCATTGAGGGGACCCTGTGGGGGGGCTTGTGGGACTGGGGGGGCTAATGGGACTGGGGGGAGCTGGGGGAACTGGGGGGGCTTTTGGGGCTGATGGGATTGGGGGGAACTGGGGGTGCTGGTGGGGCTGGGGGAGCTGATAGGGCTGGGTGGGCTGGGAGGGGCTGGGGGAGCTAATGGAGTGGGGGGGGCTGGAGGGGTTTATGGGGCTGGGGGGACAGAGGGACTGGTAGGGGCCAATGGGATTGGTGGGACTGGTGGAGCTGGGGGGGCTGGGAGGATCCGGGGAGGGGGCTGATAGGGCAGTGGGGCTGGGGGGGGGTTGATGGGGCTGGGGGAACTGGTGAAGCTGAGGGGCCTGGGGAGGCTCTGGGGGCAGGTGGAGCTGGGGGGGGTCAGAGGGACTGGGGGGGCTTGGGGGGCTGGTGGAGCTGGGGGGGCTGATGGGGTTGGGGGCACTGGTGGAGCTGGGGGGGGGGGGGGGGTGATGGAGCGGGGGGGCCGCGATGCCTGGCTGACACCACCTGGTGCTGCCCAGGCACTGCGGGCTCTGCAGGAGATGAGCTCGGCCGCCCCCCCCGCGCCCCCCCAGCCCCTCGCCCGCAAGGCCAAGAGCATCCCTGTGCAAACCTTCGAGGTGAGCGTGTGTGTGTGTGTGTGTGTGTGTGTGTGTGTGTCCCACGCCCCCGGGGTCCCATCCAGCGATGGCAGGGGGGTGTCTCTGGGATGGGGGGACCCCCCCCGGATCCCCCCCTCCAGCACCTGGCCCCCCCCCCCCTCCCCCCGCCAGGTGAAGCTGGACGTCACCCTGGGGGACCTGACCAAAATCGGCAAGTCACAGAAGTACACGCTGAGCGTGGACGTGGAGGGGGGGCGGCTGGTGGTGCTGAAGAAGCAGAAGGACTCCCAGGAGGACTGGAACACCTTCACCCACGAGAAAAGTGAGGGGGGGGGGGGGGGCACCGGGGGGAGGCATCGCTGCACCTTGGGCTGGCCACGCTGCAGCATCCCAGGGTGGGGGGCGGTTGGTTGTCCCCATCCTGGGGGTCTCCCAGAGCGTGGGCTGGGAAAGACAGGGTTTGGGGGGGGGGGGGCACGGTGTCCAGCTGGCACCCAGCACCCCCTTGCCCCCCCCCCGGCATTTGCCCCCCGTCCCCCCCAGTCCGGCAGCTGATCAAGTCGCAGCGGGTGCAGAACAAACTGGGCATCGTTTTTGAGAAGGAAAAGGATAAAACACAACGGAAGGATTTTGTGTTCGTCAGCGCCCGGGTGGGTCGCGTTCTGCTGGGATTTTGGGGGGGAGGGGGGTGTCCAGGGTTGTGGGGGGGGGCTCGTAGGGATTGAGGGGTTGGGGGGGTGTGTATGTGCAGGATTTAACCCCCTGGTCTCCCACGGGGGCTGGTGCCCCGTGTTGGGGAGGTGTGTTTGGCTGAGTTGGGGGCGGCCAGGCGGGGGGGGATGTGGGGATCCCCTCTGCCCCCACTCACTGTGTGTCTCCCCCCCCCCCCCCAGAAGCGGGAGGCTTTCTGCCAGCTCCTGCAGCTGATGAAGAACAAACATTCCCACCAGGATGAGCCCGACATGATCTCCATCTTCATTGGCACCTGGAACATGGGTGAGCGCCAGGGTGGAGAGGGGAGGGGGGGGAACACCCTTTTTGGGAGGGGGGGGGGCACAGAGCCCTTTGGGGCAGGTTGTGGGGGGTGTGTGTGTGTGTGTGTCCTGTGACCGTGCCGCTCCCCGCCGCAGGCAGCGTGCCCCCCCCCAAGAGCATCACGTCGTGGTTCACCTCCAAGGGGCTGGGGAAGACGCTGGACGAGGTGACGGTCGCCATCCCCCACGACATCTACGTCTTCGGCACCCAGGAGAATTCCCTGGGTGACAGGGAGTGGGTGGATTTCCTGCGCGGAGCCCTGAAGGACGTCACCGAGGGGGAGTACCGCCCGGTAGGGACGGGGGGCTGGGGGGCACAGGGGGGTGGTATGGGAGGGGTGACGCTCGGTGGCCTGCTGGGTGCTGCGGGGCTGCCTGTTTTGGGGTGGGTGCTGGGGTGGTGGTGGGTGCTGAGGCAGTGGGTGCTGGGGGTGGTGGGTGCTGGGGAGAGTGGTGGGTGCTGGGGGTGGTGGGTGCTGCGGGGCTGCCTGTTTTGGGGTGGGGGCTGGGGGTGGTGGGTGCTGGGGTGGTGGGTGCTGGGATGGTGGTGGGTGCTGGGGGTGGTGGGTGCTGAGGAGGTGGGTGCTGGGGAGAGTGGTGGGTGCTGGGGGTGGTGGGTGCTGCGTGGCTGCCTGTTTTGGGGTGGGTGCCGGGGTGAAGGAGGGGACACCCAGCACCCATGGCACGGGGCAGGGAGGGGGGGACACCCCCCCACCCAGCGGGGTGCTGCTCTGGGGGGGGTCTCACGGTGGCGGGGGGGGGCCCGCAGGTGGCCATGCAGTCCCTGTGGAACATCAAGGTGGTGGTGCTGGTGAAACCGGAGCACGAGAACCGCATCAGCCACGTCGGCACCTCCAGCGTCAAAACCGGCATCGCCAACACCCTGGGTAAGGGGGGGCTGCACGGGGGGGCTGGGGCGGCACGTGCCGCAAGAGGAGGGGTCCGGGCACGTCTGTGTTGCACAGGGAGGGGTCCCAGAGCACGTGCGTTGCACGAGGAGGGGCCTGTGCACAAGGAGGGGTCTCAACATGTGTGCCTTGTGTGGGGAGGGGTCCCTTCATGGGTGTGTTGCACGAGGAGGGGTCCTGGTGTGCGTGCGTTGCACGAGGAGGGGTCCAGGCATGTCATTGTTGCACAGGGAGGGGTCCTAGGGTGCATGTGTTGCACGAGGAGGGGTCTGGGTGCGTGTGTGTTGCGTGGGGAGGGGTCTCAGCATGTGTGCCTCGCACGGGGAAGGGTCCAGGTGTGTACCGTTGCACAGTGAGGGGGCCTGGAGCACGTGCATTGCACGAGGAGGGGCCTGTGCATGGGGGTGTGTTGCACGAGGAGGAGCCCATGTGTGTGTGCATTGCACGAGGAGGTGTCTCTGTGTGTGTGTGTGTTGCACGAGCAGGTGTCTGTGCACATGTACATTGCACGAGGGGGGGTCCGGGCGGGTGTGTGTTGCATGAGGAGGTGTCTGTGCACGTGTGCGTTGCACGAGGGGGGCTCCGTGCTAACAGCCTGAGTAGGGCCCATCCCCCCCGTCCTGGGGGGCAGGGGGCTCCCCACCCCCCGGGGGCAGCCGACCCCCCCCTGGTCTGACTCTGCCCCCGGCCCCGCAGGGAACAAGGGAGCCGTCGGCGTTTCCTTCATGTTCAACGGCACCTCCTTCGGCTTCGTCAACTGCCACCTCACCTCTGGCAACGAGAAGACGGCACGGTGAGCACCCAGGCGCCGGGGGGGGGCCCCGTCCTGGGACACCCCCATCCCCGTGACACCCCCCTGTGTGTGTGTGTGTGTGTGTGTCCCCTCCCCTCGCTGAGCAGGAGGAACCAGAACTACCTGGACATCCTGCGCCTGCTCTCGCTGGGGGACAAGCAGCTCAGCTCCTTCGACATCTCCCTCCGCTTCACCCACCTCTTCTGGTTCGGGGACCTCAATTACCGCCTGGACATGGACATCCAGGTAGGGGGGAGGGTGTGTGGGGGGGCGCTGCTGGTGTGTTTCCCCCCCCCCCCCCCAAACCCCAGCCCCGTGCCAGCCCCTCTGTCCCGCAGGAGATCCTCAACTACATCAGCCGCAAGGAGCTGGAGCCGCTGCTCAAGGTGGATCAGCTCAACCTGGAGAAGGAGAAGCACAAGATCTTCCTGCGCTTCGGTGAGGGCTGGGGGGAGGTTCTGAGGAGGGTGTGTGTGTGTGTGTGTGTGTGTGTGTCCCACTGCTGGGACTGTCCTGACCCCCCCCACCCTGCTGTGGGTGCAGGCGAGGAGGAGATCACCTTCCCCCCCACCTACCGCTACGAGCGGGGCTCGCGGGACACCTACGTCTGGCACAAGCAGAAGCCCACGGGGGTAGGTGCTGGGGTAGGGGGTGGGGGTTTAGGGTGGGGGGGGCACCCCAGCTTGACACCCTCCCCCCCCCCCCCCCGCCCCATCCCTGCTCCTCCCCATCCCTGCCAGGTCCGCACCAACGTGCCGTCCTGGTGCGACCGCATCCTCTGGAAGTCCTACCCCGAGACTCACGTCAACTGCAACGCCTACGGTGAGCTGCATGTGTGTGTGTGTCCTCCACTGTCCCCCCGACTCCAGGGATGGCCCCCCCCCCCCCCCAAATCTGACACACCTCCCTCCCCCCGTCCCGGATCCTGGCTGACCGCAGGGTGCACAGACGACATCGTCACCAGTGACCACTCGCCCGTCTTCGCCTCCTTCGAGGTGGGGGTGACGTCCCAGTTCGTCTCCAAAAAAGGTGCCTGTGCCCAAGGGGACACCCCGCTCCCCTCCCTGTGGGTCCCACCTCTCCCTACAGACTGGGGAGGGGGGGGTCCCAGTTGGGCGGCGGTGGAGGGGGGGGTATCCCAACACCTCATCTCTCCCTGGAGGGCTCTCCAAGTCCTCCGAGCAGGCATACATCGAGTTCGAGAGCATCGAGGCCATCGTGAAGACGGCCAGCCGCACCAAGTTCTTCATCGAGTTTTATTCCACCTGCCTGGAAGGTGAGGAGGGATGGCTCCGTGGTATCGGGGGGCTGGGGGAAGGGGGGGCGGGTGTCCTAGCAGGGTTCTGGGGGGGCTGTGCTACATGTGTTATTCCCCTCCCTTATCACAGAGTTCAAGAAGAGCTTTGAGAACGACAGCCAGAGCAGCGACAACATCAATTTCCTCAAGGTGCAGTGGTCGTCCCGGCAGCTTCCCACGGTGAGGAGGGGCTGGTGCTGGGAGGGGGGAGCCACAGGCAGGGAGATACACACACACACACACACACCCCCCCAACCTTCCCAGTGCCACCATCCCATCCTTTCACCCTCAGCTGAAGCCCATCCTCTCCGAGATCGAGTACCTGCAGGACCAGCACCTCCTGCTCACCGTCAAATCCCTCGACGGCTACGAGTCCTACGGTGCGTGCTCCCCCACTCCCCGGCACCGCGCCGCTCTCGCAGGGTGGGTGGGTGGGGAGGGAATCTCTTGGTGGGGGATGCAGACCCCTGACACCCCCCTCACCCCAGGAGAGTGCGTCATCGCCCTGAAGTCGATGATCGGCAGCACGGCGCAGCAGTTCCTCACCTACCTGTCGCACCGTGGCGAGGAGACCGGCAACATCCGCGGCTCTATGAAAGTCCGCGTGCCCGCCGAGCGCTTGGGCACCCGCGAGAGGCTCTATGGTGAGGACACCCCCCCCTCCCCAACACACCCCCCCACACACACCCCACCCCGGGGGAGCGGGGGGACACTTGCTAAAGCCCCCGTCCCCTCGCAGAGTGGATCAGCGTTGATAAGGATGAGACGGCGGCCGGCAAAGGGAAGGTGCCGCTGGGTGCCAGAGCCAACCAGGATTACGCCAAGTACGGGGGACAGGGCTTGGTGGGGTGGGGGGAGCGCTGGGGGTGCTGGGGGTCCTGGCCGGGGGGGTGCTGAGGGTCCTGGGCAGGGGGACTCAAGCATCAGAGCATCCCTCCGGGTTGGTGTATGTGATGTGTTTGGGGACAGTCCCGGTGCTGGCTCTGCCACGCGGGTCAGGGCTGGGGGGGTCTCGGTGCCTCGTGAGAGCGGCGTTGGCCCCATCCGGGGGGGGGGGGCGTGTCTGAGCCTGGGAGGGGTTTGGGGAGGGGCTGTTGAGCACCCTGGGGCACCCTGACACCTTTTGTCACCCAGGTCGGTGGGGCGGAAGCCCACCAGTGCCGAACCACCCCCCACCACCCCGGCAAAGCCCCCAGAGGAGCCTGAGAAGGGCAGCGCCGCGCCGGCCCCCCGCCCCCCCGCCCCTCACCGCGGCACCCCCAGGGAGGAGGCTGCCCCAAGCCGGTAAGGACTGGGGGGACAGGGAGAGCTTTTTTGGGGGGGGGGGGGCACCCCACGGCTTCCCCTGGTGGGGTGACACGCTCACCCCCGTGCCGGCAGGTCCAAGGTGGAAGCAATGCCAGAGCCGGTGGCGGGGGGGCCGCTGAAGAACAGCTTCAACAACCCGGCGTACTACGTGCTGGAGGGGGTCCCGCACCAGCTGCTGGCGCCGGGGGACCCCGGCAAACCCCCCGCCCCCAAAGCCAAGGGGCAGCTGGGGGTGCCCGAGCGACGCCGACACCCCTCGGCCGGGCAGCCGCCGGCGTGCCGCGGCGAGGAGAGCTCCTCGGATGAGGACACCGGCACCCTCAACCTGCCGCCGCCGGATTTCCCGCCGCCGCCCCTGCCGCGGGAGCTGGAGCTGCCCCCCAACCCTTTTTTTGGCAGCGCCAAAGAGGGGCCGGGACCCCCCGGGCGTGAAGAGCCCAAACAGCGGGTGGGGGGTGCCGGCGGTGCTGCCGCTTTTGGGGAGTCCCCCCCGCCCAAGCTGCACCCCCGGACCCCACCGGTGGCCGGGGCTGGATTTGGGCTGGAGGGGGGGCCCAGCGGGATCCCTGGTACGGGGGGGCTGCCCACAGCCGGTGCCGGGGGGCTGCCTGCGGCGGGGGGGCTACTGGACGACCGCTCCTGCTCGGTGCTGCAGATGGCCAAGACGCTGAGCGAGGTGGACTACGGCGGCGGGAAGGGGAGGGCGGCCCCCCCGCCACCGCTGCTGGCCAAGGGGGGGCGGCTGGAGCTGCCCCCCCGCTGCCTGCACCCCGACTATGGCCGTCCCCTCGCCTTCCCCCCCCACTCCATCCGGGAGAGCATCCAGGAGGACCTGGCTGAGGAGGTGGGTGTTGGGGGGGGGGGGGGTGGGTCAGGGTGCTGGGACCCCCCTGCCCCCCCACCAACACTTCCCGGTGCCCTCCCTTTGAGGGGGGCACTGGGGCTGTGCTGGGGGAGGGGGGGTTTTAGGGGTGCAGTGGTGGTTTGGGGTGTGGGGCACGACTCCCAGCTGGGAAGGGCGGAGGGTGCGCACTCATCCTGCCCTGGCTGGGATGGGGCAGGGGGATCCCATCCTAGGGGGGGTGTGGGGTGTGTCCCCAGGGGCGCGGTGGGGCGGGGGGGAGGTGACAGCAAGGCTGAGGGTGCAGGTGCTGTGGCGCAGGTGCTGTGCCAGGGGGGCCGTGGCGTGGGGGCCGGGCCCGGCGTGGGCGAGTGGCTGCGGGTGCTGGGGCTGGAGCGGTACGAGGAGGGGCTGGTGCGCAATGGCTGGGACGACCTGGAGTTCCTCAGGTGAGCAGCCCCCCTGGGGGGGGGACCCCTGACACCCCCCAACATCCCCCAGCCCCCGTGTTATCTGCCCTGATGGGTCCACGTCCTCCCCAAGGGGTCACAGTGATGTCTGGGTGGGGGCACCCTGCCCAGGGGAGACCCTTGGGAGTGTTCCCCTCAAGGGTCCCCACTGCCCCTGGGGGGGTCCCTATTGCCCTCGGGGGGGTCCCTGCTTGCCCCTGGGGGGATCCTCATTGCCCTTGAGGGTCCCTGCCTTGCTCCTGGGGAGTCCCCACTGCCCTCGAGTGGGTCCCCATTGGCCTCAGGGGTCCCTGCCTGCCCCCGGGGGGTCCCCACTGACCCCGGAGGTCCATGGCTGCTCCTAGGGTGTCCCCATTGCCCTTGAGGGTCCCCGCTTGCCCCTGGGTGGGGGTCCCCACTGCTCTTGAGGGTCCCTGACTGTCCCTGGGGTATCCCCATTTCCCTCGGGGTCCCCGCTTGCCTCTTTGGGGTCGTCCCCACTGCCCTTGGGGTTCCCCACTTGCCCCTGGGGGGTCCCCACTGCCCTTGGGGGTCCCTGCTTGCTCCTGGGGGTCCCCGCTCAGCCCCAAGGCGGGGGTGAGGAGGAGGCTGAGTGGGAACCCGGAAACCTGAGTGGGGGCTCCTGCACCCACCAAGGGGGTCCCCTCCCTGGGGCCAGGGTGTCGCCCCTCCACCCCGGGGGGGGGTGGTGAGCCCCATGCCTGTGACACCCCCCCCCCCCCTTCCCCAGTGACATCACAGAGGAGGACCTGGAGGAGGCCGGCGTGCTGGACCCCGGCCACAAGCGCGTCCTCCTGGAGAGCCTCCAGCTCCGCAAATAGCTGGGGCTGAGCATCCCGGACCCCAGGGCTGAGCATCCCACATCCTGGGGCTGAGCATCCTGGATCCCATGGCCAAGCATCCTGGATTCCATGGCTGAGCATCCTGCATCCTGGTGCGGAGCATCCCACATCCTGGATCCCACGGTTGAGCACCCCGGTGCCGAGCATCCTTGATCCCACGGTTGAGCATCCCGCATCTCGGTGCTGAGCATCCCAGATCCCAGTGCCGAGCATCCCACATCCCGTATCCCATGGCTTGAGCATCCTGGTGCCAAGCATTCCGGATCCCATGGCCAAGCATCCTGCATCCCGGTGCTGAGCATCCCAGTGCCGAGCAGCCCACATCCTGGATCTGGTGGCCGAGCATCCCGGTGCTGAGCATCTCAGATCCCGGTGCCAAGCATCCTGGATCCCAGTGCTGAGCATCCCAGTGCTGAGCATCCCACATCCTGGATCCCGGTGCCGAGCATCCCACATCCTGGATCCCAGTGCTGAGCATCCCAGTGCCGAGCATCCCACATCCTGGATCCCAGTGCTGAGCATCCCGGTGCCGAGCATCCCACATCCTGGATCCCAGTGCTGAGCATCCCACATCCTGGATCCCAGTGCTGAGCATCCCGGTGCCGAGCATCCCACATCCTGGATCCCGGTGCTGAGCATCCCACATCCTGGATCTCAGTGCTGAGCATCCCAGTGCTGAGCATCCCACATCCTGGATCCCGGTGCCGAGCGTCCCACATCCTGGATCCCAGTGCTGAGCATCCCACATCCTGGATCCCGGTGCCGAGCATCCCACATCCTGGATCCCAGTGCTGAGCATCCCGGTGCTGAGCATCCCACATCCTGGATCCCAGTGCTGAGCATCCCGGTGCTGAGCATCCCACATCCTGGATCCCGGTGCTGAGCATCCCGGTGCTGAGCATCCCACATCCTGGATCCCGGTGCTGAGCATCCCAGTGCTGAGCATCCCACATCCTGGATCCCGGTGCCGAGCATCCCACATCCTGGATCCCAGTGCTGAGCATCCCGGTGCTGAGCATCCCACATCCTGGATCCCGGTGCTGAGCATCCCAGTGCTGAGCATCCCACATCCTGGATCCCGGTGCTGAGCATCCCACATCCTGGATCCCAGTGCTGAGCATCCCGGTGCCGAGCATCCCACATCCCGCCCCTGTGCATCCCACCATCACCAGCAGCAGCCATCATCTGCAGCCGGTGGGAGTACTGGGACCACCCCCCCCCCAGGTGCTGGGTAATGGGGGGGGAGGGTTTGGGGGGGGGGTGGGGGGCAGGGGGTCCTGGTCAGACAATTTCAGTGGAGGGGGTTCCTGCTGATGGGGCCTCCCCTCGTTTAAGTTATTTCTTATTTATTGAGAGAAGGGACGAGCGTTCGTCTTGGGGGGGGGGCGGGGATTTGGGGGGGGGGGGATATCCCCGGGGACCTCTGGCTCCCACCGCAGCCCCTCACAGCCGGGGACGAGGAGGAGGAGGAGGAAGAGGCTTGGAGCAAAGTCGTGTCGCAACCCAAGTGCCTTCGTGATACCCGGCCAGTGCCGAGCTGGGATCGGGGAAGGGGGGGGGGGGGGTGTTTGTGGGGTTGGGGGAGGCTCTGCCAGCCCCTGGATGACACCAGGCAGAGCTGGGGGGGGCCCATCCCCACGCCGGGGGGGCCCCACTGCAGCAAAGCTGGATCAGTGCCTTCACCCAAACCTCCACCCCCCCCCCCCCCGCCCCAGTGCCTCCCGCATGGGTCGTGTGTTCCCCTGTTCCGCGCCCCCCCCCCCCCCCCCCAAACTCCCTATTTGCCCATTAGGTACTTGCTGGATCTGTGTGTTGTCCGTGTCCCCCCCCTCACCTCCGGGGTCTGCTTCACCCTTGGTCCCCCATGGGTGCCCCCCCCGGGGGTGCTCAGCCCCCCAACCTCACCCAAGTGCCCTTCCCGGGGGCGGTCCTCAGGGTGGGGGTCCCCCAGCCGTGCCTTCTCCCCCCCTCCCCCTTCCCTGCAGGGTTGACCCCCCCAGGCTCTGGGCTGCACCCCAGGGGTGATGGGGGGGTGATACCCACCCCCAGACAGGTTCCTCAGACCCCCGTGCCCCCCCCGCCGCTGCTCCGGCTGAGATGAAGGATGGGCCTCGCCCCCCACCGTGCCCCCCCCCCCTCCCTGTGCCCCCCCCCCCTCGTTCGCTATCGGGGCCTTTGCTGTGAATTTGATCCAACTAAAAGCGGCGGCTGTGGGGCCCCGTCTCGGGGGGGTCTGAATTCACCGGCTGGTGTGGGAATGGTTAATGGTCTGCGGGGCGGGGGGGGGGGGGCATCGAGGGAGGGGGCCGCCTGAGGGACCATGGCCCAGCAGGGGCCAGGATCCCCCTCACTGGCCATACTGGCCCCACCGTGATCTGGGACCCCCCCAGACTGGCCATACTGGCACCAACACCCCCCGTACTGGCACCAACACCCCCCGTACTGGCCATACTGGTCCCACCATGATCTGGGACCCCCCCCAGACTGGCCATACTGGTCCCAACACAGTCCTGGATGCCTCAGGCTAGCCCTACTGGTCCCACCATGATCCGAGACCACCCCCCCCCCCGGACTGGCCATACTGGTCCCAGCCCAGTGGACGCTGGTCCCGTGTCCCCTCCCCGTGGAGCAGAGCCCTGCGTGGGACAGTTCTGCTGCCCCATTTGGAAAGGCCCATCCCTCCTGTCTCCCTTTGCCCCACTTTGTCCCCTCCCCCCCTCTGTCCCCCCCCATCCCCAAAGCACAACCCCCGCCCCACCCCAACACCCGACCCAGACCCCAGCGGGGCATCTCGGTGGTCCCTTGCAGACAGAGTCTGTGCCTGCACCTCCCGCTGCCCCCCCCCCCCGCACCCTCTCTGCCCATCCTGGGGGGTGCAGGGCTTCAGGCTCCCCCCCCCAGCACCCCAGGGTGCTCCTCGCCTCCCTCCCGCTGCCCCCAGGGACCTTCCCCATCACACCCCCGCCACGGGGCACGGGGGGGTTGGGGGGCGGGGGGCGTGGGGAACCCCTCTCCTTTCCCTGGCCTCGTGGGGGCTGCTGGTGGGGGGGTCACCCCAGGCCCCTGTGGCTGTTCAAGGCCTTTTTTGGGGTGGGGGGTGGGGGTCTGTGGCATCGCCAGCATCACTTGGGGGACCCCGCCAGCACAGGGGGGCTCAGGGGGCTTGGGGGGGGGGTGGCCGTGCAGACCCCCATCACCTACAGCCCTTTGGGGGGGGGGATGTTGCAGCCAGGGCAGGGGGCCGGCAGCGTCTTCAATAAATTAAGTTTTATTTGGATTAGTGTCGTTTGCAAATGGGGTCAATAAATTACATAACAGTTAAAAAACAACAACAACAAACAAAAACAAAACAAAAAACCCAAACAAACAGAAAAAAAAAAAAAAAGAAAAAAGAAAGAAAAAAAGAAAAATGATGAAACCCAAGCCCACCTCAGCCGGGATGGGGAGGGGGGGGGGGACCCTCGGCGTGGGGGGGCGGGGAATGGGGACAGGACCCCGGCACGGTCTCGCCGCTACTCACCAGGCCACGAAACCCCCCCCGGCACCCCACCCACGGTGGGTGCAAGGGCCTGAGCTGCACCCCTGGCCCCCCCGACCCCCAAAAGATCACTGCCGAGATGTGCCGGGGGAGGGGGGGGGGTCCCGGCTGCACCCACACCAACTCGGGTGGGAGCACCCATCCTGCTCCCAGCACCGCGGCGAGGGGGCGCGGCTGCTCCGAGGCGCGGGGGGGGGGGGGGGTTGTTCCATCCCACGCCACCCCCCTCTCTCTAGGGGGGCTGCGGCATATTGGGGAGGGGGGTTCAGCCCCGGCACACTGGGACAGCGGCAGCTCCTGGTGCCTCGTCCCCGTTGGCGGCATCTGGCGAGCGCAGAGTCCTGGGTTTGCCCCCCAAAATCTCACTGCCCCCCCGAGGCAGGGGGGGTGTGGTGTGTGTGTGTGGGGGGGAGGGTCTTCTCCCCTCCAGTCCCGCCAAGCCGGGATGCTGCTGGGGAGGGGGGCAGATCGTGTCTGCAGGTGGGATTTGGGGGGGGTATCACCCCAGTCCCTGCACCGATTGGGGGGGGGTCTCGCTGCCAAATTCCCCGGCGCCGCTCCCCAGCAGCCCCCAGGAACCCCAGCCCTAAAGTGCTTCCTCATCCCCCACCCCAGCAGCCATGGGGGGGGGGGGGGGGGGGGGCGTGTCTCCCAGGGTGGGGTGGCGGGGGCCACCATGATACCAGAGCACCCGTAGTGCCGTGGGGAGCCCCGCAGCTGCCCCCCACCCCTGGGGTGCACCCCAAAAGCTGCGCCCGGGGCATGCCAGCTGGGCCAGAGGCTGCTGCCCCCCCCCCCTCTCTTTGCACCCCCATGGTCCTACAGCACCCACGGGTGGGGGCTGCCCCCAGAGTTCAGGAGAAGGGGGGGGGGGGGTCTCCCCTCCCCGGGGGGGAGCAGCTTTGGGTGCAAGCAGCACGGGTGGAGGGTTGTTGGGGTGGGTGGTGGGGTGGTCCCCAATCCATCTCCCCACCAGCAGCCATTTGCCGGAGTGGCATCGCTGGGGGGGTTTGGGGGGTGGGCAGCACTTGGGGAGGGGGGGGGGCGGTGTGTGTGGGGGTTTTTGGGGCGGGGGCAGCTGGATCCGGCAATGGTCGCATCAGAAGAGGTTTGTCTTGAGGGCGTTGGGCTTCCGATGGAAGGAGGAGAGGACGCCGGAGAAAGGTCCCGGCACGGCTTCGGCGGGTTGCCAGGCCTTCAGCAGCTCGGCGGCGTTGGCGGTGCCGCCGGGGGGGCTCACCCCGGGCCAGATGGGTGCCTTGAGGGGTTGCGGGGGGTGACCGGGTCCCATGGGTGGCCCCGCGCTGGGGCTGGGGCTCAAGCTGCTGCCGGGGCTGCCGAGGCTGCCGGCGGCGGGCAGGGACGCCGTGCTGTCGGGGGTCGGGCTGCAGTTGGACTCCTTGGACTCATCATCCTCCGAGGAAGAGCGCGGCTCCGATTTCTTGCCAGCGGGGCCGGCGCTGCCCCCCGCGCCCTTGGCGTTGGCCGCCCGCTCTTGCTTGCGGAATTTGGCTCGGCGGTTCTGGAACCAGACCTGGGGTGGGGGGGTGGGGGGGAACGAGGAGGGGATGGGAGGACCCCGCGCCGCCAGTCCCCCGGGGGATTTGGGGAACCCCCTGGTGTTCCCCTTGCAGCACCCCCGCTCCCACGGGTGAAACGTTTCCCTGGGGTGGGGGGAGGTTTAATATATTTAAAACCTTCGCGGTGTTGCCGGAGGGCGCTGGCACCGGTGATGGCGGGGGGGGGTCCGCAGGAAGATGGGGAGGGGGCACTGCCGGGGCCCACGCTGCACCCCTGCCTGCACCTCGCGGGGTCAGAGACCCCCCCCTCACGCAGCCTGTGCCCTCCCCACGGGGTTCCTGTGGGTCCCCCCATCCTTGGGACCCCAGTGGGCAGCCTGGGACCCCCCCAGCCGAGGGGGGCCGGGGTTGGGGCACCCGGGGTGATCCCTCCTGGGCTGTCCCCACATCACTGAGCTGTGGGTCACCACAGCTTGGGGTGCAGCAGGAAGACCCGCCCCACCTGCCCCCCACAGGCCAGCACGGTCATGTCCCCCCCCCCCAGTGTGGCACCCTACAAGCACCCATGGAAACGGGGGACCTTTATTTGTCCCCCGTGTGCTGACAAAGCGACTCCCTCCACGGTGCCCCAGCCCACGCTGCCTGGGCAGGCGCTGCCCCAGAACACCCGATTTCCACCCAAAAGCAGAGGGGAGGAGGGGCTGAGGCCGGGGAGGGGGGACCCCCACCCCTCTCCGGGGGGGTCACACTGGCCAAGAATGGGAGCCTCTCCCTGCAGCGAGACTTGGCGCCCCGTGGGGACGGGGGTGCTGACAAAAAGGGGGGGTCTGCACCGACAGAGGGGCCGGTGTCCCCCCCCCACCGCCTCTCACCAACCCCCCCCCCCCCACCAGCTCCACGCGTTTAGGGCTGAGGTAAATCCCCGCAGCCGGGTACCAGCGCCTCAGGGATGTGGCAGAAAACCAAACCTGCCCCCCCCCCCCCTTCCCCAATCTTTGCTGAGGGTCCCTCCGAGCCCCCCAGCAGAGCAACGCCCCGTCCTGGGAGGGGGTGTCCCCACGCTGGAACCCTGCAGTGGGTCCCCACCGCTTCCCCGACACGTGAGGAGCGGAGCAGGAGGGTCCTAAGGTTGGGGTGCAGCCGCCTGTACCCCAGCTCTCACTCTGTGCCCCCCCCATCCCCAGGGCCCCCCCCGGCAGCTCACCTGCACCCGGGCTTCGGTGAGGTCGATCTTGAGGGCCAGCTCCTCACGGGTGTAGATGTCGGGGTAGTGGGTTTCAGCGAAGACTCTCTCGAGCTCCTTCAGCTGGGAACTGGTGAACGTCGTCCGGATCCGCCGCTGCTTCCGCTTCTCGTTGATCCCCGACGGGTCCGAGAAGAATTTGTAGGGCACTGGAGGGGGGGGGACGGGGACAGGGACAGGGACAGGGACGTGAGCAAGGCTGGCACAGCGGGCAGGGATGCACCGGGCAGGGCAGGCAGGAGCGGTGGGCAGGGAATGGCAGGCAGGGATGGATTGGGAAGGGACGGAGCAGGCAAGGATGGAGCAGGGATGGTTTGGGAAGGGATGGAGCAGGGATGGAGCAGGCAGGGATGGACTGGGAAGGAATGGAGCGGGAAGGGATGGATCGAGCAGGGATGGAGCGGGGATGGATCAGGCAGGGATGAATTGGGCAGGGATGGAGCGGGCAGGGATGGATTAATTCGGGAAGGGATGGAGCGGGCAGGTATGAATAAATTGTGCAGGGATGGAACGGGAAGGGATGGAGCGGTCAGGGAAGAATCGGTCAGGGATGGAGCAGGCAGGACACCGCGGGCAGGGATGGAGCGAGCAGGGATGGATTGGGAAGGGATGGAGCGGGCAGGGATGCCCTGGGCAGGGCACACTGGGCAGGGATGGAGTAGGCAGGAATGGGGTGGTCAGGGCAGGCAGGAGCAGTGGGCAGGGCACACTGGGCAGGAGGCACCGGGCAGGGATGGAGCCGGCAGGGATGGAGCGGGCAGGGATGGAGCCGGGCAGGGATGGAGCAGGCAGGGATGGAACGGGCAGGGATGGAGTGGGCAGGGATGGAACGGGCAGGGATGGAGCGGGCAGGGATGGAGCGGGCAGGGATGGAACGGCAGGGACGGAGCGGGCAGGGATGGAGCCGGCAGGGATGGAGCGGGCAGGGATGGAGCGGGCAGGGATGGAGCCGGCAGGGATGGAGTGGGCAGGGATGGAGCCGGCAGGGATGGAGCGGGCAGGGATGGAGCGGGCAGGGACGGAGCGGGCAGGGATGGAGCCGGCAGGGATGGAGCCGGCAGGGATGGAGCGGGCAGGGATGGAGCGGGCAGGGATGGAGCAGGCAGGACAGGCAGAGCAGCCGCGGAGCTCGGGCTCTGCCCCCCCCCACCTCCGCGCCCCCTGGTCTCGGTTGTTCGTTGCCGCCGCCGCCCCCTCGGCGGGCCGGGGGGTCCCGGGCGGCGGGAGCGGGGCTGGGGGGGGCAGCGGGGCCGGGCCCGGGCCGGGTCGGGGGGGGCCGGTACCGTCCGGCGGCTCCTTCGTTATCGGCGCATCCGCAGGCAGCGCGTCCGCGGCGGCAACGAAAGCGGGGCGGGGGCTGGGAGCTCGGCGGCCGCGACCCCCCCCAAATCCCGCTCCGGGGCTTCCGACGCCCCGGGGACCTCGGGGGATCCGCGGCCGCGCTGTCGGGACCGGGAGGGGCGGCGGGGGGCGGCCGTGCCGGGGCTGCGGCCACCGGGAATCGATTGCACCGGGCACCAGCGGTACCGGGAACCAACGGCAGCGAGAATCGACAGGACCGAGCCTCGACGGCACCGGGGACCGATCGCACCGAGCCCTGACGGTACCGGGAACCAGCGGCAGCGGGCACCGACGGCACCGGGCACCGGTACTGCAGGCACGGGGAACCCGACGGCAGCGAGCACCGACGGCTACCGAGCCCCGACGGCAGCGGTTACCGACGGCACCGAGCCCGGACAGAACCGGGTATCGACGGCAGCGCTCAACTACGGCACCGAGAGTATCGGGGATCGACGGCCCAGGGAACCGACGGCCCCGAGCGCCGGTGTCAGCGGGCACCGACGGCGGGGGCTGCTCCCCGCCGCCCGACCCTCCGCCGCTCATTGGGGGGGGGGGTCCCCGAGGTGGGAGTGGGGCTGGGGGGGGGGGGGTGGGGGCCAGGTTCCGTTACCTGCCGAGTAGGGCGAGGGCTGGTGGTCGCGCAGCGCGCCCAGGGCGCAGTTGGCGGAGGCGAGGGGGGGGCAGGCGGGCCCGGCGGGGAACCCCCCCCGCATGGGGCTGTACTGGAAGGAGCCGGCCTGGCTGCAGGGGCTGAACTCGTAGGCGGACGCCTCCATGGCGGCCACGCAGGAGTCGTAGGAGTTGAGGTAGGAGTAGTCCATGGCGAACATGGAGCGGCCCCGGCTGCCGCCCGCCCGTCACCGTCGCCTCCTGCCCGCCGGCCCCCGGCCCGCCCCCGCCATCCGCCGCCCCAGCCCGCCCCGGGCCGCCGCGCCCCGTAAATATACCGGCGGGGGGAGCGGCGGACAAAGGCTGCGCTCGCCGGGGGCTTTTGCATGACAATATCTCCCGGGGCCGGCGGGCGCAGCAGGAGCGGGCGGAGCCGCCGACACCCCCCCGCCCCCCCCCCGCAGTCCCCCCTCCCGCCCTTAACCCTTCGTGGGTGCCCGCACCCCCCGCTCCGGGCCCCGCAGCCACGCACGTCGGGGCGGCCCCTCTATCGCTGCCGGTGTCCCGGCCCTCGGTAGGGTGTTCCCACCCCGGCCCCCACCCCCCCACCCCACCCCCCCCCCCCGAGAACCGGCACCAGCGGCCCCGGCCCCATCCCTGGCTCCATCCCATCCTCATCCCCATCCCCATCCTCATCCCTGGCCCCATACTTATCATCATCCTCATCCTCATCCCCATCCCCATCCCATTCCCATCCCATCCTCATCCCTGGCCCCATCCTCATCCCCATCCCCATCCCATCCTCATCCTCATCCTATTCTCATCCCCATCCCCATCCTCATCCTCATCCCTATCCCCATCCCCATCCTCATCCTCATCCCATTCTCATCCCCATCCCCATCCTCATCCTCATCCCTGGCCCCATACTTATCATCATCCTCATCCTCATCCCCATCCCCATCCCATCCTTATCCCTGGCCCCATCCTCATCCTCATCCCCATCCCATCCTCATCCCCATCCCATCCCATCCTCATCCTCATCCTCATCCCCATCCCCATCCCAGTGTGCACCCCCCACTCCCCCCAGCCCCACGGATCCATTCCCACTCTCCCCCCCCCAACCCCCTCCACCCACAAACACCCCACAACAGCACGGGGTGTGTGTGGGGTCCCTAAGGCAGCCGCCGGGCACCCACCCATGGGTCAGGCCCCCCCCACCCCATGGCAGAGCTGGGGTCCCCCAGCCAGGGCAAATCCCCCCTCTCCCAGCCCCTTGCAGGGGTCCCGCGGGGTCGGGGGCTCCTTCACCCCCCACAGCTCTGATGGGACCTTGCCCGTCCCCAGCTCCAGCTGCTCTGGGGGGGAGTGGGATGATCCCGGGTGGGGGACACAGGGCACCTTGAGCCCTGTGGACCCCCACGGGGGTGGCCGCATCCGTCCCACACCCAGGGGACCCCCGGCCTCGGGGAGAGATGCCCCCTCGGGTGGGGGAGGAGGGCTGGGGAGAGCCTGGTCGAGGGCAGGCGATGCCCCCCCCAGCAGTGGGGAGCAGGGAGCCACGGCCTCCCCCCCCCCCTCCCTTGCACCCCCTTCATCCATCCACCCCAACCCCAGTGGCGACTGGGTCCCCAGTGTCCCCAAGCACTGGGATGGGCCTGTCGTCCCCTGGGACCATTGTGAGGGGACAGGGGGTTCCCCTTCCCCGGGGTGGGGGGGCTGTGGGGCTGAGCAGGAGCCGGGGGGGCAGCAGGGACATCCTGCTACCGGGGGGGGGGGGGAAGCAGGGGGATGAGGGGGGTGCTGAGCCCCCTCTCCTCCCCCTGGGGGGGCTCTGCTCTTTGCCCCCCTAATTTGAAGTCCTGATGAATTTCAAAGAGGCTCATTCCCCACCCCAACCCCCCCTTCCCCCCCGCTGCCCCCACCCCCCCACACCCCCCGCCTAGCTGAGGCCAAGGTAAAGGCTTTGCCCCTTTTCAGTGGCACCGGGGGGGATGCAGGGAGGGATTTGGGGAGGATTTGGGAAGGATTGGGGACATTTTCAAGACAAACACTTTCACTAAAGAGGATTTAAAAGTCTAATTACGCCAGGCTAAGGGCTTTGTGCCCCCCGCCTGGGAAGGAGGGGGGGTCCTGCCCTCCCAGTGGGCACCAGCCCCCCGAGGCGGGGGGGGGGAAAGGCCGGACCCTGCCCAGGTCCTGTGGGATCAGCTCTGCCCACGGGGCTGGAGGGAAGTGGGGGGCTCATCCACGGCCCCCGCGGTCCCAGGGGCTGCCCAGGACCTGTCCTGCCCCACATCCTGCCCCACATCATCCTGTCCCACATCCCGCAAGGCAGAGCTGGTGCCCCCCCACTCCCACCGGGGCTCCCCTCGCTGGCCGGGGCGGGGGGGGAGGCACTGTCACCCGGGTGGGCCAGGGCCAGGTCCGGTCCCTCGCGTGGGACCCTCAGGACACCCGTGGGTGCGGCAGGGGCTGGTGGGTGCCCCCCACCCGAGCCCACCCCAGCTGCGCCGGCCGAGCGGGCTTGCTAAACAAGTTAATTAGATCACGGAGCTGGAGGCTGGCGGCTGAGCGAGAGCCCTGACTGTCAGGCTGCTGGAGTTGTGAAAAAGTTAATTCAATTAAGTTTTCCCTCTAAACTAATTAGGCAGCAATCTGCCACGCAAGGAGCTGCTGCTATTGCTACCCAGAGCCAGGGGCAGAACGGGGTGGGGGGGGGAGTGGGGGTGGGGGCGAGGAGGATGAGGGGTTTGAAGGGGGAGTGAGGAGAGGGAAGGGGACACGGTGGGGGGGGTGGGTGGGCTGGGGTGCCCTGTCCCTGCCCGGCGTGGGGGGTCAGTGCTGGGGAGACACACACACACCCACCCACACACACCCCCCCAGATCCCCGTGGCTCCTGTGGGAGCTGGGATGGAGATGTGGGTGATGCCTCCAGCTTTTGGTGGGGTACCCAGTTGTCCCCAGCATTGCCTGATGGGGTGGGGGGCGCAGGCTGACCCCCTCACTCCCACCCCCATGACATGGGTGACAATGGCAGCGGGGTGGGCTGGGCACGGCCAAGGAGCTGGGGACAGGGACCCCACACACCCCCCCTGGTCCCACCGGGCTCCAGGGGCCGCCTGTAACTTGAGGATCGTGTCCTTGTGCCCAGGTGGGTCAGGAGCTGGAGAGGCTGAGGGGACCACCCCTCTGATGGGACCCCCCCTTCTGCTAGATCCCCCCTTCTGATGGGACCCCCCTTCTGATAGATCCCCCCCTCTGATGGGACCCCCCCTTCTGCTAGATCCCCCCTTCTGATGGGACCCCCCTTCTGATAGATCCCCCCTTCTGATGGGACGCCCCTTCTGACAGATCCCCCCTTCTGATGGGACCCCCCTTCTGATAGATCCCCCCTTCTGATGGGACGCCCCTTCTGACAGATCCCCCCTTCTGATGGGACCCCCACCTCTGATGGGACCCCCTTTCTGACGGGACCCCCTTTGGGCATAACCCGGGTCCCCCGCACAGCTCAAGTCCCAGCTTTGTCGGGGTCGTTGACCATGCGCAGCCCCGTCCCAGCGCCTGCGTCACCGTCCCCATCCCCTCCGGGCCATGTGACCCCCAGTGGGGACACCCCCCCCACATTTTTTTCACCAGGGGGGGGTCCCGGCAGGTCCTGGCCCTGGTGCCACTGGGACGGTTGGTCCTGCCCTGTGCACGGCCCAACGGTGCCGGAGGCCTCCGGTCACCGTCGCTTTGTTCCCGGTGACAAAGCCCCGAGCCGGGGCTGCACCGAGGCCCCTCCGCTCGCTGGAGCTCGCCTGCCCCTAATCGAATTAGGAGCCCGGCACGGGGCTGAAGGCTGCCGGTAATTGAATTTCCCCCGTCACAGCCTGATGTTTCTCCCCTCCGGATCCTGCCTCCCGTTTATTGTTCCCGGCCCGGCTGCGGTGGCACATTTATTTGATCTGTCAGAGGGAGCCCTTTCACCCGCTGCTGTTTGCTCAGAGGACGCCGGCACCGCGCCTCCAGCACAATTAAAAACAAATAAAATGATTGGGGAGGGCCCCGGGTGCCCCCTCCTCCCGGTGCCACCCCGGCCGGGACGCTCCTGCCGACGGGGACCTCGTGGCTGCGGTCGCTGGGGTCCGGCGCTGCACGGCGCGGCAGAGATCGGCATGGCACGGAATGGACTAGCGTGGCACGGCAGAGCGCAGCGTGGCGTGGCAGAGTGTGGCACAACACGGCCCGGCATGGAATGGAATGGCATGGCAGAGCAGAGCGGGGCACGGCACGGCGTGGCATAGTGTGCCATGGTGTCACCCGGCACAGCACGGCATGGCACGGCACGGCATGGCACGGCACGGCACGGCTGGCCACAGGGTCCCCGCTCTCCCTGTGTCCCCGCCAGCAGCTCCAAGCAGGGCGATGCAGGAGCCCTGGCACTGGGAGCCCCGGCACTGAGATCCCCAGAAGTGGGAGCCCCAGGAATGGGAGCCCCAGCACTGGGACCCCTGGCACTGGGTGCCCCAGCACTGGGACCCCTGGCACTGGGACCCCGGGCACTGGGTGCCCCAGCACTGGGACCCCTGGCACTGGGACCCCCGGCACTGGGAGCCCTGGCACTGGGACCCCCGGCACTGGGAGCCCCGGCACTGGGACCCCTGGCACTGGGACCCCTGGCACTGGGACCCCCGGCACTGGGAGCCCCGGCACTGGGACCCCTGGCACTGGGACCCCTGGCACTGGGACCCCCAGCACTGGGAGCCCCGGCACTGGGACCCCCGGCACTGGGAGCCCTGGCACTGGGACCCCCAGCACTGGGAGCCCCTACACTGGGAGCCCCGGCACTGGGACCCCCAGCACTGGGAGCCCCGGCACTGGGACCCCCGGCACTGGGACCCCCGGCACTGGGACCCCTGGCACTGGGACCCCCGGCACTGGGTGCCACGGCACTGGGACCCCCGGCACTGGGAGCCCCGGCACTGGGACCCCCGGCACTGGGACCCCTGGCACTGGGTGCCCCGGCACTGGGAGCCCCGGCACTGGGACCCCCGGCACTGGGACCCCTGGCACTGGGACCCCTGGCACTGGGACCCCCGGCACTGGGAGCCCTGGCACTGGGACCCCCGGCACTGGGAGCCCCGGCACTGGGACCCCTGGCACTGGGACCCCTGGCACTGGGACCCCCGGCACTGGGAGCCCCGGCACTGGGACCCCCGGCACTGGGACCCCTGGCACTGGGACCCCCAGCACTGGGAGCCCCGGCACTGGGACCCCCGGCACTGGGAGCCCTGGCACTGGGACCCCCAGCACTGGGAGCCCCTACACTGGGAGCCCCGGCACTGGGACCCCCAGCACTGGGAGCCCCGGCACTGGGACCCCCGGCACTGGGACCCCCGGCACTGGGACCCCTGGCACTGGGACCCCCGGCACTGGGAGCCCCGGCACTGGGACCCCCGGCACTGGGACCCCTGGCACTGGGTGCCCCGGCACTGGGACCCCCGGCACTGGGACCCCTGGCACTGGGACCCCTGGCACTGGGACCCCCGGCACTGGGAGCCCTGGCACTGGGACCCCCGGCACTGGGAGCCCCGGCACTGGGACCCCTGGCACTGGGACCCCTGGCACTGGGACCCCCGGCACTGGGAGCCCCGGCACTGGGACCCCTGGCACTGGGACCCCTGGCACTGGGACCCCCGGCACTGGGAGCCCTGGCACTGGGACCCCCGGCACTGGGAGCCCCTACACTGGGAGCCCCGGCACTGGGACCCCCAGCACTGGGAGCCCCGGCACTGGGACCCCCGGCACTGGGACCCCCGGCACTGGGACCCCTGGCACTGGGACCCCCGGCACTGGGACCCCCGGCACTGGGACCCCTGGCACTGGGTGCCCCGGCACTGGGACCCCCGGCACTGGGACCCCTGGCACTGGGACCCCCGAGCCCAGCAGTGCCGGTGTGGGGGTGCTGGTGTCATGGCACGCAGGTACTGGGGAGGGGTCGGGTAGACGGGGCTTGGGGGGAGCTGCTCCTGGGGCTGCCGGGGGGGCACCTGCCTTCGTACGCGTGCACAGCCATGCACAGCCTGGCACAGCCATGCACACGTGTGCACAGCCATGTTACACCCCTGCACTCCCCAGCACAGCACACTCAGCTCAGCCCTGCTGCCCCGCTCCCACTCCCCCTTTATCATCACTGCACCCCCACCTTTTCCAGCCCCATTTTCCCCTTGCACCCCCCAGTTTTTGGGGTACCCGGAGAGGCCCCAGCGATCCCAGCTTTGCCCCGCGGTGCCCATCCTGCCCCGGGGCTGGTGGGGTGCTGAGCCCCCACATCCATGTGGGGCGTGGGGCTGGCGGTTCTCACCGGAGGTGACAGCAGGTTTGGGGATGCGGCTGGGGATGCTCTGAGGCACCCCAGTGTTTTTGGGGACCCTCTCCCTGACTCCCCCCCCCCCCCATCCCGCCACAGCCTGGCAGTGCCAGCGGGACGCTCGGGCAGGGGGGACATTGCTTTGCTGGGCCACGTTTTTCCCCCAGAGCCCCACAAGGCTCGGAGCTGGATGCTCAAGGAAAAGTGGAGAAACAGGGATTTTCCCCCACAAATCCCCCCCCCCCAATCAGCCCGGGGGGGGGGGGGGATGGGAACCCTCCTCCACCCCAGAGGGGACGCACCCCAAAACTGCTCGCAAGGGGGACCCTCACCCCGGGGTCCCTCCGTCCCTGTCCCAGCGCTGGAGGGGGCCAGGACCAGCCCCCAGCCCCCCTCCAGCCCCGGGGACCCGGCAGGATCCGACCCTGCAGCGCTGAGGGAACCTCCCGACTACAAACCCGCGCGAAAAATCCCCAATTCTGCCCGGTGAGAACGACCAAAATTGTCTGGGCCCTTCGCTCCGGCTCTGACACACCGCAGTGAGGTGACACCCCTGGTATTAAATATTTCCCGGGAGCCAAGTGAGAAGAAAAGCAGCGGGGAGGATTTGGGGCGGGGAGGTGGGATGGGGAGATGTGGGGGTGCTGCCGACGGCTCCCGGGAGATGCAGGAACCACCCCCCCCCCCCCCCCCCCCCCGGGGACATGCCCTGCCCACGGGCAGCCCCCACCTCTGCCCTCCCCGCCCCAGTCGCAGAACGCTGTCTGTGCACACCGCGTTTATTGGAATAAATAAAGAGAAGAGGGCGACGTACAGAGTCAGGAGTGTCTGGTGGCTTTTAAAATCCAGCGGTGGCACGCCCCGTCCCTGTCCCACCCCCTTGCCAGCCGCTGTCCAACCCAGCCTCCGCTTTAGGGAATGACAAATCCCCCCCCTCCCCAGCCAGGCTGAAATCTGCTTTCCCCCTTTTTCTTAAAAAAGCCCCAACACCTTCTCCAGTGCCAAATTAACTCCCCCCCCTCCCTGTCAGGACCCTCCACCAAAACGTCCCCGAGGCACCTCGCCACCCCCCAAGAGGTGCAGGCTGGTGGGGCAGCTCCTGCCTGCCCGTGCCCGGCTCCGGGGCGGCGGGGGGGAGCACGGCGTTGCCCCCCTCCCCACCTCCCGCCTGCCCTCGCCGAGGCTCACGGCGTTTTATTGCCGGGGCTCGTCGCTGCCTACAAGAAGTAAGTGATGTTTTCGGGGTTCAGAGGCGCTTGGATGTCCAGTTTTCGGGATTTGCTGTCTTTCTCCACTATCTCCAACCGCAGGGTCGGCATCTTTGATTTTTCCGCTCCGGGGGAAGAGCTGTCCTTGGTTTTCAGGAGCTGCTTGTCCGAGTCCTCCACCGTGATCCTCAAGGTGCAGCCCCTGGGCAGCAGGTCCTGCTCGTAGGCAGCTGCCAGCTGGTTCACCACGCGCCGCTCCACCTGGCGAGGAAAATCCAGCTGCCATCAGAAATCCCCCGCCAGCACCCCCCGGGGGAGGCGGGCAGCTCTCCTCCCCTCCCCGGCCAGCGCAGGACCCCAGAATCTCCTGCTCATCCCAATTATTCCCTCTCTCTGTTCTGGAGAGCTTATGCCACAGACTGTGACCTCGGGAGCCGTGGGGACCCCCTTGAGTGGGACAGCCCCAAGCAATGGCCCCCTCCTGTGTCCCCTCCACCCCCCCCCCGGCGCCCCGTCCGTGGCTTCACCTCGTGTTTGATAGACCGGGCACCGTAGTGCAGGTTGTAGCCGTCAGCCAGCACGTCCATGACCTCCCTGTCCCACAGCAGGGTGATGTTGTGCCTCGCCTTGGCCTGCCGGGTGAGGAAGAGGAGGAAGAGTTACCGATGCCTCCGAGCAACGCCGGCACCCCGGCCCTTGAGCAGCGGGGACACCGCAGTGGGGTGCTGAGTGTCCCCGGGCCGAGGAAGAAAGGCCACCAGGCCAGACCCACCAAAGCAAGCAGTCCCTTAATTCTCATTTATCACCCCCAATCGCTCAGAGGTGCAAAGACCAACTGGACAAATAACGTCTCTGAGCGTGGCCCGAAGCTCAGCCCTGTCCCAGGAAAGGAGGAACCGTCCCCCACCATCCCAAGGGGTCCCCACCCTCCCGGGCAGGGTGCCCTCACGTTGAACAGCGTGTAAGACAATGGTAAGGATGTACATTCCCTCTGCGTCCGCATCAGGAGGCTTGAAGGCTTGGGCAGGGATCTCCTCCTGCTCGTGCGTCACTTGAGAAGTTGCCTCTCAAGCTACGGATTTTTTTTTTTACCTTCTTGGCCCAAAAATTCAGCTCCTTGTTGACAAGCTGGATGAGTTCCGAGTGGCAAAAAGGCAGAAAATAGACAACCTCATTGATCCTCCCCAGGAACTCGTCTCGCCTGAAGTGAGCCTGTGGGGACAAGGAGGGGAAGGTCACTGGGGACAGGGCGGGTGACCGCGACAGGGGCAGTAGCGGCAGTGACGCTGCTCCCCAAGGGATCACCCCCACCTCCCACAGCTCACACCCCCCACGGCCACGCCACGGAGCTGGGAATCCACTCGGGTCACCGGGGTGGCTCTCAGCATGGCAGGAGGAGGAATCCCTACTGCGGGGGATGACAAGAGGAACTAGAAATGAAGCTCTCCTGTGGCGTGAGCCCAGCTGCAGCCTCTCCTGCTGTTCGCTCCTGCCCCAGCCCCTTCCAGTAACACCCCTCGTCGCTCTCCAGCTCCCCCAGGTCTGGGGCTCAGAGGTCAAGTTCTTGGTCTCTGTCGGAGCTGCCAGGGAGCAGCGCCCCGAAGGGCTTCAGAAACGTCTTAAAGAAACTATATGTTGTCGGGATGTGTCGCCGCGGTCGGGTTTTCCCAGCCTCTCTGCAGCAGCGCCGGGAGCTGAGCAGTGACCCCCAGGAGAGCAGAAAACCCCCCAAATCCCGCTGCAGCACTTCCCACCCCATGGTCCCCTTCTTGTCTCACATCTTTGCTCTAATACAAGAGCACAGGCAGCGAGTAAAGCTGTTGTTTATTTCTGCCGGGCTCTGACCTTGCTTCTTTGTGGCTGAAGAGCAAAAAATGACGTCTCGCAGCTGGGGGAGGAATATGGTGGGTATTGCATTGGATGACCGAGTGACCAAAGCTCAGGACACCTGAAATATAAGCCGTGAAAGAAATCATCTGTACCTTCAAGATGGGGCGAATAACCTTTTCCTTGAACTGCTTGGAGATGGTTATCTTGTCGGACATCTGGACGTCCTCTGAAAGACAGGAGGACAGGGGGTGTCGGTGGCTACGGGGGGGATGCGGGCAAAGCAGAGAGCCAAGGAGGCAGGGGCTGGTCAGGGGGGTGAGGTGGGGGGGTGCGGGGGGGGGGGGTCAGAACAGACCCGGAACCTCCACAGGTGCCACCCAGCTTGGTAGTGGGGTCTGGACATGGGGTCTGGGTCTCCCGTGGCTGCCCCCCATGCACGTTGGGTGCCCCGAGGAGAGCACCCTACACTGATGTCTTCCACTCCCTGCCCCGCACCCCCGGGAGCTGCCCTCCGGAGGTTTTTGGGGTGCAGGGGTCCTCGCTCGGCCGCTGCAGACCCCGGCCGGCGGCCAGGCTCTGGGAGCTGGTGCTGATTTCATTACACATCGGGGACATCATCACCCCAGGCGGCTCCGCGGAGGCTCCCACAGCTCTGCCAGGGACAGGGGAAGGGACCCCCCCGGTCCCTTCAGCAACCAGCAAACCCCACGTTCAGCCACGCACAGCTCCGGCTCTGGCCGGCGTCTACTTCCCTCGGCTGACTGCAGATGGAGCCAGGGTCTGGCTGGCTCCCAAATCCCAGCTCTGAACCACGGACCCGCGGCTCAAACGCAGGTTTTTACCTCCTCCGCTGAACCAAATTCCCTCTTTTCCTTTGTCTTTATCCCCTCAGCTCCCCCCGCGTTTAACTCCGCGGGCTCTTTTAACGCAAGGACGCTCAGGGCGATCCCTCGCCTCCAGGGCGCCCCGGGCTGGATCCTGACACGCAAAGTGGTGGAGGAACACCCACGCTGGGTGCTGGGAGCCTTGGTGAGGGTTGTTGTGCCTTCAGCAGCGGCAGAAGGGACTCGGGGGCTTCACCAGACCAACACCGGTGCCGGCATGAAGAGGAGCTGTGTGCTCGGGAATCACGCTCGTGGAACCCGGGTGTGTCCTGGGTGGGGGTTTTGCTGCACAACGTGGGGGAAAGGGACGGTGCAGCCCGGCCCCATGGTCTAAAAAGAGTGTGTGGGGGTCTTCGGTTATAAGGATTTGGCCCATTTCACCTCTCTGTCTTCTGTTAAAAGACCCCGAGGGTTTTTTTTCAATAAGCAACAGGGATTTGGCAGGGCACTGTGGAAGAGGAGAGCTGGCGGAGGCAGAAGCGCCAGGGCTGCCCCCAATATTCAGGTTTGCCACCTGTAATATCCGCTGCTTCCCCGCGCAGATGCAGAGATGCTGCGGAAGCGGCTCCTTCCCTTTATCTTTCCATTTATCTGCCCACCCAGGCACTCACGCCGACCTCCTGGCCGCTGCCTTCGCGAGCGTCTCCAAGCCAAGAGTCAGTAAATTGCGAGGAGCTCCACGAAACCCAATTGAGGGCAGGCTTCCGAGCCGAAAGGCATTTTCCGGCTACGCTCTCCCGCCGCCGTTCGCTCACTGCAGCTGTCTGCTGTACAGTTCTAGAAATTAAAATTCAATGCTTTCCTCATTTAGGAGAAAAGCGCTTGGCATTTGAAAATGTTATTCTTGAAAGTTCAGTTGCAGGCATGCTTTGTCCTTTACCTAGCTTGATTGAAGTTTAAAGATTCTGAATTAAGCCAGCTTTGGCATCCACTTCTCAAAGTAAAAAGGAAGAGACAGTGAGAAAGAAGCTGGAAAATACATTTGACGCCAAAACCCAACACGTTTTCCTGCTCCCGTGGAGCTGAGGCAGAGGGCTGTGGTTGTTTCCTGGGCACAGCCTCAGCGCACACCGCAGCATCTCCGGGCATTTCCACCGGTGAGCAGAGCTCTCAAGACTGACCTTTAGGAAATACGGTGTATCCGTGACGACTGATGAGGTTTTTTTTTTAAAACTGATGAGAGAACAGGGGATGCAGCTGCCAGACGTGACTGCCTGGTTACCCACTGGCACAGCAGCACGCGACGGAGACAGGTTTTCCCTGTGCTCCCTCTGCCCGTGTCTGTGCTCACAAACTGCTGCGTGTTTTAGAGCTGGAGGGGACGGCCCCTGGCACAGGCATCACCGTCCGTCCGTCCGTCCGTCCGTCCTTGGCACAGCAGAGACCTACCAGTCCCTGGGGCCTCCTGGTGCCACTGGAGTCATCACCAACCGGCTGGGGAAGGTGGGAGGGGGGTTGCACGTAAATTGGGGCTCTGCTGCCTTCAGCAGAGTTGTTCAGTCCAGATCTTGGAGGCTGCCCTTACTCTATTCAATTCTCCTTTTATTTCCTAGTTCACATTATTTGGATAATTTTCTACAGGACCCTGACATGTGGGTCCAGGGTTCCCATTCCAAGGTGAAGTAGAACTGGTTAAGCTCAGTCCTTTTTGGAAGGACTGTGTGGAAACAAAACTCTTCCTCTTTAATATGTACCACCCCAGTGTTTTCTAGAAAGCATTTGGGAGGGTCTTGAAAGAACGGAAGGGGTGAGGGGACATGGGGAAGGGAGCAGAGCATGAGGAAGGCTGAGAGGTGGGATCTAAAGCCTTCTCCAAAGATGTGATCTCCCTCGGAAGGGCGTGATCTTGCATAACGAGGATTTTAGAATGGAGCAAGCCCAAAGCAGAGGGAGGACGGTGGAGGTTGGGGTGTGGGACTTTGCACCAACAGGTCAGCCCGGAAGGTGACGGTGTGAGTTCCCGGGCACCCCGCAAAGATGAGGGAACCGCCTTCTCTTGCCCTCCCTCTGGCAGAGGAGCACCCCCGAGGCAGAGGGGTGGCTGAGCCAGTGTTAGGAGGGAGGGAGGTTCTTCAGGGGTTTGGAGCACGACACTGAAAGAGCAGTACCTAAGTTTTCTGCGATCCTTTTCTTGCTCATCTCCATGGCCTCTTGTCGGAGCTGCAGAGCGTGCTGGGCGATCTCATCGCTTGCCACATTGGAGGTCATGATGAAGATGGCATCCTTGCAGTCGATGGTCTTTCCCTTCCCATCCGTCAGCCTGCCCTGCAACAACAGCGAGACGACACGAGCGGCGTCAGCGGGTGCCACAGGACAGTGTCAAAACACGAGGCAAAAGCACTCGGGTCCCGTTTTTCACCCTGAGCAGATTTATTTTTGAAGGGTTTGAACACTCAGGGAGGTTCGAAGGACTCTCAGAGGCTCTTGGCTCAGCCCTGCCCCTGGATGGGGTTTAGGTTGGGACGCTGGGCTTGGTGCTGGAGCGGCTGAGATGTGAGATGTTCCCCTGTGCCGGCAATTTTTGGAGGCTGAGCGGGGCAGCCACAGGCGTCGGTGCCTTGACCAGCTCCAGCGACATTGCCTGGGTGTTCACCAAAGACGAGTTGGTTCAAAGCTCCCTGTGGCACCGTGGCTGCCTGGAAGGGCTCAGAGGGGGCTTTGTGGGGGTCTGAAGGCACCAGGGGCAAGCACAAGATGCTAGCAGCCTGGCCAAAAATATGTAAAGCCAAAATAACCTTGCAGAAATAATCGGGTTGTGGCTATAACGGAATGAACTGAGCAACGGAGAGGCCGTGACAGCAAGAGGCAACAGAGAGTGTCCCTCGGCGCCGTGGGATCGCCGGGCAGAGCAAACCAGCCCAGCACCGCGCTCCGTGGGGGGAGCGACCGCTGCCAACTGCGGCAGCATCAGCCCTCCTCCCACCAAACCAGCGCAGGAACCCTTCAAAAGTACCAGTTCTCTTGATTAATAAAATCAAAAAGCGAGAAAAATAAGGAAAAAAGTAAGCAGCTCCCCAGGCAGTTTCTTTCCTCGATACGTCTCCAGCAGCAGATATCCAGCACAATGATACAAATCCTTGTTGGGTGCTTGAGATTAACATTTGGGTTATTGCCCTGTCAAGTGCGTGGTACAGGAATTGATTTCACATTTAGCTGCTGCTGCGATGATCTATGCAAGAAAAAATTGTGTTATTAATCCTTAAAAGAAAAAACAAAAAAAAAAAAACCCTCCCCAAACCTTCCAGTGTGTTGCTCTGGAGTTTGGTTGCCTCTGAGGACAGACTGGGACCTTAAAAATAAACTGAAATGCCGGCACGCGATGAGCTGAGGGCCCAGCAGAAGGGGCAGAGCCTGGAGAGATGCTTTTGTCCCTGGCTCCCACCAGCTCGTGCGGAATAGCTGTGGCTGCTCACGACAGGTCGCAGGCCAAGGGTCCCCCAGAGACCAGCAGACAGCAAAGGGCCCCAAAATCGCAGATTTGTGCTCCCTTCCTCCGACAGCGGGTATCTGCTCTCGTCCCACTGCCAGCAGGATGGGGCAGTGTCACGCGTGGAGACGCCTGGGAAGAGTATCGGGGAGGTAACTGGCATGGGTTTGCCTCCTAACGTCGACAAAACCCCTTGGGTAGCTACTTTGGAGGAGTCTGGGGCTGTGACCTGGGACTTCAGTTCTCTCCAGAGGAGGCCAGCACACTCCTGGAGATGCCTGGGAGTCTTCTCGGAAAGCCCCCGGGCACAGACCTTCCCCCAGCACACACAATGTGCTCGGGAGCTCCAGGCTCCTCCGAGATCGCTGCTTGAGGAGTTCTGCGGGTGCGAAGGCAGGGCCGTGCTGGTCGCTCTTCAGGACTCCTCCCACTCTTCTCCAAAAGTGTTTTGGTGTCCTGGGTTGAGTGAGTGGTGGAGTTTCTTGGTGGCAGGGGAGGGGGCTATCGGGGCGGCCCCCTGGGAGAAGCTTCTCGAAGCTCCCCCAGCTCCACGTCAGCTCCACTTCTGTTTGGGAAATTGAGCCAATCAGCTGCACCTTTGCGATAACGTATTTAAGAAGGGACGTGGTGACGGGCAGTGGGACTGGTGAGGAGGAGTTGCTGCAGCTGCCTGAACACCAAGGTCAGTGGAGGAACGGAGGAAGAAAGGAGGGGGGAGGTGTGCCGGAGCAGAGACCCCCCTGTATCCTGTGGGGAGACGGCAGGGCGGCCCCCTGACACCCATGGAGATCTACGGTGGAGCAGACATTGATTTATGGCCTGTTGTTCCTGCTCTGATGATCAAGGTTCTGTGCCCGAAGAAGGCCGGGGTCTCCTGGGAAAAGGCAGCCCCGCTGCTGTAATTCAGTGCTGGGAGGATTGCAGCATGCGGGGGAGTCCCACGCCGGAGCAGCTCGGGAAGGGCTGCAGCCGTGGGAGGGAATCCAGTCGGAGGAAGTTAGTGACCCATGACGGAGCAGTGTGGGGAACGCTGCGGCCCGTGGGAGGAATTCAAGTCAGAGAAAGTTTGTGGAGGACTGTCTCCTGTGAGAGGGGGACCACGATGGAGCAGGAGGAAACAAGTTTCGGACACTCCCCTCACCGAACATGAAGGAAGTGGCAGCACTGACTGAACCCCCCATTCCCTGCCCCTGCGCCTCTGGGGGAGGAGGTGGAGATATCGGGAGCAGAGCTGAGCCCGGGAAGAAGGGAGGGGTGGGGGGAAGGTGTTCTCAAGATGTGGCAATGCTTCTCACTGTCCTACTCTGTTATGTGTTGTTAGTGTCTGTAATAAATGTATGTTCTTTTTTTCTTCCCCTAACGAGTCTGCCTTTTGCTCGTGATCATAAAAGGGGGATTTTCCCCCATCCCAGTCCTATCTTGAACCCCAAGCCTGGCTCTCTGTCCCTTCTCATTGCCGGAGGGGAAGGGAGAGAGAGCTGCTGCATTGCGGTTGGCTGCCAACCAGGCCCAAACCACGACATTTGGCTTCTTCAGGAGACATCTCGAGTCCTCGGTAGACTCCCCCCTAGGTTGTTAGCTGAAGAGATTTTTTAACGATGAAGGCAGGTCCATGCTGGTAGCTCTCTGGGACTCCTCCCAGGCATCTCCAAGAGTGTTTTGGCTTCCTCAGGAGGCAGCTCGAGTCCTGGGAAGCAGCCCCACACTCCTCCTAGGTAGTTAGTTCAGGGGTTTTGTCCATGGCGGTGGGGTTGGAACTAGATGATTTTTAAGGTTCCTTCTGACCCAAACCGTTCTACGATTCTACATTTGGGGGAGAAAAGGTGTGAGACAGATCACGTGCCACCTTGAAAAGTCATAAATTAACCAACCTGAACTGTAAAACAGCAATTAACAATCCATTAGAATACCGATGGACTACGAAGTCCCCGGACTACCTGCCTGCCTGATGCGCCAACGCCCTGACCCACGCCTGGGACCTAGGAGCTGATTTCCTCCACGCCATGGAGGTGCACAGGAGGTGGGCACAGGGCACCCCCGGGAACGGGGCCGTCACCCTCCTGCCTCCTCTCGTCGCTCCTGCTCTCTGCTGTGGACCAGCAACCCGCCTACTCCCACACTGAGCTGTCACTGAAGTGGTTTTTCCTTAGCAGTATCCTCATGACACAGTCTTCAGCGTCACAACTTCCTGGTGACACGGGACAATCTACCTCCCAGGCTTCTTCCTCAGGTTTCCAACTTTTCATCGCTGGCTTTTTCTTTGCCTAAAGATGTCATTTATTTCACCACGACACCTCAACATCACCCTGTTTCCTGGTGTTAAAATGGAAAAGAGGTTGACTGGCTGAGTCACGTTTTTTGGAAGGGACTGTCGGTCTGAAGCATTTCAGCTCAGCCCCAGGACACCTCCTGCATCCGTCACCCCTCACACCACTGCCACCGTCACCTTCCGAACGGCCCCTGTGCAGATTCCGACCCTGAAAGGCGGATTTACCTCATCGAACAGCTGCAGCATGATGGTGAGGACATCTGGGTGGGCTTTGTCAACCTCATCGAAGAGCACCACGGCATTTGGACACTGCCTCAGCTTTTTGGTGAGCTGCCCGCCCTCTTCATGGCCCACGTAGCCAGGCGGAGAGCCGATAAACTTGGCGACCTAGGAGGAAGCAACAGGAGGTGTGAAAGCTGCTCCATGGATGCTGGGAACGAAGCCCAGGTAGCTCAGCAGGCAGCCACGACTCTTTCCCGCAGACAAATCAAGTTCTATATTATTTGTGACATCTATCGTGCCCCAGGTATCCCAAAATCTGCTTAATAAGCAACAATTTGGCGAAATGGAGCTTGGTGGCTGCTGAGCAATTACCTTGCCCAGAGCTTTAACCAGCAGGATTTGCGGGAGCAGCCATGGGCAGGTGAAAAGGCACCACCCCTGCTTTTCTAAACAGTGTCTGAGTGACCCATCCCAGCTCTCCAAGACCTATTTTCATCTCCTTTAGCCTTTTTAAGCCCAAGAATTCGAAGGATTATAAGTGGCAGGTGGCTCTGGTGGGGCATCAAAGCTTGGGAAGAGGCCACAAGGAAAATATTTTTCCTGTGTCAATAACCAACTTCATTACTTCTCGACACTGTGGTGTTTTTACTTTTAAATTAAGTTTAAAAATTTAGTAGATCATTTAGAAGAATATTTCTGACAACAGAAATGTTTTGGCAAAAATGACAAGTAATTTTTGACACACAGCTTGGAGCATTTTCAAGCAACCTGGCTTTGTGGGTGTGCTTGAAGTGACAGTCCTTCAGGTGTACAAAAGTTGAAAAGAACAAAATTATCAGTGAATTCTGTGTGGTTGTCTGGGACACTGGACATGGAGAGTCAACAGCCAGCTGGTTGTACAGGAATCAGAAGGAATTCTTGGAGCAAAATCCTGAATCCTCATAAAACAAAGAAATTTCCTCTCCTTAATCTAGGACAAGGAAGCAGCACAGCTGAAGGGCGAGTCCATCGTGGCCTCGGTGCTGGTGAATGACAAAAGCCACGTGTGTCCCCTCTCGGTGAGCCTGGGGCTGGCGGGGGAGAGGAGCCACAGCCAGCACCGACAAGCACCCAGCTCGTACTGGGGAGACGTGGACCTGCTCGAGCGGGGCCAGAGGAGGCCACGAAGATGCTGGGGGGGCTGGAGCAGCTCCCCTGGGAGGCCGGGCTGAGAGAGTTGGGGGGGTTCAGCCTGGAGAAGAGAAGGCTCCGGGGAGACCTTCGAGCGGCCTCCCAGGGCTTAAAGGGGGGACAGGAAAGGTGGGGAGGGACTCTGGATCAGGGGGTGGGGGTAGGACGAGGGGTGATGGTTTTAAACTGACCGAGGAGAGATTTAGGTGAGATCTAAGGCAGAAATTCTTCCCTGTGCAGGGGGTGAGGCGCTGGCCCAGGGTGCCCAGAGAAGCTGTGGCTGCCCCCTCCCTGGAAGGGTTCAAGGGCAGGTTGGACGGGGCTGGGAGCACCCTGGGCTGGGGGAAGGGGGCCCTGCCCGGGGCAGGGGGTGGCACTGGGGGGGCTTTGAGGTCCCTTCCCACCCAAACCAGTCTGGGGTTCTCCGATTCTCCCATGTGGCTGCTTTTTGCCGAGCGATACGACCCGGCTGCCCGGGGAGAGCTGCGATTCCCTTCCCCGAGCATCGCCGCCCCTGCCCGCTCCCACGGACACGATGCAGAGGTGAGGGGGGTCCCGCTGACTCGGGAACGGGCGAGCAGAAATCAGCTGGTGGCAGCTAATTCGTTGCATTTGTTTCACTACGCCTGGGGCTACGTGAGGCTCCCCAGGCTCCTTCAAAGGACGCTGTCTCCTGGGCTGACCTCCTGATCCTTGTTTGCTTGAAAAATTTATATTGCTCTCACCGCAATTCTCCACTTTATTCCTTCCCTTTGCTCTGCCTCTTGTCTTTGTCAGGGCACAGTGTTTTATATCTTACGTTTATACTGCTACTCTTAACTCCTCTTTGTACTGAATCATCAACATGGCTTTATTTTTATCTATTTTCTACTCCTACGGTGTAGGAGGCTAGCATAACCGATCTATCAGGCTAGCTGCAGGCACGTCTTTGTCTTTTCTTCCCACACAACTTCACCTCACCACTTTGGACAAAATAACACATTTTTCTGGACCTTTTCTAGCCCTGGCCATTCCAGGGCTCTGTGGTTCCTAATGATGCTGCTGAGGCTCCCACTGCCTCGTGCCAGGTCAGAACTCGAATTGGCCCTTGTCACACCGAGTGAGAGGGTCTGCCTGACCCCTGCCCTTGGCAGCAAGAAATGCAAAAAAAAAGGTACTCCTGTCTTGGACCGGGCCTTCTGAGCTCCTCCCCAGCACCCTCCTCCTCTCCTCCAAGATACCATCTTCCGAAGTCCCAGCCAGTGAGTTTTCTTCCTCCTCCTCTTTCCCTGTCTCCAAAAAACAACGCAGCAGCTCCGGTGTTTAGGGGGATGATCCTCAGATCCCTCCTGGGATATCTCCCATCCATTGCTCTCTGGATTTGGGCGCACCTCACCACCAGTATCAATACAAAATACATGGCTCCAAAAGAAAAATATTATGACCCTATCCCAGCTAGGACCCTCGTTTCTTTTTGTACGGTCAGTGGGGAGACGGAGCCCTCCAAAGGGATTTAGGGCCCCCCCAGCTCTGGGGGTGACCTCGGTGAGATGTCCCACCTCTCCTGCGGCACCAGAATCGGGCAGGAGGTGTGATGGGAGGGGTGGACGCTGCATCACAGCCCTGTCTTCTGCTGGATTCCCCCTCCCTTTCTCCAGTGGGAGATGTGCCGAGGCGGTGATCCCGCACTGGACTTGGCAACGTGCTGGAGGCAAGGAGGGGAACGGGGCTTTAGGCTGAGCTTTGCCTGCCCGGGCACGGGTCCGGCACGGGTGGGTGATGTACAGCATGTGGCTCGTGCCCAGGCTGCAGGTTTTCATGCACAATATGATCTCTCCTCGGTCACTCTTCCCCCCAGGGTTGACACTGTGTACAGAAGCCACAGCATCGGACACAAATTGTTAAAGCTGTTCTTGCTCCTTGGTCTCTGTTCCTAATTTTTTCGAGTTAAACTTCCTTTTTTTGTTTTTTTTGGCTGGTATTTCCCATATTGCAATTTACTGCCCAGCCTGAAGCAACTGCTGGTGCTCTGCGTCTCTGACACACCAAACTGCCTGTTTTCTGGAGAATGTGGAAATAATTTGGGAAGGTCCTGGATGCCGCTTCCAGGGTGAGACAGGAGATGCTTGCTGCATTCAGCAGCAACAGGGAGATGCTCAGCACCATCCAGGACAGGGACCAAACGCAGGGGAACGAGGGCATCGACAGGATTTGTTTAAATTACCCATTAAACTCGAAGCTGCACCCCTTGGAAGCAGAGTCAGACCGTTTACTAACCTCGTGCCTCTCCTGGAACTCTGACATGTCCAGTCTGATGAAACCCTGCAAGAGAAATAAATATTTAATGTGATTTTTGATGAACACGCTCCAAGTTTCATTACATTTAGAAGGCTCCTCCAGAACCAGGCAGGTGGCTGCACAGCTGAACACGCGGTTTTGTGGCTCCCGAAGGCTGCTGGCACTGGAGTGGCCACATCCACCACAGAACTCCGAGGGTTATTCTGAGGAAGAGGAAGATGATTGCAGTTTGTCAAAGAGAGCCAGGAAGAGTTCCCACTGCCAGCTCACAGCCCCCGGCCGAGATGTGCTGTGGATGCTCTGCTCCTCGCTAGAGCCACAGCAGCACAGATGGAATGAAACAGCAACTCACAATTTGCTAAATCAAACGGATATTCTTGCCGTTCAGCTCTTTAGAAATAAATCAGAAGAAGAATGCAACGCCTCCCCGCAAAAAATAAAATAAAAATCAAAATCATAAAGCCGAGGTAAACTAGGTTTGTGGGTGATCACCTCCAATAGATAATGTCAGAGAATTTACAACTACTACCCAAGCTTCCTTTTTGCATTTGAAAAGCTGATGATTCACGGCAGACACGGAATTTCCTGGGCTTGCAGCTATAACCCAGCTCCTGGAGGTATGAGACTAGACTAGACCATTTCAGTTGGAAAGGACCTACACTGATCACCTAGTGCGACTGCCTAAGAAGAAGACAGGCTTGATCTTTCCGAGCACCGGCGTGGGCACGGTCAGCCGGACACCACAGCTCTTTGTTGGCATCTGCCCATCGGAGCCTGCACCCCCCTGCTCCGCTGGGCCCGACCTCCCGGGCAGGATCGGGCAACGATCCCGCACCGCTACACACCTTTGGAGGCTGGTTGTAAATGTGCCAACACAAATATTATCCCCCAGCAACAGCCAGACACCCATGAGAAATCGTTATTTGCTGGGAAGAGCGAATGGAGGTGGGAGGATGCGTGGATTGGGGATGAGCACAGGTATCTATTGTGTGGAAGGAGACGTGTCTGTGCGTACATCCCACCCGGGCACGCGTGCACAGCACAGTCACCCGCGGATCACAGAATCACAGGAGGGTTTGGGCTCAAGACACCTCAAAGGTCATCTAGTTCCAACCCTCCTGCCAGGAGCAGGGACATTTTCAACCCGATCAGGTTGCTCAAAGCTCCGTCCAACCTGGTCTGGAATATTCAGCTTCGGAGCTGACGGGTGGGACATCTGGCAGCGTGCAGGGAGCCCGGAGCTTTTCTGCACCGAACCGAGACGGTGCTGCCATGAGCTCCCACGGGACGGAGGAAAGCAGGAGGATCTGCCTGGTTTGGCACTCTCCATGAAATGCCCATATTTTGGGGGAGGGTGGTAAGAGTTGAGGCCGGTTCAGGCCAGATTTCAATACAAAACAACCACATTTCCTTGCACAATATTAAAATACCAACAAAGTGCCCAGGGCAGGGCGAGGTGTACAAAACTGGGGCGTGCACACCCAGGAGTGTCCCGCTGGCGTCCCGGCTGGCACAAACAAAGCAGAGCTGGGCTCTGCAGGACCTGCTTCGCTTTGCTCCGACCCTGCTCCCAGTCCTCCCGTCCCTGTTTGCACTCACGCAGGCTGGAGAAGGAGGTTAGCATCTGCCCTGCCCTTGCAGCCTCTCTAGCGGTATGAAAATGGGACGGTTACGGGTTTTCCTTCCTTAATCCGTCAGTTCCTGCGAATTGCCGCACCCCCATCCCCGCCCGTGGGGTTTAGGACCCCCCCGCACACCGCTCATTACAGCACTGACGGCCGAGCTGATTCATTACCAATAAAACTCTGATTTGTGCATGCGATTGGATTAACACAACATTCAGTGTTTAACTGATTTCTCCATTTGATGTCTGGCCGGGCATTGACCAGTTCCAGGTGCGGGAGTTGGGGATGAAGGTGCTGCAGAGGCAGGAGCCGGGATTTATTGCTTCTGGAAGGCAATTATGGAAGGATGAGGAAAAGAAACCAGAACTGCCAGTTTTATAGAGTTGTTTTACTTTTGATCTTCTTTCTACACGTGTCATTTTCTCTTGTGCCCGTTCTCTGCCGGAGGATGTGGGGGAGAGGAATTAATCTGGTGTCGGTGCAGGGGGCAGCTCTGCTTGTGCTTCCTCCTTGTCCACAGGTCCAACCTCTGAGCCCTCCCCACTCCTCCGTGCGAGAGAGCTGGGCTCGTCCTCAAGGCAGGCAGAGGCTTCAGTGTGAATCGGGGAGCCCGGCTTTAAATGCTCGGTGTTTTTATTAAAATCTCAGACATCCCTGAACTATTCCCCTGCTAAACTACTACCAGCTAGAAATAATTCTAACCCATCTTCACTAAAGACTGCCAAGTGGAAAATAAACTAGACCACACAAACAGCTTCTGCTGTTTGGATCCCAGACATTTCAGCACTAAGAACCCGAGCACAGAAGCAGCGCTGAGATCTCCACTGTGCGTACTGGTACAATGCGACAAGTGGTGCAGCTACGGACATGTAAAATGTATTTTTTCCTTCTACTAATTCACAGTGTTATTAGTAACAGAGGCCAAAAAATACGTTCGCGACACAGGATGTTAAAATGACAGCAACCTCAAATGGGAAACACAAGATTTTGTTAAATCCATTTAGATTTTTACAGTTCAAATATACCAGTAACACAGACAGGGACCTTCAGGGGTTCATTTTAATGCAGCAGCAGCCCTTTCCTGGGGCGCACGGGCAGACCTCACATTTCTCTTTTACAGAAGAATTCAGTGTGCTGCAATGCAGCCGGGCTGACCGGTGAGCCCCACTCCTGGCCTAGCAAAGCCAGACACTGACCCTGCCGCTGAGAAACCAACCCCAGCCCGTTGTTACAAGCACCCGGATGGCAAAAAGCAAAGGGAAGAGGCGTTACCTTCTTGACATCCTTATGGATGTACTTGGCTGTCTGCTTGGCCAGCTCGGTTTTACCTGTTCCAAAGACAGGAAGAAAAGACTCGTGGTTAAACCAGGCTTGTCCGCTGCCTGTCTGTCTGTCAGCTGTGCTAACGCCGGGGCTGGCACCCCCCTGTAATCAATACACATATTTTTTTCTGCAAATGTACTGTGGGAAGAGGGTATTGCTGTTGGATCCCCGGGATAACACCCTGATGAGGGCCCAGGGCCGGGCAGCAGTTAAGGGGTTGACAGGAGAGCAGTATCACCCAGCGGGCTGCTTCACTTCTAATAGTTGATGTTTACATGATGGGCAGAGAGATCTTTGATTTTTTTTCTACAAAAAGGTGTGGTTAGATCAGGTTTTTGCTGTGTTTACTCTCGACATTCTCGGTTTCGTGCACAATGTCTTTTACTCTCTAAAGAATTTCAGGAAAACAGGATATTCTTTTTTTTCGTTGATTTAGATAAAATGTCTGTCATAAAATTCCAGGGTTAGCAGCAATCAGTAATGGAGCAAATCCACAGTGACTCGGATGAACACACGCGCCAGCTCACGCAAGGCCAGATCCCGTCCTCCCAACCTGTCCATTCAGGGAAAAACTTAATTAAACAGGCAGGCTCTACCCGGGGCAGGAAACATCCCCGGCTCGGCCAGCAAACCCCTCTTCCCTGCTGCCACCCACTGGCACCTAATTGCTGGGTTTATGAGGTTTCTCAGGCGGAGAATCTGGCTGATTTTGGCTCCTGGGATGGCCAGCGAGGTGAGGTGCAGCCTTTCATGGCCGTGGAGGAAGCTCAGTGGGTTAACACCAGCACCTCACACACTGTCGTGTGCTACCTGCACCGCGCAGAGACCCGCTTTACATTTATCTGCACACTGAAAAATAAACACTCTGACATGTTAGGGCAGAGAGCAGGCACATAAAGAACTATTCTAAGTAAAAAAATCCCACCTTAAAAAGCAAACTAGCTAAAAAAAAATGTACAGTCTTACCGGAGAATGACACATCTGCCCCAGCCCCACCCTGACCCAGCTGTATTTTGGTGACTTTTGGTAAATCGGGTGGCTCAGATCTGCAGGATCACTTAATTAGGTCACCACAAAAGGGCTGCAAAGATGGGGAGTCATCACTGCGCGGGGCAGCCTGCTCTGGCAGGTGCAACCTCTGCCAAAATTCAGCACCTTATTTCAGTTCAAGCTTTGTTGACTCTGTATGTTGCCATATCGTAGATCCCAATGTGTAAGCATACGGGTATATATGTGTACTTACACATATTGTATATATATACATATATAAGAATGGATCTTTAAAGTGCTTCACTGCTGTGGGAATCTACTGAAATGTGAAAGCATGTTAGATAGTTTAGTTTGCACACATTTGGGCCTTCAGATTGCCGTTACATCCACACCCATGTAAAATATCCATCTGAGACGATAAAGCTCTCAGCTTCTTTGCTTTCTGATTTCAATATTCATTTTTATGGCAGTAAAAGAAGGAAAAAAAAAAAAAACCAACATGGAAATACATGGGAGCCAGAGAGCTGATAATTTACATTACTGAGCCTTCAGACCTGCTACAAACAGCGCGATGGAGTCTCAAAAACTATTTCTTACTGGTTTTCTACAGCTTTATAGCAATCTGTTCAGAGTTAATATTTGGGCTGCCCCTGCTCTGAGGCAGGAGCCTGGTTGGGCAGCAACAGTGTGTGTGTCCTGCTGCCTTAACCCCGCCAGCACCGGCACCTTCCCTGGGACCACGGGAGTCAGCGGATGCAGGAAAAGCACCGAGGCTGTTTCAAATGTCACAGTTCGGTTACTTTAAAGCTGCTTCTTTTTTTTTTTTTTTTTTTTCTTTTTTTTTTTTTTTTTTCCCCTGACTAAAAGTCATTTGGTCCATTTCATGAACTGATCAGCTGCCATGTTGCATTTTATTGTGCTCGAGGACAAATATTATCGGTGTCAATAAAATCCCATCATTACAAAGCAATCCTTGCCCACAGGAGCAAGATGAGCAGAGATTCGGTTTGCAAGCAGCAAATTTCTTCTATTACCCCACCCATGGAGGCATTCCTACTGGAGAGCACCGGGCTGTCAAAATAACACTTTTATTGTGAAAACTGCCCCTTTTATGAGGCTTGGAGGGCAGAGGGGGCCCCAGGATAATCCAGCGTGAGGCTGCGTGTGCCCCAGCACGGGACGTGGCCGCGCGTGCCGGAGTCTGGCGGTGGTTGTCCCGCGGGACGATGGACTTGGGTGACCGGTTGGAAGGACGACAGCACCTTTAATTGGTATTTTATGCAGAGCCTGGGGAAAGGGCTGTGGGTGCTGAGCCCCAGGAGCAGCCCTGCCGCAGCCCCCTCGCCCGGCCCAGCCTCTCCATGGGGCTCTCCGTCCCGCTCACCACAACCCAGACGTTACCTATTCCAGATGATCCCAAGAAAAGAAAGACCAGCGGGTGTTCCTCATCATACCAGCCATTTTCCTTCCTCCGAATAGCTGCATTTAAAGACAGCGAAAACAAAAAAAAAGGGGGCGGGGGAGGGGAAGGCATATAAATCAATGACACAAAAGCAAGTATAATTATCACTAAGTATACACTATGTTTTACTGCTCTCTACCCACTCAAAGTCCTCACTACCATTAGTGCTATCTAATTTGATTAGCCAGCCAAGGCCCCAGAGACACCTAATCAGGTTAGCATGGATTTGGAAAGCTGCCCAGAGCAGATTTCGGATAAAGTTTTCCAGGATGTGCACTCAGCGTTGCCAGGGAGACGGCGGGGAGGGGGGACAGGGATGGATAGATGGATGGATGGACAGATGGATGGATGGATGGATGGATGGATGGGTGGATGGATGGATGGATGGATGGATGGATGGATGGATGGATGGATGGATGGATGGATGGATGGATGGATGGAGCGGCGGGGGCTGGTGAGGGGAGGGTGCAAGAGGCACGCCGCGTTGCCAGCTTGCAAGCTCAACCTTTCTGTGAAAAAGCGGGTTTGAAGAGGTTTCCGCATTATTTCTTGCGCGTGGATGGAAAGAGGGAGGTGTCTGAAGGTCTCAACAGCTCTGAACTGGTGCAAGGCCTGAAGGACTGGGTGGGGAGAGCCAGGTATCGCCGTGTCTCCCTGGACAGCAGTGCCCAAGGGCATCCTGGCTAAGATACCAACGTAAAATTTTACAAAAGACAAGGAGGGTTTGGAAGCTGCAACACCCGCTTACCTCCCAAACTCCTAGTCCTAACGGCACACCCCTTCCTCAGGACACCCATCTGCCTTGCAGAGCTGGTGAGGCCCCCCCCCCCCCCCCCCCCCCCCCCCGACGTGTCCACAGCCACCCAAGATGCGATTCAGCCTCATGGAACAGCCCTAGACTCTGTGGGCACGTTCACCAAACCAGTAGAAACCCGTAACATTACTGCATTAGGCTTATCTGGAAGATAAGGAACATCTTTTGAGGCCAAGAGGATCAAACAAAGTCATCTGCAGGCTGGATCTGGCCCTTGGAACACAAAAGTGACTGTCCTGGTTCAGACCATGGATCCATTGCTGCTTGGCTTTTTGCCTAAGTAAATGGTTCTTAGCATTTTAATATTAGATACTCCCCTTGGTTGGGCTGGACTTGCTACCTGGTGGATGGCCTGCTAAGCAGCAGCCACAGGAGGAGGCTCAAGGACGTGAGCAAATCCCATCAGTGGGACTTTTCTCCCTATATTGTGCTGACCCCCAGCCATCTGCAGCCTGGGGGATCTCCTGTGCCTGCCGTGGTGTGGATCCTCCACGGGTCTCACTTCCAAATACCTGCTCAGCCTCCCCCGGAGTATGGGCAAGTGCCACGAACCTCTGAGAAAAGCCCTTCCTGAGCACAGCTTATGGAAAAGATTCCTGAGGCATCTGCACCCTGAAACGTTTTGAAGTGACCACCAGCAAATGTGAAATACCAGTGCAGGCGGGCAGGGTGGTTAATCTGCTTCAGTTCAGGCAGTGGCTAAAGATGGCAGGGAGAGAAGGAGGTATTCCCTGGGCTCTGTTCTGAATTTCCATCTGCAGGGGCTTCAGATCTCATCCAGATCTTGTAAGAGATGAGCGAATGAACTCTTATTTTAGGATGTTTGTAAGAATGGTGGCTCAAGGGAGGGGATTCTCCCCCTCTGCTCCGCTCTGGGGAGACCCCCCTGCAGTGCTGGGGCCAGCTCGGGGGCCCCCAACAGCAGAAGGACACGGAGCTGCTCGAGCGGGGCCAGAGGAGGCCACGAAGATGCTGGGGGGGCTGGAGCAGCTCCCCTGGGAGGCCGGGCTGAGAGAGTTGGGGGGGTTCAGCCTGGAGAAGAGAAGGCTCTGGGGAGACCTTCGAGCGGCCTCCCAGGGCTTAAAGGGGGGACAGGGAAGGTGGGGAGGGACTCTGGGTCAGGGGGTGGGGGTAGGACAAGGGGTGATGGTTTTAAACTGACCGAGGGGAGATTTAGATGAGATCTAAGGCAGAAATTCTTCCCTGTGCGGGGGGTGAGGCGCTGGCCCAGGGTGCCCAGAGGAGCTGTGGCTGCCCCCTCCCTGGAAGGGTTCAAGGCCAGGTTGGACGGGGCTGGGAGCCCCCTGGGCTGGGGGAAGGGGGCCCTGCCCGGGGCAGGGGGTGGCACTGGGGGGGCTTTGAGGTCCCTTCCCACCCAAACCAGTCTGGGGTTCTATGCCAGTGGGACATGAGGACACGCATGGAAAGCATCACTGGGATTTGTCTCCCAGCTTGTGTTAAAGAGTTTCCAGCAATGACTGCGGAGCAGGTGCTGCCCAGGGGCACAGCTCTTCCCCACGAGACCAGAACAAGAGCTCACAGGGGATGGCAGCCCTGTTATCCTCGTGCCTGGACCGCTGACTCTGCCCCTGAGCCAAACTCGAGCCCCAGGAAACCAAAATCATCCGAGCTTGCTCTGCTCTGGGTGCACCACTGTGTGCTCCTTCCCACCAAGAGCCGTGGATGGTCCCCCAAGAAGGGACCACAGGGCATGAAACGCTCTGGATCATGGCCTGGACATGATTTGGCAGCAGGTTCAAGCAAAACGATGTGATGCAAGGCTCTGGAGCAGAGCACGGAGCTCACCACATCACCGGGAGCTAACCACAGAGGCGCTGCAATATCCTGAATTTCCAGCTCCTTGTTCAGACAGAGCCTCGCATCTCCCTGATTTATCTATTTAAGCAGGGCCTGTATCACAGCTCTTAAAAAGAGTTATTCTTGCCATATGGATTGGTGCACGTGCTGAAGCGCTTTGTGATGTTTTGTAAGAAGTGACCTAAACCAAAACTGCATGGTGTTATTAATGATGGGGAGGTTGTGCTGAGCAAGGGACCTGCAAGCATGCTCTTGAATGGCGCACGGCAGCTGCCAGACGTCGGCGAGACCGAAGACGTGGCACGTTGTGTTTGACAGAAGTAGGGCACGAAACGGGCAAAATGCCCAAGAATGATACCCTACGCTATTTTGAAGGTAGCAGAGGAAAATTGCAGCATCAGAGGTAGAATGAACAACAGAGGGGAAACACTTGGAGATCAGCAGCTCGACCACACTTTGAAAATAAAGCACTTTAACGGCCACTGCGCAAGTGGCACTGCAAAGTTCTGCATTTGCTGCCTTGCAGTGGCGTCCACAGCAAACACAGGAATAAAACCGCATCCCTCTTTGTGACTGCCAGCCCCAAAACTGCATCTCCTCTCTTTCTGACTGCTATCCCCAAAACACAGCCTGGGACTGAGCCTCTGTCCTTGTCCCTCAGCCCCGGGCTTGGAGCTGCCCGTGTCTCCCAGCACCGTGGGGAGCTGTGGGTTTGTCTTGTCCCCAGAGCCGGCAGGAGAGAATGGCAGTAACCTTTAAAATTGGGGAATTCTGAAATTCAACCTCAACAAGAAAGTCAGTCCAGAAAAGCCTCTGCCTGATGGGGTATAGGAAAATAAAAGAGCCCTAAGAAAAGGCATCCTAGCTGTGCCACGCAAAGAGATCTTCCTGCAGAAACAGGGAGAGTAAACCGACATGGGAAATATTTAACAAATATTTCCATTTTGCATGTAAAAAGAAGCTGAATATTGTAGCCTGCAGAATGACAGTGAAATGCTGCCTCTGCCAGCAGGAGACATGGTGGGAAGATGATAAATAGCAGCAGAGCAAGCGAAATATTCCAGCAGCTGGATCGTATAGCTGCACTGAGGAGTCTCACGTGAATTTGCCACGAAGCTCTTGGAGTTGCTCCTGTTGCTGAGAAGACCTGCATGCAGCCGAGCTCCTCTGAGCCCAGGTCTATATTTGGGGAGACCCAGGTAGGATGAAAGCTGATAGATTCAGTGAGGATCAGGAAAACAAGTGCAAACCCTCCAGTGAGGCTGAAAACTGTAAGAAAAAAATCGATCTACTGAGGTTAACAACGAGAGGTTTGAGGATTGACTTGACCACAGTCATTAAGTATCGCCACAAGAAAGCACACAACTTGCTCATCTGGCAGACAAAATTAACATGCTCCAGGGGCTGGAGCTGGATGAATTTAAACTAGAAATAAGGCAGAATGTTTTTTAATAATGAAGGTGATTAACCATTGCGGTGACGTACAAAGAGGAGTGTGACTGAAGCCCTCATCCCTGCGAAGTCTGCAGGGAAAGATGGGAGGTGGTGGTGCCTCGGAGTGAAGGTGAAGGTTTGCATCGCTGCGCTAACAGCCGAAAAAGCCCAATTTAACCTTAAAGTCCAGGGCACGCCCACCCAGGGAAACGGGGCTGAGCGCAGGGACTGTGGTTAGTGAGAACTGGAGCCCCAGAGCTGGACGCAACCGAGATGCGTCGCTTAGTGCCTCAGCCATGCTAATAAGTCCTGACTCCTGTCAAGGCTTAATTAGCCCGGGCGTAGAGCCAGGCTGCAGGACTGGCCTGCGTCCGGCTCTGCCTCGCCCTGCCCGGGTGCCTCTGCTCGGCCCCTCGGCCCAGCTCGGGCTGCGGCCGGCGATGCGGCTTTTGGAAATCACGGGCAAAGCCCTGCGGGCATCCAGTCCTGCCTTCCAGCCGCTCGCGGGCCACGACACCCCCCCAAAACAGCCACCATGGGAGGAGGAAGAGGAGGGTTGACACAGAGGTGCAGGAGGGTCTGTGCCAGCCCCTGCACGCCTCCGAGCGCACCCCACCGCGTGCCCTTCCCTGTGCTGCACGCGCTCCTTCCCCGCCTTTTATCGCAGCCCACCCGAGCTCAAACACTCGGGGTGGATATATTTTATAAAAATTGATGGGGAATAACATGACCGCCGAGAATTTCTGCAGCTATCTCAGCTAAGATAATAAAGGTAATAAACTTCTGCTTCAGGGCATGGAGTGACCACTTGCAGGGGTCAGCATGCTCAATGGTCCGAAGGCAGTGAGGTTAAGTGCGGTCTTTTTTCACTTCCCTCTGCAGCAGGATACTAGACTTTATGGGTAAATGCTCGTCTCACTCATAGCAACTCCAGGGATATAACGCACCCTA